ACTGTATGTCAAGGAAGCTTTCAGCAGTACAGAATGTTTTTTCCTTAAATATTTACTGGTCTTAGCAGCGTTTGTTCCAAACATGCCTATAATTCAAAATGATCACTGCCATGCTTTCACTTCCCACGCCTGCAAGAGATTAAATCAGTGGGGGGTTTTAAAGCACAATTAAAAATGAAGTTGGCAAGGCTCTTAGATGTTTCTTCTACCATGAAGGCAATTTCCCCTTTTATCTGACACAGCTAGAAGACTCCCATGGCTCACCCCATTTGTTGTAAGCCAAGAAGCTTCCTAATATTAATTAGAGTTGGGCTAGGACCTGAGAGACCCAGGTTCAAATCATCAACTCAGCCATGGGTGCTCTTGGGCCAGTTGTATCCTCTCAGCCTAGCCTACCTCCCAGAGTTATTGTGAAGATAAGATGGGGAGAAGGAGATGCATGTAATGGAAAAGAGGGCCTTCTCAGTGGTGGCACCCACCCTGTGGAATGCCCTCCTACCAGATGTCAAAGAGGAAAACAACTACCAGACTTTTAGAAGACATCTGTTTAGGGAAGCTTTGAATGTTTGGTGGACTATTGTATTTTAATATTCTGTTGGTAGCTGCCCAGAGTGGCTGAGGAAACCTAGCCAGATGGGCGGGGTATAAATAAATTGTTGTTGTTGTTGTTAATAGCTACTTGGAAAACCACACTAAAGATCTTTCATCAGCTAAACCAAATAAATACTAGGGGAGAGGGCTTGGTGGAATTTTAAACACCGACTGCTTGCTCTCTTAAAGGATCTCTAGTGGGGGGAAATAAAATAAAAAACTCTTTCTTAAGGGCAGCTCTTTGCCATTTGTCCATATTCAGTCCTGAGCCACATTCCAGAACCATTGAGTTCCTATGTCAAGAATCGCAATTTAATTTGTTCACAATCCTGAGCCAGCCCGAGACATTTTACCGCCTAAGGCAAAGAAGAAAACCCGTCCCCTTCCAGTCATGGTGCATCAAGAGCCTGCTGGATCAGTCCAGTAGCCCATGTGGTCACAGTGCCAACCAGATGCCTGTAGTAGTAGTAGTAGTAATAATAATAATAATAATAATAATAATAATAATAATAATAATAATTTATTATTTATACCCCGCCCATCTGGCTGGGTTTCCCCAGACACTCTGGGCGGCTTCCAACAGAATATTAAAATACAATAACCTATTAAACATTAAAAGCTTCCCTAAACAGGGCTGCCTTTAGATGTCTTCTAAAAGTCTGGCAGTTGTTTTCCTCTTTGACATCTGGTGGGAGGGCATTCCACAAGGCTGGTGCCACTACCGAGAAGGCCCTCTGCCTGGTTCCCTGTAACTTGGCTTCTCGCAGCGAGGGAACCGCTAGAAGGCCCTCGGCACTGGACCTCGTGTCTGGGGTAGAACGATGGGGGCGGAGACGCTCCTTCAAGCGGGAAACCCACAAGCAGGATTTGAGCACAAAGACACCCCCTCACTGTGGTTTCTAGCAACTGATATTCAGAAGCATTGCTGCCTTGAACTGTGGGGGCAGAGCAGAGCCATCATGGCTAGGAGCCATTGGTAACCTCATGTGGCCTTCAACCCCGATGCCTTGAACTGGCAAAGAGAAAATGTTACTGCTTGTACTTTCTCACTTTCAGCTGTCCTGCCCTGCATGGAAAAGAGTTTTGCCATACTCCGTATCAGGGTTACGAAGCCTTTGGGCAAAACTCAGCACCTGCTTGGCTGCACAGGTGTCAGGAGCAGAAAGTTACTATTCTCTCATGAAACTGCAAGAAAACAATTTGCAGGCTCAGTGTGGAGACCATAGGTTTTTCTCTGCATTGTGGATTCCTTCATCATTGCCACTTGCGAAACACCCATGAGAAGCCTTCACTCGTTTTGGGTGTTTCAAACACCCCGTGCCAAAGGAACTATAATCTACATTCAGTTTTCCTGATCTGATGCATTTTACATTTCTCAAATATTTTCTGCGGCATTGTTACAGAGACCAGAAATACAGGTTCCTCTAGTGAAGAGTAGTGGGGAATCAGGGCTAAATATAAGGTCTTGGAGACCTGGAGAGTAGCTCGGACAAGCAAAAATAAGTAAATAAATGCATGAATGGAATATATCTGTGTGTGCCGCCTCCTTATGTTTCCACGCACCATTGACTTTCTGGATAAGGGACAGGGCATTGCTGCACACTTAGGAAACAAGCCTTAAACTGCATTCCTACACAAGAGTAAGGCCCATTGAACCCGGTGGGACTTCCTTCTGAGGAGACGTATAGGAGGGCACTGTCACTTTGAACTGCACATAGTTTCTCCCTGCTTAAATTTATTAATTTAAATGGATTTACTTTTGACAGTCACATAACCTAAGAAACCCAACCTGATCTTCTGTTTTGCAACTTCTCATTTGCACAACGAGATCTAAATCGTTAGGAGGCAGATCTGCAAACAAGTCTAAGCTGAACTGGTTTTAGAGAACTATGTGTGGGTTCTGATTCCTAGTCAATCATGAGATTTAGTGTGGGGCTACTTCACAGGGGCTCTGCAGTAATCTTGGAACTAGTAGAAGGGCATGTTCTTCTCCCTAAGGAGTGGGGGAAACTTACAATTTATCTTAAAAACCATTGTAAACAGCTAAAATTGTTAGTAGGATTGGAATAACACTTGTAGTTTAATGGTGAATTTTGGACATAGTGAAGATGTAAGAGTTTGGGATTATTATAATATAAAAGATGCAGGAGGAAATGGCTAAAAATAGGACCCGCAAAGGGGAGGAGGGAAGTCCAGGTGATTATTTGGAATCTTGTTTTTATGTTGTATGTTGGATATGTGTTTGCAAAACTTTAATCTGAAAAACCAAATACAGGCAGCTCTGAGAACGCCAGAATGATATCACTTGGAAACCCACAGAGTTGCCAGTAGGGCCCAATTTGCCAGTGAGGCACTGCCCCACCAACCTAAGTCTAGACGTCTCCAAGCCTACCTGCCTTACAACCAGTCCGGGGGGTTGCCCTGGCTTCTCTGCTTCCACCTTAGTCTCATTGTTGCCCTTTTAGCATAGAGGAGGATGAGAGGCAGAACTGCAACTCTTTGGCTCTCCCCGTCATGGGCTCTGGCTCCCCCTACTGTTGGCCTCCCAGTCTTTTGCCATTGGACACCAGCAGCCACCACTGCTCCTTGGAAGCAAGAGTACCCAGGTCAGTGTACACCTTGGTGCTTCTGGGTACTGGTGCTTTGGGATCTAGGGCTGCCTGACCCACAGAGGAAAGGAGGTGAAAATCCCAGAGCTAGAAGCAATGTTGGCTTTCGGGAGGGTGTGGGCTTTTGGCCACCCTAGGCAGTTGCACGAGGAAGTTGCAATAGGTTTCCTGGAGAGATACAGGAACCAATGCTATCCCTCATTAAGCTGGTTGAAGAAATTGGAAAAGAAATGTAAACCTGCAAGATATGGTCATAAAGATTGTTTGTTCTCAGTCACTGACTCTATAGAAAATCAATGACAGAATTAGCAGTTCGAAAGCACGTCAAAGTGCAAGTAGATAAATAGGTACTGCTCCGGCGGGAAGGTAAACGGCGTTTCCGTGTGCTGTTCTGGTTCGCTTAGTCATGCTGGCCACAGGACCTGGAAGCTGTACGCCGGCTCCCTTGGCCAGTAAAGCAAGATGAGCGCCGCAACCCCAGAGTCGGTCACGACTGGACCTAATGCTCAAGGGTCCCTTTATACTGTTGACTTAGTAATTTGGGTATATGTTAGAGGGTTTTTTTTTAAAGGGATTACCGTATGTTTGTTTTTATCCTGTTTGTTTTACTGTTTGTTACCTGTCTTGAGTCTGTTTGGAGAGAGAAATAGGATTGAAGGTTGTTGTTTTTAAAAATAACACTATTTTATTTTAAAGTAATAGTATTTAAAAATAATACACGTTCCAGAGTTTTTGATCTTTCATCAGCCTCTAGGTGGGAGGTACAGTTGAAGCTTGTCTACTACTTAACCTAGTAGTTCTCAAAGAAGATGATCTCCTCCTGGTTGCTGTCCCTTTAAGAGTAAGGGTGGAGTTTCATAAGAACAATGGTACCAAATACATAGTCCATGTGGATCTGCCTATGGCAAAGGTGGCTAACTTGCTGCCCTCCAGATACTGCTGGGCTACAGATGACTAACCATTGGCCATGATTTGAGTTGGAGTCCAACAATATCTTGAGGATTACTGGTTAGACACCCGTAGCCACTTAGCCCAATATAGGATTCTCCAATATAGGAAAGAAAATGCTATTCTCTCTGTATGTCCTCTGCGGGAGTTAAGATGGTTGGGACATTCATTGAATTGCCAAACTAGGGCCAGGTTGGCATGGTGAAGAAAGCATTAGAGTCCTCTGTTTAAATATTCACTCAGTTAACAGGATGAGTCACTCACTTTTTCATACAGAGCAGTTGAAAGGGTAACATGGAACTGCCTTATGTATAAAACTGAGCTCCTTGGAAGAAGGGCAAGTACACAAATGTGATAAAACCATAATTTGAAAATTCCCACGGAAGGAATGTGGCACTTGTGTATTCTATCATTTCAATGAAACATGTGCAGATTTTAAATTACTATTTTAAAAGTAACTTTTTTATTTTATTGGAAAGAAAGTTAAAGCTTTCAGTATTTGTATGTAGCTCCCTTCCTTCTCTGGCTGTATAAAAAATTGAAGCATCTGCATATCATGAATGAGAATTGAGAAAATCAATACATAAACAGATACAGTGGTACCTCGGGATAAGTACTTAATTCGTTCCGGAGGTCCGTTCTTAACCTGAAACTGTTCTTAGCCTGAAGCACCACTTTAGCTAATGGGGTCTCCTGCTGCCGCCGTGCCGCCAGAACAGGATTTCTGTTCTCATCCTGAAGCAAAGTTCTTAACCCAAGGTAATATTTCTGGGTTAGCGGAGTCTGTAACCTAAAGCGTCTGTAACCCGAGGTACCACTGTACAGGTAAAGAGGGGGTTCTTATCTGACAAAAAGGCGATAGCATGCCATTGGCAAGCCACTATTTCCTCTTTAATGTAGACATTGTTAGAGCAGCTGAAACAACAGAACAAACACTGGGGAGAAATTATCCATTATTGACCCACCCACAAAATTCCCAGGGAGCAGTAAAATCTCTTTCATGACTTAGCACCTTTCAGGATTTTGTGACTTCACAGAGCTGAATTATGTCTCTTTTGGTGCATTGACTATTTTCATATTCATCTTATTTTATTACATTGCAAGCGTTTTATCATGTTCTTTTCCAAGGAACTACAAAATGGTTAACAGATTTAATAGAAGTGTTCTGTGGAGACCTGTTGCCTCAGAGTTGTCTCAGGCAATCTCCAGTTTCTGTTTAATCCCAGGGATCTGAAAATATAAAGCAATTTCCACCCAAGGAATCTTCTTCTCAGTCAGCCTGGTGAGGATGGGGAAGGGAAGAAAGGGGTTGTTCTGATCATAAATCTAGAATTGATTTCCACCAGCTGCAGATTTGGTCATATTTGGGTAGAATAAAATGCCTTTAGCTCTAGCCAGAGGCCTTGTGTTCTGCAATTCCCATGAGCATGATTTTGTACAAAGAAAAGAACTTCACTTAAGAGATGTTAGATAAGGATGTTGTTTAGGTAAGGCGATCCCTTACTGCTGTGCAAATTGAGCAAGGAATTCCTGGCAGTTCCAGAAACACACACACTTTGTTCTGTTACTGGATTTCCTCAGATTAGAGAAGATTTGAATGAAATCTGAGAATTCATTTGGAATCAAATTTACTGTTTCTCAGATATTGTTTAAATGTCATGCTGCATGTAACCAAAGTCTTTAAAATAAAAATCCGTGGAGATCAGAGGTCAAACTGATGGAAAAGATGTACCTCTGTGGATTTTAGATGGAAGAGGCTTTGTGTTTTAAATGCTGCTTAGTTTCACGGAAATCAATTGATCTTAGAATGGGGAATCACCCAACACATTCAGTCTCAGGGTCCAGTTTCTCTGGAACTTTGGCTCTTTAGCAAGTGTGCCAGACAGTGATGCTTATTCCAATCATTCTTGGTGATGCTGAATGCAAGGGCCAGGAATGATCCTAGGTCCGTAGAGTTCCCACTCACGGGGTCTATTTGGAAAGAAGCGTGGGAAAGGGGGCGTCTCCCCATAGCCACTCTCAGCAGTTACCCCGCTGCCCGATCCTTAATAAGGGAGGTAGACAAAACGTGTGCGTAAAGTTAGTAAATCCTGCGCCGGCGGGACTTGGGCGCGGGGAAGGCTCCGGCCCTGTCCCGTGAGCCGCTTTGGAACTCGCCCCGTCGGTTCCTTCCTGAGCGCAACGGCCGCCACTTCGGGGCTTGGAAAGGGGCGGTTCTTCGGGCAGCCGGGGAGGGGCGGCGGCGGCGGCAGCAGCGCTAGCAGCGTGGCCAGAGCTGGCCAGCCTCTCGCAGGTAGTTCCTGCTCCCTGCCCGGCCGGGGACTGAAGCCACCATGATCAGCAACGGGGCAGGCGCCCCTCCCGCGCGCAACGGGACCCTCGCGCCTCCGCGGCTGAGAAAAGCCGCTTCCCTGGGCGGGAGTTACGACGTCGCCGGCAAGGTCGGAGCCTGCTCGGGTTGGGCGCCAGGGGGCGCGAGTGGGTGTGGCGGGGAAGGAAGGGGAGGGGGCTGCCGGAGGGGAGGGGGGCTCGGCTATTGGGACGCGGGCACTGCCCTCTCGCCTTCGTCGTGGCGCGCATGGCGTGCCCACTCTCTCCGGGACATAGTTTTAACTTTCCTCTATTCACTGGTCGTTCTCCTTCCAGCTCTGAAACTCTCCTGCCTGGGTCCCACTCTGCCAGCACCCCTGGGCAAAGAGTGGGGGGCCTTTCTTGCCCCCCCCTGCCAGCTTCTAAAGTGAAAGGTGCCGGAGGGACTCAACCCTGCTTAGAAAGACATCCCAGATGTGTGGAGGTTGCTTGTAGCCATTTGGGGACCAGGAAAGTAAATTTGCATGTGCTCAAAGGCACTCTCCTTCCTGCATTCTAAAAACGAAGCGGTGACTTTAGGATCTCCAGTGAGGTGGCTGCCTCAGGTGGAGATGCTATAGGGCAGAGAGCAGGCAGTGCTGTTTGAGCCACATGGCCTGCCCTGCTGCCCACAGGGGGATGAGGGAGAACTCTGCTCCATTGCCAGTAAGAATCAACTGCCAGTCTGTACAACGGAGTGCCCTGGCTCCTGTACCTTTTACCTGCTAAAAGTTTTAACACCTGCACAGGTGGCAGAAGTTCAACAGGTGCTGCTTTTCCAGCCTGGAAACCTGTCACCCGACTTCCACCACTCTGTCAGCAAAGGTGGCTGAGCTTGCAAATGACACTGAAAACAGCCACTGGTTGGTTTCTAAGCCTTGATTGCAGAGGCCCTGCCAATCTCTGACTGAGGCGAAACCCTGCCACCATTTAGACCTCATTGCAGGTTGTTTATAGGTTGGGGCGCTTGTCAGCTTCTCATTCTTGAGCAACTTAAAATGAATCTCCCTGACCCAGCAATGCAGCGTTCTCCTTTCCTTCAACAGAGCAGTTCCTATTCAAACCACACCCGGAGGAAGCTGCTAAAAGTGGGCTTTGTGGGGAGGTTGGTCAGGAGACGCATCTCTCAGAATGAAAGCAGCGGCAGGGGGAGGGAGAGAGAGAAAGCTTTATGCAGGGCAAAGGGGTTAGCTTCCTCAAAGGCAGCTTCTGCATGGCTCTCCCGAGCCCAGAGGTGTGAGCTCTGGGAAACCTCTCTGCTGCAGCGATGAGGAGAACATACTCCCTGCGAGGTCACTGGGATCAACTGCAGAGCCCTTTAGCTGCTGTCGTTAACAGTAGATTAGCTTTCCTCTTCCCAGCACTCAGTTGAGGAACACTGCTAACAGACAAATAATCAGAGCCAGCAGTATCCTCTGGTAACAGATTTGGGCGCTGGTCAAAGCTTTTCAGTGTGGCTTTCCAAGGAGTTCTTTGCAGGTGTCCAGCTTGGTCTTTGCTGTCAATTTCATACAAAGTCAGCTTTGAACCATGAAAAGCTAACGGGGGAATGGAAGTTCTGTCTTTTCACCTTCACAGGATGCCACTGACAAGCCACTCTCACTATGAAAAACGGTAGCATTGGAAGGCTGATGAATAGCCTGCCTTGCAAGCCTGGGAAGGCCCAGGTCTTTTGTTGTCCGGGGATTCTGGTGAGCCTCTAGTAAGCTGAAGCTCTTTTGAACGTGGAGGTCAGGGGAGACTGATTCACATGGGGAAATGGGGCACTGCCTGCCATCCTCAGCCGGCCCTCAGCCAGCTCCCCACCTGCCTGCCTTCCTTCTTACACCCAGTCGAGGCACTACCTGCCAGCTGCCTCCTTAGTCTCAGCGTTGCCCTGTCTTCTGCCCCACCAGTCCCACCAGTAGTGGAAGCCATGCAAAGGGCCAGTTCATGGGATAGCTCAGTTAGTAGAGCATGCGACTCTTAATCTCAGGGTTGTGTGTCTGAGCCCCAACTTGGGCAAAATAATAATACTGGGTCGCAGGGGTTGGGCTAAATAATAATAATAATAATAATAATAATAATAATTTATTATTTATACCCTGCCCATCTGGCTTCTCCGGTGATCCACACGGTCCCTTCCAACTCTGCAGTTCTTTGATTCTGTGTGATCACTTCTCACGGCCAGTGACTTGCTCTTGTTGCTGCTCACTTGCTTGGAGAGGGCAGCTGAACAGGCCGTGGCACAAAGGAGTAGAAGCAAAGTCAAGGATCCCTGGAGGATCCATTGTCAGGCCCTGGCAGATGCCTGACAATGCAAACCCCAACACTCACCCTAGATTCCCATCGCCCTGACCTTCTACAGGTCTTTGCACATTTGCAAGCTGAAGAACCACACACTGCAACCAGACATGCACCACAACCTATTGCTTCTTTCAAGTGTAATGGAGGGGGGCATTGTGGGCACTAGGAAAGGCCTCTGCAAGCACATGTATGCCCACAGGCACCAAAGTGGCGACCCCTGTGTTACAGAGACAGCAAAACGATGACAGCCCCCAACCCAACTCTCTGCATACACCCTTCTCTGCACAAGTTGGTGCTCTGGAACTTGCCTCCTTCCAATAAGCATTAAAAATGAAAGGGGTTTTGTGGAGTATATGAGGTCCGGTACACGTCTGCTGCCTCTCAGCTTCTCCGGACTATAGCAGAGTAAAACACAGCGTGTGCTGATGTGTTGGCTGCGTGAACCTCTGGCTACCAGTCTAGTCTTGTACTGTGGTTCTCTAGTTGCTGTGGGTTTAAGACGGTAAACCCAGTGGCTGCTCGCGGCCTGCTTACCTGCAGGCAGTGTCGTGATGGAGAACACACCTAGAGACTCCACTGAGCTCACTTCCTTCTGCATTGCCTCTTGCCATTTCCTGGCTTCTACTTCAGGCAACCTCTGAACTTCCTCAAAACTCTCTGGTTTGCACTGAGCCACACCAACCCACATGCTAGTGACCTCAAACCTTTTGGGTGGTTTTCCCTCTTTGGCTTCCCATGGGTTTGGCTCCCCCATGGACAAGTTTTCCTCATAGATTCTGCAATGTGTAAATGTGAAGCAGGCCTCCTACTCTTTAACTCATGGTGGAAACCTGTGCCTTGGGGAACGGGGATGTATCCATTTGGAATAGGAGCAGCTCAGAAGACACTTCAAAAGTCTTGACCTCATTGTTTGCTTTTCCTGCAAGGGCTGCTGACATATCTGATCGCAGGTTTGTCCCCTAGTGACAGAAAAGAGATTGCTGTTATCTCAGAGTAGACTGGCAGAACCATTCTTAATAGGGGGATGAGTACTTGCTGATCGACATTTTTCAAAGGACACATTCCGGGGTAGGGTGGGGGGTGCATCTCTTGTTAGTTGGAAACGCAAGAAAGGAAGTCTTTTTTTTAATGAAAGGTTTATTGCAACAGAAATTCCTGTGGTCTAGAGACCACTGGATGAAAACTGGGCTGTAGTCCATGAAAGCTTACAATAGGGTGGTGCAGTAGGACCTGGGAAGACCTGGGTTCAGATCCCCACTCAGATGTGAAAGTGGGCAACCTTGGGCCAGGCACTGTCTCTCAGTCTAGCCCAGCAGTTCTCAACCTGTGGGTCCCCAGATGTTGTTGGACTACAACTCCCATCATCCCTGAGCTCTGGCCTTGCTAGCTAGGGGTGATGGGAGTTGTAGTTCAACAACATCTGGGCACCCACAGGTTGAGAATGGCTGGCTAGCTTACCTCGCAAGGTTGTTGAGAGGATGAAACAGGAAGGAGGAGAACTTTGTATGCCTCTTTGAACCCTGTGGAAGAAAGGTGATGATGATGATGATGATGATGATGATGATGACGATATTATCACTGTTAGTCTTTAACAACAGAGAGTTTTGTGTCACTTTAAAAACCAGCAGATTTTATTATAGCATAAGTTTTCATGGACTGTAGCCCATTATGCCGTAATAAAATTTGTTAGTCTTTAAGGAGAGACAATACATTTTTCTGTTCTCCTCCTCCTCCTCCTCCTCCTCCTCTTCTTCTGCTTCTGCTTCTGCTTCTGCTTCTGCTGCATCAGATTAGCCAGCTACCCCCCTTGGGAAATAAGTTTTAAAGATGCCACAAGGAAGACTCCTCTTTGTTTCTCAGAAACAGCTCGGATAACACCTTCCTCTCCCCAGTGTAAAAAATGGACCCAGAGCTGCCAACAAAACCAGGACTTCTAAGCTGAGGTCTGTTTGCTTAGGAGGAGTGGATGCTGGCTTGCGTGTTTGCTCAGCTATCTGGCAACATGGGTGAGGCGGCTGGCGGGGGGAGTCCCAGATCAAACAGAGTTAGCTCATGACACGTATCACCTGGGTAAAGTGCTGTAATGGTACCTCTCAGGTGTTTATCTGGGAGATCCTCAAGCCATAGTGGAGCCTCTGTGAGCCCTGGTGGAGCCTATGTGCATTTATAGCCGCACTGACTTTTAGGGGACATTCTACAGACAAAGGGGAAGAGAGCGAAGGGACTATTTACTGTAAACAGACTTGAGACCCTAATCACAGCCTGCTCATATATATAAGTAATAAATCTGGCTCCAGCCAAAGAAGACCTGAGATGCAGGTGTTGTTTTCCAGCTGGGCCATTGCAGATTACTTGAGGGATTTACAAAGGCTTGGAGCTTACAGAGACTGTATTTGCTCATGATGGTGGGGGGGGGGGGACTTGCTTGTTTAAGGCAATGAACAAACCCTAGGAGTGCAGTAGGAGCAGCAGCACTGACCCTAGTAGGGAATTTCTTTGAAATCACAGATATGTCTTAGGTAAACTGGTCCTATGGACAGTTTATATGGATGTAAGCCTCACACAGCCTTGTTGTCTGCAATCAAAAAACACAGAACATTCAAAACCAAAGTTAAATATGTGGCCCTGCACAGCTCCACCGGTTGTTCATAGTAGTAGAAGTCATGGAAATGAGGGCAACCAGTCAGGGAAGATGGTTTATAACCTTCTAGTCATCCTGGGAAAGAAGAAATGATTACAAGTGTGCAAGAGAGGCCTGGAACTCCAGAGAATTGTGAGCTTGGTGCCCCTCAAGATTGCTCACCTACAGGCAGAAGATTACACGTCCCAATGCACAGTTCTTGAGACAGCATGGAAGGTAGGAAGACTTCTTAGGACCTCTTGGGAGGTCATGAGAAGATCCCTGTTAGATCAGGGCAATGTACATCTAGCGCAACATCCTCTTCTCAGAGTGGTCCACCAGATGCTTGTGAGCAGCCCAGAAGTTAGTACTGAATGCAACAGCACTCTGCCCACCTGTCATTCCCAGCAGGTGGTATTTAGAGCCATACTGCCTCCTACTGTGAACCCAGAAGGACCATGGCTTGGTCATAAAGCCCCAGACCATCACTTGCAAGCTTTGTTGTTGTTGTTTAGTCGTGTTTAGTAGTGTCCGACTCTTCATGACCCCATGGACCAGAGCACACCAGGCATTCCAGTCTTCCACTGCCTCCCGTGATTTGGTCAAACTCATGTTTGTAGCTTCGAGAACACTGTCCAACCATCTCGTCCTCTGTCGTCCCCTTCTCCTTGTGCCCTCCATCTTTCCCAACTTCAGGGTCTTTTCCAGGGAGTCTTCTCTTCTCATGAGGTGGCCAAAGTATTGTAGCCTCAGCTTCAGGATCTGTCCTTCCAATGAGCACTCAGGGCTGATTTCATTCAGAATGGATAGCAGTAGCATTAAGGCAGGAGGGAAGCAAACAGGTTTCAAGGAGCTGACAGCATTCTGTTGCATGTGTCCCATGTTGAGGAATAGCCACTGTCAACATTGTGAGGCTGACCCAGAGAAGTCTGATGGGGGAGCTAACATGAGAGTGAAGATTAAGTTTTTCCTATGATTGTTTTGCTGCTGTTGGCTGACCTCCTGGCTTGCTAGATTAGATTTCCCCACCGTCTAGCGATCCAGGGGGGAAGCTTATTTAAGTGGAACTTCAAATAGGTCTTCAAAACAATAGGGCATTGGCCCCGTTATGTAACACCAGGAGCCAAGCAATCAGCCAGGAAGTGAATTTGACTCTTGAAACAGCAAAGAGCAGCCTGCTCTTGTGCTCGCTTGAGCTTGGCATCCCTGCCCAGACCCTGGACCTCAGAGCACTCAGCTCTTCCTCCTACTCCTCCTCTTTCCCATTGACTTCCCTGCTCCCACCGAAGGTACCTGCTGTCCCTTGCACTATTAATGGGCTTTTGCACCCCATGTTGTAGGTGATGCTGCTTGGAGATTCAGGCGTGGGGAAAACCTGCTTCCTCATCCAGTTCAAAGACGGGGCCTTCCTCTCTGGGACCTTCATAGCCACTGTCGGCATAGACTTCCGGGTGAGAGCACTACAGCTGCCAACAAATGCAGAGAGATGCTTCTGTTACAGCGCAGGGAATGGCTGCCCCTACTGAGATCATGTTAATTGCATAGATTTTTTTTAAAAAATGTAATCTTATGTGATTGGGGTTGTAGCATGCAGGGAGGGGTTCTCTAACCCTTTCCTCCTCAGCTGTGATCCCAATTAAAATTGCTACCGCCACCCCTCTGCCATACGCACTGCTGGTAGTGATGGGAATGCATAGCTCCCATTAGGACCAACTGCAGAGCAGGGAGGGGATTTCCACTAGGATAGTAGCAGGGGAGGAAACACCCCGTTCCCTCTATGTCAGGGGTCCCCAAAATAAGGCCCACAGGCCGGATAAGGCCTGAGGGACTTGTTTATCCGGCCCGCGGCGACCCCCACCACCCACTGCCTCCGCCCGCTCTTACTGGTACTGCGCTGCACGGGTCAGAGGAGCACTGGAAATAGCTTGTGTGCATGTGCAAGCCTTATTTCCACATGTGCAAGCGTTATTTCCTGTGCACATCCAGGTCGGAGGAGGCCCATGCACATGTGCACGATCTATTTCTGGTCCTCATCCAACCTGGAATTGCACCAGAAATAGCATGTGCGCACGTGTATGGGCACACGCTCCGACCCGCCGTGCAATCGGTGCTGGAGACACCAGCCTGAGGCACGGGAAGTTTGCTGACCCCTGCTCTGTGTTGCAGTTCCAGTGGAATGTTGAGCCCCCTGCACCTAGAATCAAAATGTTGTTGTTGTTTTAAATTCCCTGACACATGGCTGCAAGCCACACAATTAACACAATGTGGAGCTCAGCCTTGAGATGAGAACAGGGCATGCCTAAATATTGCATGAGCGAGCCATGCATTTGTCCTATTCCACATGGCACAGGATTCCTGTACCTTGTTCTGGTGCCTCTAATGGATCTAAAGGAGCCCTCTCTGTCGAGCAGCAGCAGTCCTTCATGGAGCCTGTCAGGCCCCACCCCAAGCCGGGTGGAGAGAGGCGGGGCAGGGCCCTTCAGGCTCCCAGCAGGGAGTCCTGGGCAGTGGCAGCAGCATGCACCCACCAACATAAATCATGGCTATGCCCATGCATATGATGACCAGGGGGGTGCTTCCCATTACCATTCCTCAGAAAATTACTGTTTTTGTGAAGACAAAGGTACTGAATGGAAATGTTGCCTGAACTAGCTAGTCTTAGATGTGCTGTTTCTCATCATTCTCACTTCTCCCAGGATTGGTATCATCGGTTTGTATTATCTCGGCATTCTTTGGATGCATAATTTGGTATAGAAACATAGAACATACAAAGGTGCCTTCTACAGTGGTACCTCGGGTTAAGAACTTAATTCATTCTGGAGGTCCGTTCTTAACCTGAAACCGTTCTCAACCTGAGGTACCACTTTAGCTAATAGGGTTTCCCGCTGTTGCCGCACAATTTCTGTTCTCATCCTGAGGTAAAGTTCTTAACCCAAGGTACTATTTCTGGGTTAGCAGAGTCTGTAACCTGAAGCGTTTGTAACCCAAAGCATTTGTAACCCGAGGTATCACTGTACAGTGGTACCTCTGGTTGCGAACAGGACCCGTTCCGGAGCCCCGTTCGCAACCTGAGCAGAACGCAACCCGTGTCTGCGCGTCGCGATTTGCCACTTCTGTGTATGCGCGTGACATCATTTTGAGCATCTGCACATGCGCAAGCGGCGAAACCCGGAAGTAACCCATTCCGTTACTTCTGGGTCGCTGTGGGACGCAACCTGAAATGATTTAACCTGAAGCAAATGTAACAAGAGGTATGACTGTACTGAATCAAACGGTTGGCCCATATAGCTCAGTCTTGTCTACAGTGACTGGCTGCTGCGCTTGGGGGGGGGGGGGCGTTCAGGCAGGGGAGATGTCGGGGATTGAACCCAAGACCTTCTGCACGTGAGGCAGACGCTCAGCCACTGAGCGATGTCCCGTCTCCACATTTTGTGAAACGCATTATGAGGAATGAGATATCGGAGTCATCCGTAATGTTGGCCTTGCAAGGCTTCACACTTCCACTTCTCTCATGCCTAGAAAGCATGAGCCTAAGCAGTTTTTTGCTCCTGTGCTTCCTAGACTTGGGTCCAAGCAGTTTTTGCCTTTGCGTCTGGAGCAAGGGGAAGTGTGGATGAGCCCAAAGAAGAGACAGTGATTTGGAAAGGTGTCTGGGTGCTACTTCACGCCCCGAACAATGTTTGGGTTCTGATTCCACTTAAGTAGGGGGAGATCTTTTCACGCCATCCTCTGGGGGCTAAATCTGTGTCACGGAGGATGTGTGGCTGTTGCGGACTCCCATGCAACTCTCCAGGAGCGTTGGGTAAAAGAAATGTGAGACTCGTTTAGCAAATGTCACCGTGAATTTCTGCTTGGAAGAGGCTGGGGTTGCATCAGTCCCCATAACATGAAGTCAGGCCCTGTCGACCTAATCTATGGCTGCTTTCCAATAGCACGTGACTATAATATGCAGTGCAAGACTGCAAGCGTCTGGATCTATGCTGTTTTAGAGAAGGAGCTGTATTTTAGAAGATGATTGTCAGCCCCAGATTTGCCTTGTAACCCTAATGCGGGCGATGCAGAGGGGAATCTATGGGTGGCCTTATATCATGGATCATTGTTAATGCAAGAAAGAGAAAGCGGAGAATACCTTGTGACCAAACATCTTACAGGTGTTGGTATCAGGCACCAGGAATCTGGGCATTCCTCTCCCCCAGAATAGGTGGCCTGGATGTGAGACTTTCTGTTTATATGGCCCCTTCTAGGATGTGCCATATGCCAGTTTATTCCACCCATCAAATTTGCAAGATACTTTTCACACAGTCTTACAGGACTCGAGAACCACTTAAAGCAGCATGCTGAGCCCTAATGGTTTGCTTCTATTATTTCCAGTGACTACGGAGAATGTTCTCACCGAGCTTTTCCGGTGCAGGACTGCATTGTTCTCAGTGGCTGCTGCTCATCTGGGCCAGAGTGGATCTGGTTCACCCAGGGCCACTGGGAACGATGTAGCTGGGGTAGCTGCATAGAAAGGTTCCCACACCAAACGGCAGAGCGGTTTCCTGATCATAGCCTCAGTTAAGGCGACAGTGGCAGGCGAGCAAATGTGCCGTTCATCTGCAGATAAACTGATCAGATTTGCTCGCTGGCTTGTTTCCATTGCACAGTAATGTATCCTCCTGACTCCAGATCTCAATGCGTTGGTATCAGCCACCAGGAATCTGGGCATTCCTCTCCCCCAGAATAGGTGGCCTGGATGTGAGACTTTCTGTTTATATGGCCCCTTCTAGGATGTGCCATATGCCAGTTTATTCCACCCATCAAATTTGCAAGATACTTTTCACACAGCATGACTAGTGGCACAGCAATAAAACTGCTAAGCAGAGTCTAGTGTGGTTTCAAACTGGATGGGGGACCTTGTGTTGAGATTCCTGCATTGCAGGGGATTGGACTAATATCCCTCAGAGAGCTTCCAACTCTCCTATGATTCTACTGTTTTTTAGCAGATTCTTCCCATCCTCAGTAGTTACAAATAAGCACCAACAGTAGTTTGATGGAAGCAATTGATATTAACTGGGTTAATGCATTGGGGTTAATGCATTGTTCTACACTTCCCTAGGGACACGGGTAGCACTGTGGGTTAAACCACAGAGCCTAGGACTTGCCAATCAGAAGGTTGGCAGTTCGAATCCCCTTGACAGGGTGAGCTCCTGTTGCTTGGTCCCTGCTCCTGCCAACCTAGCAGTTCGAAAGCACGTCAAAGTGCAAGTAGATAAATAGGTACCGCTCCGGCAGGAAGGTAAACAGCGTTTCCATGCTCTGCTCTGGTTCGCCAGAAGTGGCTTAGTCATGCTGGCCACATGACCCGGAAGCTGTCTGCGGACAAACGCCGGCTCCCTCGGCCAATAAAGCGAGATGAGCACCGCAACCCCAGAGTCGGTCACGACTGGACCTAATGGTCAGGGGTCCCTTTACCTTTACCTTTACACTTCCCTAACGTTTATAAGTGTGATGGGGAACTTGCATCCTTCAGGATGTTGTTGGACTACAAATCCCATGAGCCTCAACCAGCATGGCCAAGTATCTGGAAGGGCAAAGGCTCCCCATTCCTAAGTTTATAAGAAATGACAACTGGTGGACTTGGGATAACGGTAACGACTGAGACGGTTAGCCTGTTCTTCATAGTGTTGGTCCTGTGCTTAATGGGAAGAATGCAACTCAGTTGCCTTATACCATAGCAAGGTCATTCAATGGGGCACTGAACAATGGGGGCGCTGCTAGTGGCAAGATTCACCCTGCTGATCAAACCTCCCAGCCAATCAAAGCAATAACCGCCAGAGAGTCAGTGTGGTGTAGTGATTAGAGTCACTGTGTCTGTTCCTGTGAAACATTTATCTGTCTTTTAAACTTTTGAAAACTGGTGTCTAGCCTGGAGCAACTCCCCTTCTGATGACCATTAGGTGCATCTGTAAGGATTCCTGTGTCTAAAGGCAAAGGCAGAGCAGACTTTTCAGTTCCTGCCATTTATTCTGCTTTATACACTTGTGTGGTTTTATTTTTATTAAATTTTTTTCTTTCAGAACAAAGTGGTGACCGTGGATGGGGTGAAGGTGAAACTGCAGGTAGGTCTCTTGAAATTACACTGATGTGGCGTATCACCTGAACTTCTTCCAAGTAAGGTAGAGGGATTTCGGCATGCACGTGGGTTGGTGTTTGTCCCTGCTGGAGTTCAGCCTCCGTGCTAGCCATTTATGTGTATTATTGTTTTATGAATTCTCATTATGTCGTTGTTTGGGTAACCAATGATTCCTGATATATTATTCTCTGCCCACTGACCTTTTATTGCATTCATCTAAGGCGTCCCTCAGCCAGGGCACCACCATGGGGAAAGCCCTGTTTCTCTCTACAATTGAAAATCACAGTGTCATATTAAATAATACATTGTATAAAACATGACCGAAGCAGAGACCACAAATAAAACACAACTTTTAAAACAAGTGGCTAACCTGTGGGCCCCACAACCCTCGATCAGCCCCAGTGAGCGTGGCAAATAGTTGTGGATGATGGGAGCTGCAATCCAACAGCCTCTGACCACAGGTTGGTCAGATTACATACCATCCAATTTCATCACTGTCTCAGTTTTGATTCATTTACCTGAGTGTACATCTGGCCCTATATGCAGGTTTTATAGGACATAGAACCCTGCAGGGTTCCACTCGATAGAACCCAGCAGAACCCTCTCCTTGCAAGGAACCATCCAGACCTTACCTGTGAAAATTTGTGTTCCGTTCCTTATCGTTTTGCCTCGTTTGTGTATGTGTGTTTTCCCACTACACTGCCACTCGCTTGGCATTGGGGTTCATGCTCATGCAATGTCGTGAAGGTCTTTCTCATGATTTACCGACTTTGCCTTGTTGCAGATCTGGGACACGGCAGGCCAGGAGCGGTTCCGAAGCGTGACTCATGCTTACTACAGAGATGCACAGGGTACGTCCTCCAGTTGGGTGTCTTGCATCGGAGCTGGTATTCTTAGCAGAGCAGCTCTTTGTTGCTAGAATCTAGTAATCATGCTATTATTATTATTATGGTGCAGCTCGCAATTCGGCTGTAAAATGTGACCCCGTAATTTTCCATTAAAAGAATCACAGGCGGCAAGGCTGGGAATGTGTCCCTGGCTGATAACCTTGACAAGTCACTGCCAATCAGAGTATACCAGGATTGGGGAAACTACATTTCCCCTGTCCATGATGGACAGAATAATTGCCACACACAGGAAGAATAAGGATTTAGTTTGAGTGCCTCACTTGTCGTTTCGTAAATCATTTAATGTGTCAATACGAATGGAAGTTGTTCATATTGCAGTTGTTGTATAAGGGATTGTTACCTTGAGTGGAGTGTAATTAAAATTAATAAGCTTTTGGATAAACAGCAGAATGTAACATTTGATGTAACAAACCAGAAATGGAAGTTGGGGGTAGTCAACAGGGAGGGGGGAAAGGAGAGAATGGATGTTCAATGATGATATTGAATAATTGTTATGAGAGAAGAAAATCAATAAAAATTATTTTTTTAAAAAAAGAAATTAATAAGCTTTTGGAACACAGAACTAAAGAAAATCACCAAACCATCAATTCTAGCACACCGGGGCACGGGATGGGACACACCTAAATTATATAATTTGCTATATGAATGATTGGTATTAGTAATTGTATTATCATTTGGCATTGTTATAATGAGGCAATTATTGGACTGTAATTCAAAACTAATAAAAATTATTATAAAAAAGGAGTGGGGAAACAGTCCTTGAGTCCAGCCCCCATCACACCCGACCGATTGGCTACACTGACAGGGGTTCATGGAAGCTGGAGTCTGACAACATCTGGAGGGTGGCAGGTTCACTGTCCCCAGAGTCTGTCTGTGAACTACTTTGAGGTCCTTTTTACAGGGAAGCGGTGTATAAATTTATAAAATGAATATAATATACTGGGGTACACGGACCAGTGGTTTGACTTGGAATAAAACATGATCATTTAGGGAGAAGGAAACAAACGTTTTTCTTTTTGTCTTGCAGCACTCCTCCTCCTCTATGACATCACCAGCAAAATGTCCTTTGATAATATCCGGGTGGGTGTTTAACGTCTGCATTTGAACCACGTGATCCGGTGCTAAAGTATTATGATCCCACCGGCCTTTCTTATCCCGACTTGCCCAGACCTTCCTCTGCTCACCAAAGCATCAAGATAAGAGCTGAGGGTTGCCAGCTAGCCAGAAATGGAAAGGGAAATCCCAGCCTGGGCTGCTTTTGTATCAGCCCCACAGTTTGATGTGCAGAAAACAACAGGAGCTTTTCACAGCGAGGAGATAAAACTTTATCACTTGCACATCAAAGGGCTGAGCAAAGCATAGCTGCAGTTGAAAAGCTGGTAATTCTTTAGGAACTTGATTGGGGAGCTTGCAGTCTCAATTTTATATAGGGGAGTTGAGGAAGGAGGACAGGAGAAAGGATAGTGGGGCAAGCAGTGGAAAGATATGCATTTGTTTCTGTTACACATACTTAGAATTGCTTGAAGGTGGGGTACAGGGATTCAGGCAGGAGAGTGGGGAACCTTTTAGGCTCCAGGGGCCAGATCCTTATCAGATCCCAGCATCATGGGTCAAATCGCCTTACAGCAGGTGATTGGGTGCTTTGAAGTCCCCGTTTTGGGACTTCAAAGCACCGCATGCAGCCCAGGCATAAGGTGCGTTAGGGTTTTCCCTGCATGGAGCTCATTCATGGAGCCAACTTGGCAGGCTTTGCCTCTACCTGCTTTCCCCTACCAATGGACAATAGGCTCCATATTGTGCATTGCAGCCACATGATGACAGCTGTGGGGCAGGGGTGTGTGGCTTGAAATTGCTTTGCGAGCCAAATTTGAACCCTTGGCGGGCCCTTGAGCTAGAGATGCCATCCCCCTTGACTTAGGGATCACCAGTGGGGCTAAATCCAAGCTTGGTCTTGCAACGTAAGATAGGACAGTATGGCATTGGCTTTACTACCCTTGTATGTATTGGTTAGGACGAAGGAATGCCACTGTGGGCAACCTTACTTTGCCCCACTCCTTTAAGGAAAGCCCTCCTCCCTCAACACATCTGTCTGCATGGTCCAGACAAGGGGACTAAAATAAAGGCTTAACAGTGCAAGCTATGCATGTCTAATCAGAAGCAAGCCCCATTGGCTTTTATGGGGCTTACTCCCAGGTAAGCAATTATGGAATTGCAGCCTGAATCCACTTATCATGATGGTGGTCCAGCCACTTAAGAGACTCTAGACCATGGCTCTAGTTACAGGTAGGTAGCCGTGTTGGTCTGCCGTAGTCGAAACAAAATAAAAAAATTCCTTCAAGTAGCACCTTAGAGACCAACTGTTATTGGTATGTACTGTTTTTAACATTTGATTGGGAGCCACCCAGAGTGGCTGGGGAGACTCAGTCAGATGGGCGGGGTATAAATAATAAATTATTATTATTATTATTATTATTATTATTATTATTATGAGCTTTCGTGTACATACACACTTCTTCAGATATATTCAGATATCTATCTGAAGAAGTGTGTATGCACACAAAAGCTCATACCAATAACAAACTTAGTTGGTCTCTAAGGTGCTACTGGGATGCGGGTGGCACTGTGGGTTAAACCACAGAGCCTAGGACTTGCCGATCAGAAGGCCAGCGGTTCGAATCCCCGCGACGGGGTGAGCTCCCGTTGCTCGGTCCCTGCTCCTGCCAACCTATCAGTTCGAAAGCACGTCAAAGTGCAAGTAGATAAATAGGTACCGCTCCAGCGGGACGGTAAATGCCGTTTCCATGCGCTGCTCTGGTTTCACCAGGCTTTCTCATGCTGGCCACATGACCCGGAAGAACTGTCTGCAGAGAAACGCCGGCTCCCTCGACCAATAAAGCGAGATGAGCGCCGCAAGCCCAGAGTTGGCCACGACTGTACCTAATGGTCAGGGGTCCCTTTACCTTTACTTTTTAAGGTGCTACTGGAAGGATTTTAAAAATTTTGTCTAGACCATGATGAGTGGTGTGTGGCCTGTTGATATTATGTCAAATGTTAAGGCCCCGTGGAACTCCCATTGCCCCGTGTTTCGTTTCCCTCCAGCTTTCATTCATTGAACGCAGTGCTTTGCCTCATGACATGACACACTACACTAAACTTTCTCTCTTCTCCCTCTTTCCCTTTCCCCACCCCCTCTTACAGGCCTGGCTTACAGAGATACACGAATATGCCCAAAAGGATGTGGTCATTATGTTACTAGGCAACAAGGTGCGTGTCATTTCCTGACAGGTGATGCAGACCTGCTCTTGCTTTGCAAATAGTTCCCCCTTTTTTTCCCCTTGACTCTGAGCTATCTCCTCCTAGCATGCTTTGCACAGTCTTCTTCTGTGGTCGGCACATAATTGGAGGAATTCTTTATCCTGGCACCTCTTGGTTTTTGATAACTCCCTCCAGCGCTCGCTTTTCTTAAGCACCGTGAAGAGTCTCCTTTCTTCCACATGCACTGGGAGCCTTTCTGCCGCCATTCCTTGCTCTGTGTTTGCTCTTCCCAGCAGCCTCAGTGGCAGAGGTGTGATTGGATTTCTGTATCTAATCCAGTAAGAGATGAAAAATAAAAGAGCCCTGTAGCATTTAGCACAAGTTGTTGTGGTGAATGCCCCATTGTTCTGCCCAGACACTGAGGTCCAGCACCGAGGGCCTTCTGGCGGTTCCCTCACTGAGAGAAGCCAAGCTACAGGGAACCAGGCAGAGGGCCTTCTCGGTAGTGGCACCCGCCCTGTGGAACGCACTCCCACCAGATGTCAAAGAGAAAAACAACTACCAGACTTTTAGAAGACATCTGAAGGCAGCCCTGTTTTGGGAATCTTTTAATGTTTAATAGATTATTGTATTTTAGTGTTCTGTTGGAAGCTGCCCAGAGTGGCTGGGGAAGCCCAGCCAGATGGGCGGGGTAGAAATAAAAAAATATATATATTATTATTATTATTATTATTATTTGATGCATCAAGCGGCATCTTAAATTGGCAGCTATCGGCACAGCACCAAAAACAAACACACACCCAAACTCAATTTTCTAAGCAGTGGGGGCCAAAAGGCTGTGAAATGCAGGCCCTGCCATGCTTCTGTGCAGAGCCCAGATGTATACAGCCCCAAGATGCATGCAAGATGGCTCTGGAGTTTGAGCAAGGATTGAGATACTTTCGGGAATTTTTATTATGTGGAATGGAGAGAGACTGCTGGGAAGTAGAGCTGATGTGGAACTGATGGCAGTTGTGGTCCAAAACAGATTTAGGACAGCTGGTTGGTGGAGACTGTTTTAAATCACCCAACTGTGCATTTTTTGTTTTTATATTGTAAACTATATCACCCTTAGGTGAAGGGTGGTATAGAAATTAACGTTATTATTTATTTTGCTTATCTTTGATGCTGGTCAGTGGGAAATTTTAGATTTGTAAGTATTTAGATTAAGTCATACGGGAGGGAAAAGGTCTTCGAACTATCACCCTTTTCTCTCTTGAAAGAGGAGACAGCTCCAGTTAGATTGCTGCCACTGGCATTCACAAACCTGTTCTCACTTAGAAGTGCTTCTGGAAGACATTGTAGCTCTGCCGCCTGTATTCCTAGTTAAGCAAGCAGAGGGTGATTTCAGGGCAGGTGGAAGAATCACCGCAGGAACAACAAACCACATGATAGCATGCCAAAATTATTTTGTGAATCGCACTTAAAAGTGTATTTGCGAAACGTAACATTCCTGAATCCATTAGATAAAGAGGGGTTGTTAGATGGAATAACCAACAGATAGAAAATGGCTGATATTTTAGTGCCCTTTTTAATATAATGACCTTTTAAAATGTGTTGTGGAATGGGGGCGGGGATTATTGGGTCCTCTTTGTTTTTAATTTCATTATGTATTTTGTGCTTTTTATATTGCAATTTTATTGCTCTGAGATCTACAGGTATACAAATTTTAATTGTGATGATGATGATGGATTGGGTGCAGAAGCTCCCTTTATGACGAGGTTAAAGCATGCAATTAAGTACAGAGAGGAGGGGAAACAAGAAATGGAATACTGTTTAACATACATAAGACACCTTTGCGTGTAGTTACTGTTGTGTTTGTATGCATTCTATTGGCCTTGGAAACTTCCTGGCCAAGACCAACCAGCAGAGGGCACCCAACACTGGAGGCGTCTACCAATGGCTATTCAGCAGGCCATCACTCACTTTATCTGAAAGACACTAAGGAACATACGGACATCCAAAGTTCCGCAAAAATCCTATGTCTGACTATATGGATTCCATCTCTGCAAAGGCACAATCCGAAAATGACTCTGGGCATATTGTGTGTCACGTAGCCGAGGTGCTCGTGTGCTGCAGACATAAATCAGTTTTATCATTATCGGTTAATTTTTCACAGAAGTGCACCTGTTACCTTTCAAAACAAGCAGAAGCATCTGCCCTCATGTCAGCATCGCCCTCTGTTGGCGGAGTCAGCACTAGGCAAGCCTTTGCATGTCAGGCGGGCTTGCCAGATGTCAGTGGACCACACACCTGGCCTCCCGGCAGCAGCATCACTATCGGGTACCAGAACGGTATGGAGTCAGGGAAGCAGGAAGTTTGGATGCACCAGCAGGAGCACTGGGCTCTCATCTCCACCATGCTGACTTTGCCACCACCCTGCCCCACACCATCCCTGTACCCAGCAATGACACCACTGCCAAGAGGTCAGGTCCACAGCGGCACATCTCCCAGCCAAGCCACTCCTCCCAGATATTGCAGCAGCAACAGCCCAGGAGCCCCTTCCAGTGGCTTCTCCCCTTGCCACAAGAACTGTGTGTGCTGGGCTGGTCACATGAGTTATTCCTAGATTTCTTTCCCTCCTGTCCCTCTGGGCGGCAGGGATCTGTGTAATTGTCTCTGCTCACTGGACCTAACCCGTACTTCAATGGCATGAGAAAAAGCCTCCTTGGGCTGCTGCTGCCATGCTTAGCATTGTTTCTCAAACCGGGGTCTCTGGCTGATGTTGGACTACAACTCCCATCATCCCCAACTGCTAGGGATGATAGGAGTTATAGTCCAACTATAGCTGAGGGACCTAAGTTTGAGTAATACTAGCTTATTGTATTGTTTCTGCAGGGAGGGAGGCGGTCTAGTATATCAAAGCCATAGATAATAAGATCAGAGAGGACACTTCTGTTGGAAGTAAGACCTGCTCAGGTGAAGAAGTCACTACTCTTCTGGGGTGGCCATGTCCAACTGCCATTTATTGATTTATCCAAATAATAGAATCCACCAGGAGGGCAGACCTGGGTACTTCCCATCAAAAGATCCCAAGGAGCAGCCAGTTTCCTAGAGGTTTGATCTGTTGGCGACTCTTCTGATCCTATCTCTTCTTGAATATCTTCCCTTTTGTTGGCAGGCTGATGTGAGCAGCGAGAGAGTGATAAGAACAGAAGATGGGGAATCATTAGCCAGGGTGAGTGAACTAATGCAAGAACCACTTGTGCCTCGGACTGGACTGCCGGTGTGGACCCTGTGGTGCTGAGCCAGCTTCTTAAAGAGACAGTTCACTAAAATGCGATATTTCCAAACACACCCACACCCCTTAAGGTGAAAGTTGGGGGGGGGGGTAGATTCCAAGGTTCCCTTGCCTCCCCTTCCCTCCAGAAACAACAGAGAAGTGACTGATTTCTCTCATTGAGGGTGAAAAGAAGCCGAGAGTAAACAATAAGAAATATCTCGCTTCTTGGGAGTGTGCAACTGCTGCACTGGCTGAAGAAGCCCCTTCCCAGACAGAGCATGGCAGCTGGCAAAGGGCTGGTGTTCAATCATTTCTGATATTTTGAATCACTGTGTTTGGATCGAGTTAACTGTGTGACGAATTTGTTCGTTTGCCTTTATATACTAGTGTGTTGCCGATATGGCTATAGCGTCTGTTAACGTTTGCTAGCTTTTAATTCTGTAGTTGCTACCATTGAGTTGCTGGGGAAGCGGGATACAATATTGAATTAAATAAAAGGGCGGGGGGTGGAATTCTCCACGGCAAGGATTTACCAGGTTTGCTTGCAAGATCTCCTCAATATTTATCCACTTTCTCCTCAGGAATATGGAGTGCCTTTCATGGAGACCAGTGCGAAGACTGGCATGAACGTGGAGCTGGCGTTTCTGGCCATTGCAAAGTGAGTAACAGGCTGTAGTCCGTTTGCTTCTGCTTCCTGGAATTAGCAGGTAGCAATAAGAGAGAAACAGACCACCTTGCTGTCAGATTATCACGTTCTGCCATGAGATGTTGTTGTAAACAAAAATTGCCCTTTCCCCCTATGGGGTATCCAAGAGCCCATATAGAGTCCTTACATAGGTTCCCTATTGGTAAAGGTAAAAGTAAAGGTACCCCTGCCCGTACGGGCCAGTCGTGTCCGACTCTGGGGTTGCGTGCTCATCTCGCTCAAGAGGCCGTGAGCCGGCGCCGTCCGAGGACACTTCCAGGTCACGTGGCCAGCGTGACGAAGCTGCAGCTGGCGAGCCAGCACCAGCGCAGCACTCAGAAACGCCATTTACCTTCACCCTATAAAGCGGTCCCTATTTATCTACTTGCACCTAAGAGTGCTTTCGAACTGCTAGGTGGGCAGGAGCTGGGACCGAACGACGGGAGCTCACCCCGCCGCGGGGATTCGAACTGCCGACCATATGATCGGCAAGTCCTAGGCACTGAGGTTTTACCCACAGCGCCACTCGCGTCCCCTCCCTATTGGTAGGAGAGAATAACAGAGGCCAACCAGAGAATATTGAGAAGCAAAGCAGCTAGTAAGCCTGATCTTTATTGATCTGTTGCAACAGGGTGCTCCCCTCACCCGCAGGAGAGAGGAGGAACCAAGAAAAATGGCGCGCAAGGCCTTATAAAGACTTTTGAAATTGCCACCCTGTAGATCAAGACCACCCCCAGAAACATCATACATACATCACAGAAAAGGCTGTCTTAAAACAGAAATTTGAATGTTGTTTTTCTCCTGTCGTTGTTTATCTCCTGTCTGGCAGGTTACTTGATTGGATTGCCTGGGTAGCCCGGCCAGTCTTTTGTAATGATAAATACTTAGTTCCTGGGCCAGGTCACAGGCTCACACCCTATTCAAACACAGACATACCCTTAAGACAGGATTTGTGAGGAAAGAGACAATGAGAGGTTTCCCACTTTGACCTTGCAGAGAAAACATTTGCTCAGTTTAGGAATCAAAATGGTTCCAGGTCGTGCTGATCTATGTACATGCTTGGTTGGTACACTTATGAACATTACCATATATCTAAGACCTCAAAATTCCTATCACAATATGTTGGCCAAGTGGACTGAGCTGGCATTCATTTCTGTGGTCTAGAGCAGCATTCCTCAGACTGGTGCACCCCAGATGCTATTGGACGCCAACTCCCATCAGAATGGCCAACGTGAATGATGGCCAGGAATGATGGGAGTTGTAGTCCAACGACATGAGCCAGGAGCCAGGTTGGGGTGGGGAAGGTTGGTCTAGCATATCCAAACAGCAGGAGCAGCCAGGGCACTGCTGCAGACCTGACCTCCCAACAACAGCATCGCTGCTGGGTACCAGGGATAAGGTCAGGGAGGTGTAGATACAGCTGCGGAGCCAATCCTGCACTTCCACTGGTGTGCCCAAACCACCCCAACCTCCCTGCTGCCTCCCTGTACACACAGACACACACATACCTTGGTATACAGCAGTGATGTCACTACCAGGAGCACCTTGTGATACTCTGTGCCAGTGATGTGGCCAGTCGCCCCATTAGACTGCCATTGACATCCGTAAATCAAGGGATGACTTGCGAGCTCAGTGGCCCAGGTCGCAGGTGCAATCCTTGGCACCTCCAGGTAGGGCTGGTCTGAAACCCTGGAGAGCGTCTCAAGTCTGAGCTCGATTGTCTGGCTCAGTGGAAGGCATTGCCCTTTGTTCTTATCTGATGTGAGGCTTCCACAGGCCAAGTTGCTTGTTTCTCTGGGCAGGGAGGGACCCTTCGGCGAAAACAGCCCCTGAGTGGTGGTTTTTTTGCTCTTACACTTCCAGAGAGCTCAAGCAACGAGCCGTCAAGCAGCCAGAGGAGCCCCGGTTCCAAATCCACGACTATATAGAGTCTCAGAAGAAGAGGAGCAGCTGCTGTGCCTTCCTTTGAGGGAGGAGGAGGAGGACACAAAGGAAGCCCGGGGGACCCCCAGTGCACAGCAAAAGAGGTCAAGAAGCGGAACTGGCACCTTGGCAGCAACGCCGGGCAGGAGCTGTGTTGCGGACACTCTCCAAAGACAATCCTTTTTAGAGAATACCGTTTCCAGGTTCTAAATGAGGTCATGCCTGCCGTTGCGGGTGTATGTGCGCTTGCAGGCATGCGTGAAGGAGGGTGTGTGTGTGAGAGTGAGTGAGTGAGTGTGTGGTTATGCGCAAAGTGTTACTTCAAAGGCCAAATGCACTCGAGTTCAGGACCGGCCGACCTGTGCTCAAAGTGGAGCTGGTCAGGATCTGTAATATCGCCCAGGCCTAGTCTTTGCAAGGAACTGGCCTGGACTCAAGATTCCTGGACAGAGCATCATGACTTATTTAGACAGGGCCACCTCTCCCAGGCCAGCAGGACTGAGCTAGGTTGACCTCAGATGCAGAAGCAGGATCTGCGCAGAGGGAGGTGTCCTTTGGCAACGTCCGTAGGACTGTTTTGGATGAGGTCTGGCTGAGCTAAAGGGTTAATTTAATAGCAGTGACATGACTGGTGTGTGGGGGGGGGAGAGACTGCAACCCTTTTGCTTCCCCTAGAAAGGTGACGCTTTAGATGTTAAAATGAAACTAGCAGGAGTGTCCAGTAAAGAAATAGTAGACACATTTCCTTTGACCTCTGGCTCTTTCCTGCTGCCCACACCCAAAGATCCTGCAGTCAGGGCTGCCTTCCTTCTCCTCCCTTCCTCCCTCTGCCCCAAGGAAAGGACTGAGGGATGCAAGTATTATTCCTAGTGTGCCTGTTACGTCAGGAAAATGCTTCCAACCCCGGTTGGTTGAGAAGAGAAATCGCTCTGCGCAAATATATCTGTTACTGGCTAGAAACAAAGGAAAGCTTTAGAAAGCTTGACTCTGCTTTTCGTTCCGGTCAAACCAAGATCCTCTGCCAAAGTGAAGCCCAGTAAGTTGAAAGGCAGCGCAGCAGAATGGGGAGAAAAGTTGGCTCCCTCTGTTCCAGCCTTGGCCAACCCAGTGCCCTGCTAATGTCTTGAACTACAACTCCCATCAGCCTTGGCCGCTGAGAGTTTCAGTCCAGCAGGTCACCAGGTTGGCCAAGGCTGCTCCGTTCAGACGCACAATTTGGCTACTTCAGAGGCTGTCTGCTTTGGAAAGTGGTGGAGCATTCTACGGTGATTGCCCCCACCCTGGGCTCCTTCTTTCTTGCAAGCAGGGCCTGGGTTTCTGGGAGAGAAGCAAGCTCCCTTGCACAAGTTCATACCAGCCAAGCAGCGTGGCTGAAAGAATAAGCCCCCGGAGATCTATATTTGGGCCCATGCAATACTTGTCCATCTTGTACAAACTGCCACCATTCCATGCGGCATGGTGTCAGAAGTCTCCACTGGTGTGATCCAGAGGTGTTTTCAGGAATCATGCCTTACAGTGGGGATAAGGAACCTGTGGCTTTCCAGATGTTGGTCGATTACAACTCCTGTCATCCCCAACCATTGCTCTTACTGGGTGGGGACGACAGGAACTGGAGCCCTCCCCCTGCCTTATTCATATAAGAGGAGTGCTCTTGTAGCTCAAATATAGCCGTAGACAACAGAAGCAGCTAATCCACACAAAGCAATAGTTGTGATTCTTATGTTCCTAGATTCCTATGCGATCCAAAGACCCCTGTGTGCAGTTGAGGCCTGGCCACATGCATGTTCGTTTTGAAGTGTGTGCCACTCAGTTCAATGGGATATATTCCTAGTGAATGAGATATATTCCGCACTTGCCTTTCCTCCACGCATTCCAGGTATGGTCCATGCTTTAAAGCTCTGCATCCTTTATTTTATTTTTGGTTTTTTTGCTTCACAGCGTCCCCTGCGAAAACTCACTCTTGAAAGCTCAATCGGAGCAAACAGCAATCTGCGGGAAACAAGAGCCAGGTGGGTTTTCTTGGGGGAAGCTCTGGAACAAAAAAAGCACAAACCCAAGAGTGCTCAGACACAGATCTTTAAAGCACAGACCTATGCCTGGAATGAGCAGGGCAAAAGGCAACTGTGGATAAGCCCTGAGTGGACTGCAGCCTTACTTGATTTCAATAGGATTTTAGTATGCTGAGCACTTTTGCTATATTCTATGCAATGCAGCCTAAACTGTCTTCTCGTCACATGCATCATGCTCATATTTCCTTAGCTCTGCTTTCTGGAAATACATCACTGGTGTATGTTGTGTTTAAATTGATGTGGCACAAACCCTTAGGCTGTTGAAGAATTTCTCGCGTCTGGGTTCTCAAGTTTTGGTTTCTGCATTTGGAACATGGCTGTCGTTGTTGCTAATCACCCCAAAGGCAATGTATAAGTTGATATCCCCATTCCCTTCAGTCCTCTTCTATAAAACGTGGATTCCTAAATCAGTGTGGATTGCCACTGGACCAGACAAGAATTCTCCATGGCCAGCCATGTTGCTTACATGCTGCTGCTGGAGGTAGACGCAGTCAGTACCTTGGGAATAAATGGAGACTGTTAGCCCCATGAAAGTGCTGCTTCTCTGCAGTGCCCTTTGATTCATTCCCTTGGTGGCATGAATAGCCTACCAACAGTGCTAGTGCCCATATTTTTATTGGGTGGGTGGGGGTGCCAAGGAAGGCACCCTCAGTAATGCCCCCTTAACCTGGAAGGAGTGGGGGGATGAAAACAGAACATTCTTCACGTGTCCCACAACCCCTTCTTTGGTGCTCCGTGTAAAGTAAAAACGGTGGCCCCGTGGCCCAGACTCAGAGCTGGCAGATCCTATGCTGTCCTTGGGAGCCCAGCCCATCGTTTAATTTAGGGCTGAAGGTAGTAAAATGGACTTTGCACCAGAAAGCTTCAAAGTAATGACTGTAAATATGTCAAGGAAAAAGCACAATGAAGCCGCTGGGAGGAAAATTGCAGGAAAATTATTGTCTGCTTTAGGGGCTGCTCATGCATTATTATTTTTCTTCCAACCAAAGATCCACCTTTGTTTGTAAGGCAGCAGGAGCACCTTTTTAGCTGGCTAGCAGCTTCCTCCTAATTGATTTATACCTGGCCTCTGCAACTCACAATCTACCAAGTGCAGCCCATGAATGTTGTGGCCAGCTAGTTGCTTGACAAGGTAGGCATTAAATACAGGGAATGCTATTATGTCCTTGGTAAGTTGTTTATTTTTACACACCTGATGCATACACACAGCCAAAAAGACACCTCCGTTGTGATACACGAGTTAAACAGAATTTTGTTTCCATGTTCTAAAAAACAAAATGTAAAGCCCTTAGTTTTGCTTGCCCTTTTGGATCTCTGCATGTGGAGACCATTCTTACCGACCACCCCCAAGGCGGTAGACTCCTGAGGAAGCGGGACAATTGCCTTTACAGTGACGGCTGGACAGGAGCATCAAGTCTACCCTAAACTCAATCTTCTTGGGCGGATTTTGTCTCAACTTGTATTTATTCGTAGAAAGAGGACACCCCCCCCCCATTTCTCCATTTCTAAAGCTCCTCACAAAAATATAGACACAACAGGTAGGCTAATAACTGTTAAAGCATATATAATAGAATAATTATATCATCCAAAAAGTAGAAATAAATCTATTAGACTTTTTGAATGATATCATTATTCTATTATATATGCTTTAACAGATATTAGCCTACCTGTTGTGTCTATGTTTCTGTGAATGGTTCTCAGTTATAATGCCATCATTCCGTAAGGGATGAACCAGACACTACAGGAGTATGTAGAGATAGACATCCCATCCCATGGTTTCATACTATCCGTCTCCTGCTTGAGCCCCACCGACTTAGTACAGTGGTACCTCAGGTTAAGTACTTAATTCGTTCCGGAGGTCTGTACTTAACCTGAAACTGTTCTTAACCTGAAGCACCACTTTAGCTAATGGGGCCTCCTGCTGCCGCCGCGCCACTGGAGCACAATTTCTGTTCTCATCCTGAAGCAAAGTTCTTAACCCGAGGTACTATTTCTGGGTTAGCGGAGTCTGTAACTTGAAGTGTATGTAACCTGAAGTGTATGTAACCCAAGGTACCACTGTAATTTGTAAGCAGAGGCTATCTTGCATTCAGTGGATGTGATAGGCCATTAATCAAAATACAACCAAAATCACACAAATCCTCAGAATTTAAACAATCTAGCTACCTCCCATTCTATCAGGGACATGTTTTGCATTCAGAGAATCCTACATTCAATCTGTATTGTGGGAGTTGCTAATCACTGGGCCTCCATATGTTCTTGGACTCCATTATGATGGTGGTGGTGCTGGCAAAATGTTTATTCCAAAATGTTATTTTGCTACACATCTTTAAAAACAAACAAAATTATTTCCAGAACAATTTTGGGGTGGATTCTGTACCACAGGACAGCCCTATGCAGAGAGAGCACATTATAATTGTCCATGTTCCTGGTGCATGGAACACTCTGGCTAAGCTAATCTTATTCAGGAATAGCCATAGCTGGTAGACAAGCCAGAGCAGAAAATGGGCACTGTGCCGCTGTGGCTACTTGGGCCTCCAGTGACAAGGTGGAATCAAGGAGCACACCTAGACTATGCACCTGGGGTGGCAAAACCTTCCAGAAAGAAGTCTGTCACCCAGTCCCCAAAACCAGGAACCACCAAACCATAACACCTGCATCTTTCCCCCAGATCACTGGCCCCACTGGCTGGGGCTAAAGAGAATGAGAGTCCAACAACATCTGGAGGGCCAACAGGTTAGTCACCCCTGGTCTTAGCATACCCAGTTGAAGAATCTCTAATAGCAAGGTTAAGCATGACCTTTGTCTGTGACCCTGAAGATCCATTGCTTGTTGGGAGTAGGCTGTCCTCAGCTAGGTGAACCTATGCTCCGATTTCAGCAGCAGCTGCTCAAAACAGCTTGATCATTCAGTTTTTAAAAGCCTATGCATCATTCATCGCTGTGGCCCTAGAAAGAAGAAAGCAGGAAGAAATAAAGGCGTGGATCCAGATGAACTTGGTTGGGTTTGTATCCTACTGAAATTCAGTGGGGCAGGATATTCATAACTTCAGTCCCATTGGTTTCAACAGGAACTAAGTTCAACTAACTTAGTCTCGACCCACTCCATGGATGGTTCAAATTACTCGTGCACAACTTCCTTGTAGCTTTGCTTTTAGGTTAATAAAGAGTCCAGTGTCTACTGGATGATTCATAGTAAAAATTTGTGGTTTTAAGTTGGAGCAGTGAATAACACAAGCTCCCTGCTTTGCTTGTGTGGGCACTGCATTTCCTTTCTGTATCTGTACATAATGCAAATACTTCTAGTTTTTCTTTCCCAATATCAGAGTCATTGACCGTCCAAAGGCATAAAATGAAAAACAAAGAATATGTAATAGAGCATTTGAATGCTCATTGTCTCAGTACCATTTCCTGATTCAGCCAAACCTATCCATGTTTTGATATCATGGGTATTTTTTTTTTAACACCATAATTGCACTGTAGATAATGGTGCATTGCTTCTAATGCGGAACCTATTATATACTGGAGAATCTTGACTACATTGGCCCTTGTTTTTAAAACAGACTGTATTCAGGTCCTCATGATTACTCAGAAAAGACCTAAAACATGTAGGCAGCTGGCACTAAAGCAGGGGTAGGGAACCTTTTCTGACTGGTGGGCTAGATGGTCATTTCTCCACCCCTTGGCAGGCTGAGTTTGACAGAGAGGCAAGGCCGTCCAGGTATTAATCACCTGACATCACTATGACATTGGGTGATTTTGCACTTTGAAGTTCCAGTTGCTGGGACTTCAAAGCACAGCTCTGTTTGAGGCCTCAAACAGGAGCAAGGGCAAGTGGGCTGTCTGAAAGCCCCTTCCTTGTTTGAGCCTCTGTTTTTTTTGGAGAAGGAGGGACACGGGTGGCGCTGTGGGTTAAACCACAGAGCCTAGGACTTGCCGATCAGAAGGTCGGCGGTTTGAATCCCCGCGACGGGGGGAACTCCTGTTGCTCGGTCCCTGCTCCTGCCAACCTATCAGTTTGAAAGCACACCAAAAAGTGCAAGTAGATAAATAGGTACCGCTCCAGCGGGAAGGTAAACAGTGTTTCCGTGCACTGCTCTGGTTCGCCAGAAGTGGCTTAGTCATGCTTTGCCAAGGGGGGGAAATGGAGCTGCTTGCTTTGACTGTGCATTCCTCAGCCAACAAGTGGAGGGGTAAATCCTTGAATCTGGCCCATTGGCTGATGTCATGTGTGACGTCTCCCCAGGGCAGGCTGCCATAGGCCTGCACACAAAGGTTCTTCATTCTGTACTAATATCTCAGCCACCAGAGTAGATTGGGGGGGAGGGGTTGTGTGGTCCAAGGAAAAGACATGCATTTAACCATCAAGCCCATGTTCTCTCTATGGCTATCTTAAGTCCTATTGTCACGGCTGATCAAAGACCAAATGTCACCTCCGGAGAGAAGCAACTTCAGCACCTTCTCCTCCATTTGTTAAGAATGATATAAATAGCCTTTTACAATTGCACAATAAAATCTGGCTGAGAACGTTCTAGGAGCCTAGAGAAAAATGGAAGGACAAAGGAAAGTCTGGACATCTCCGCATGATTCTACAAAGGTTCAGAACATTCTAGAAGATTAGGGAAAAAATGAGTCAATGCAGAAGATGTAAAACATGCTACTTAAAGCATTCTGTTCCCCCTTTTGTTGCTAATAACATAAGTTTGATACTTAAAAGTTTCGTGTTTAGTGACTAATGGGGTACCAATATTACAATCACCTTAATTTTTTACAGGAGGTCAATAAACCACAATGTTAATGCAATCCTGGAAACAGTTCAGTACTGCCAGCTTAACATATAAATGAAAACTATTTGCTGTGCTCTATTTGTTGGAGCAAGTAAGTGGATGACTTAGGTGGCGCATCCCAAGGCCTACTCCTTGGTTGCTTCCTGTTCAATCCAGGCCTGCCTATTGTCTTAAATGTCTTGTTCCTGCACTCCCGTGGTCCCACAGGATCCCATGAATCTCAGCAGCCATTCTCCTAAAGAATGGAGGGGGAGGGGAAATGGGAAAGTTCTACATATTTGTAAAAAGCAAATGGAACAAAAGATGCAAACCTCGATGCAGCTGCATTTAACTGAGCGGCAGAGGTGCTCTACAGAGCAGTTTGCAGAACTGCCTTTTGAAACATCTCTTTCTTCCATTAAACAGCTCTCCCGGGCTGCTTTCCACCTACGAAGCTTGCTCACTCCTCTGCCTGTCTGCCAACTGTTCTGTTACCATGCTGTAGTTGGTGTGGCTGCTTATTGGCAGCCATGTGAACTAGTACAACATGACAATACCATTACAGTGGTACCTCGGGTTAAGTACTTAATTCGTTCTGGAGGTCCGTTCTTAACCTGAAACTGTTCTTAACCTGAAGCACCACTTTAGCTAATGGGGCCTCCTGCTGCCGCCACGCCGCCAGAGCACAATTTCTGTTCTCATCCTGAAGCAAAGTTCTTAACCTGAGGTACTATTTCTGGGTTAGCAAGAGTCTGTAACCTGAAGCGTCTGTAACCCGAGGTACCCCTATATACAGTGTGTGTGTGTGTGTGTGTGTGTGTGTGTATGTATATATATATATATATATATACATACACACACACACACACACACACACACACACACACACATATATATGAAGAATAAATGTATATTCTGCTGTTCCACAATAACAATATTGTTCAGGGCACCTATGTGATGGCACCTCAAAGTAAAATCTGAGTACGGGCAGTGCTTCTTTCCCTCATTCTGAATAGGCAAGCATTTTGACCTTTTTCCACAGCCCTGCTCCCAGAATGGCCAGCCTTTTTTTCAGTTCATGAGAACATAAGAGTTACCTCCTGGATCAGACCAATGGCCCATCTACTCCAGCATCCTGTTCTTACAGTGGCCAACCTGTGGGAAACCAGCCTGAGCCTGTGAATAAATTTTACCCAAGGTCTCAATAAAAAGCTGACTCTCCATTTAGGACTGTACTGTATTTTTACTTCTTCTTTCTAGGTTCTGATTTTACCATTATTGACAGAAAAACTTCCTCCACTGAAATGCACCAGGACAGTAACCTCTTGTGAAGAACTGAAACTAGCCTAGTTTGCCACTTTATTATGTTAGCTAGCAATAAACAGCCTTAAAAAAGCATTTCATATGTTTTTGCTTATTACTTCCTTCTGCACAGAGTTCCGGAAATTTTGCCATCTTTAGTTCTGAAGTTCAACACCTCCAGTGCTGACTATGGCACCATGCCAGCACTCCGAGCCTGTATGTGTGGCTTTCTCTGCTGCAAAAACATTTCTAAACAGAGAATTTCCTACTCTTGAGCACATGGTTTGACATATAGTGACACTTTTTGTCTTGGCTGCTATTTATGGATTTCTGGTTGCAAGTTAACAGAATTAAACATCAGTATGTTGGAGAGAGTCAGAGTGTGTGTCTGGTCCTTCAAGGGAACAATTTTCTTTACTCTGCAAATACATTGCACTATCCCACTGAATTCAGAAAGTAAAATATTGCATTGTATCCTTAGTAATAATAGTACTCTGGTTCAGGCTTTCAGTCTGCCAGCCTGTTCCAGAATACTGTATTCTATTCTGTTTCTGGGTTTTCTTTTCCATCTGACAACATTCTGCAGCAACTGAGCATGCCCAGTTCTCACTGACCTGCTTTTCTTTATTTTTACATTCTACATAAACTCATGAAAACCTCAGTTGTTCAATACAGTGGTACCTCGGGTTAAGATCTTAATACATTCTGGAGGTCTGTTCTTAACCTGAAACTGTTCTTAACCTGAAGCACCACTTTAGCTAATGGGGCCTCCCGCTGCTGCCGCCGCCGCCGCACGATTTCTGTTCTCATCCTGAAGCAAAGTTCTTAACCCGAGGTACTATTTCTGGGTTAGCAGAGTCTGTAACCTGAAGCGTCTGTAACCCGAGGTACCACTGTACATCCCTCCCCTGTTTCTCAGTGGTCCTGTTTTGGCTACAATACTATCAGCACTCCACCACCTGAGCCTGCTGTTAGCAGGAGCGATAGGACTGAAGTTTATGACTGCCACTCTATGCTCACAGGAAAAAGTCCTGCTGGACTCTGTGAGATTTGCTTCCGAGCAAACACATATGCAATTGAGCTGCTTGCATGTCTCATCAAACTCTGTGATGATAACACAGAGAACTGCAGCAGCAAGGGAGAGACGCTACGCCTTATTGGAATTTGTGCTGCCATGCTCAGTGGGTGTGGGAGAAGCTGGAGGCACAAGGCGCCCTCGGGAGTTTCACGAAATGTTTCATAGTCCAAAGGTGATGGGGGGGAGTAAACATAATATGTTAAATTAAAACCCACAATCTCCTCCTCCTCCTGTTCTCATATTGCAGACTCCAGCATTCTCCAAATACCTTTATCATCCCACCAACAGAATTGCTGCTGTTGCTGCCGGACTGAGGGAGACGCAAGCTGTGACTCTTAGAAAATGCATTTCTGTTCTTCAGCTGAGATGTTGACCCTTCTTTACCTTACCAAGAGCTGTTGAGTGATCCCTGTTCAGGTGGTATGGTAGAATTATAGCAAATGCAACCCCCATCCCACCGATGATAGTTAAGGTTCCAAGTTACACTTCATTCCTGATTACTGTACAGTGCTACCTCGGTTTAAGAACAGTCCTGTTTAAGAACGATTCGGTTTACACACTCCCCAAAACTGGAAATAGTGTCCCAGTTTGAGAACTTTACCTCAGTCTAAGAACGGAATCCAAACGGTGGAAGGGCACCGGCAGCAGGAGGCCTCATCAGGGAAAGCGCGCCTCGGTTTAAGAACGGTTTCAGTTTAAGAACAGACTTCTGGAACAGATTAAGTTTGTAAACTGAAGTACCACTGTACTGTAGAAAGCACACTGAGAGTTGCCTAGGCTTTAGGTGATTGCTGCACCTCTTTGCTACAGCCGCTGGACCTGACTTCTTGTTCGTTCAGAGGGATGGTTCATGTTTCTGACTCAGCACCACTTTGGTACACTGGGGGGTATTAAAGATATTATCCTTCCTTCAGCATAGCCCTGTTGGAATGTGCCTCCTGGGAGCAGTTCCTACAGAGAGACCCTGAGGCTCAAGTCACATCGCATACCCCTTAATCCTAAATTAGAGAGCCCAGCTATATGATTACTCACTGATGATGCGAAGGCATTCAGCATATGAGTTTGGAAACAGCCACCAGCATCACTTTATGTGATGCAGGAATAATACTGATTAGTGCCAAGCTATCCTCTCCACCACCAGCCAGTTCACCTGCATGGAATTCTACCAGGTGAGCTGTTAACATAAAGCTGTTTTAAAGGTCTGGAAGTTGAAGCAGGTGAATAATGCAGCATCCAAGCTGCTGAGTGGAGGACCTGACCTGAAGGTGTTTCACTGGCCACCAATTAGTTTCCGAGCCATGTTCATGGTCTTATTACTAACATAATAACAACCTTAAACAACTAAGGACCAGGTTACCAGAAGGACGGACTGCCCCTGCATAAACCTGTAACACCACTTTGATCATCTGGGGAAACGTAACTCGTGGCATTGCACCCGACATAATTGTCACAGAATTGTGACCCAAAAGCAGGCATTTCCTGCCATTATCCCACATTCTGGAATTGGCCGTGCAGGAAGCATAATCCATCAGTAGTTTCAGATTGTAAAGATGTACCACTTTGCCCAGGCTTTAAATGACTCGTAAGACTGGACCCTGATGCAACGAGATTTCTGATTTTAACTCTGTTTTTATGGTACCGTTCTGCTAGTTTTCTTGTATCTTTCTACACTGGTTAGTGATGTTGAATATTAAGCCATTAAGAAATGCTTTTAAATAAAGTAAATAAGTAAATAAAAAATAACTAGAATTGCCTCCTATCGAGAAATCCCCCAACAGGTCTGCTGTTGTTGTGTATGAAGAGGTAAATCATTTCCCAGATTGGAGCTAAACATTGTGTGCACCAGCCTGATGGTGAAAGAGGCAGCTCTGGTGGCCAGCTGAAAAGTTAGCAGCTGCTGAAGTGTGCTTTCCAATTCAATTCAGGAAAAAGAAATTGTGTCTTTGCAGTCACAGACATTTGTTACATAACTGTCTTATGGTACATATAAAATGCTTTGCATACGACCACAAAAATGTAATGTGAAAAGCCACCCTGGTGGTTGAAAGGACTACGTGGTTGTATTCGAAAGACCTCCCTTCAATTCCACAAACAAGTCTTTGAATTCTATATGGTTTCCATTTACATTCAGCTGCAACATTTCCTCCATGTCCAGCAGATGTTGCTCCTCTTAAAATACCGCAGAAGGAAATAACTAGAGCAGGTAGAAGGGTAGGGGGTGACCCAGTTTCCCTGACCTTTTAAACCAAAGGGGGCATTTTCAAACCACTGGGAGGCTCAAGTCTTATTTCTTGCGATATTCACAATTCCCTATGTGTGGCAATCACATTTCATTTGCCCTGTGTACAGAAATTTCTGTATGACAAAGGTATATCTGCTACCAGCTTCTTATTCTTTTTTTAAAAAAGCTACCTTTTTCACAAGCAGCATAGGAGGGTTAGAGTTGTTGAGTTGTCACCACAGTTGGTCGATCAACTACATTAGTAGCATTTTAAATTGATTAATTGGCATTCAAATAAACTAATGATTCTGGAGAAACAGGCCTACTTCTTTTTTTTTTTTTATAATGCACACTTCTGCTGCATAAGGCCTAATTGTAGCAAAGACATCCCCACCTCTAGGGGCAATGCAAGGGTGCCATCCTGAATAAAATATTATATTGCGGGGGGGGGGGAGATAAGCCCCACCCTGCATAATCAATCATAAGATGCGGCGCGCGCGCGCACACACACACACACACACACCATTTGGATGGCAATGCCCATCAACTGGGGGTGGGGGGGGGACCTGGCCCCTTCAAATATTTTATGGGGTGGGGGGCTGGAGGGACCTTGTCCCCTAGGAGTTAGCTCCTATGGAGCAGTGCCACAATTTTTGAAAGTATAGTACTTGCATTAAAAACTACTTCAGTTCAGTTGGTGGTCCATTTAATCAGGGACCCCATTTTGACCCACTTGTCTAGGCAGCTGATTAGTCCAGGGATGCATAACCTCAGGCCCTCCAGACCTTTTTATGTGGCCCTTGGGCCTGTCCTAAAGCCACACCCCTCACTGTCCATGCTTTTTTAGCCTCATTGGGTGCTTTTTCCTGGTGGCAATCTGTCCTTGCGGCTGTGATGATGCCTGCTGTCTGTCTGGGTGGAGGGTAGACAGGTGTGAGTGTGTAGAAACTAGCCTACTGAAGAAAAGGAACAGTCCAATTGGTCTCTTTTGCCTCTGGCCCTGCCCACCTTGACATGTGGGAGCTGGAAAGTTGCCCAGAAGGGAATGCGGATCTGTGGCTGAAAAAGGTTCCCCACCCGCAGATTAGTCTTAATCAAGGAAATTCTGCAGCCCTGAGTTCATAAGACCTAGCTTGGCCTCACCCACCAAATCCTATGGCATTCTTCTGAACTTTTAGAACAAAGTTACAATGCAGTCTTGTGCGTGTCTACCAAGTTCAATGGGACTTAGGCTGCTGTAGCTAGGAATGCAGCCTTAAGGACTGTTATTATGCTTCCCTGCTTAAATCCAACAGGGTCTTTGGACTCCAGCCACAAATTGTTATATATAATTGTTCGGTCTCTCTTTCTTTGTGCCTCTCTTTCTCTTTCCCTTGCTGCACACACACACACACATGCCTTTTGTTTGCTGCTTAGTCAGCTTTATACTGCAATGTGTGGCAGCTATTGTAAATTCTTTTTCTTACAGCCTGGAAACAAGCACGCACACGGTCAACAAAATAACAAGATATATACAAGCTCCTGGCAAGTATGCAAAGTAAACAAACAAAAGATTCTCAAGGAAAATCTGCTGCCTCTATGCAAAATTTCTGTGAATGTTTCCTGCTTCTCCCTTAAAGGGAAATGAAAACATACAAGGCCGGATCCAGCTAACAAGGTCCACCAGCCAGTGTGGGCCCTAGGAAGCATGTCTAGCTCAGCAGGGCTTTCCCCTCGTCCTCCCGCTGCACCCACCCAGACTGGCAGGGGGAGGGTTTGGAGAGCCCCTGGAACAGCACGTGGGGGGCAGGAGGAGTGGGCAGGCCATGCTTGTCCTGATGGAGAGATCTGCTTAGTGCTGTGTTGAATTCCTCCCACAGACATAGCACCAGATGCTCAGAGCTTTTATTTATACCAGTTACATCCAAAATCTGCACAAACCTTTTGCATCAAATGTGTTGCTGTGAGCCCCAAAAGGGAGTGTCATATGCTTGCTGCACAAATGCAATGTGGGAGAAACTAAGGCCCGTTTCATAGAGCCTCCAGACTTGCTTATATTTTGTGTGACGGATTCAAAAATTTAGGTTTGTGCAATTATAGTGGGTTAAAGCACTATGTGATCCTGGTGAAACACTTCTACCTTTTTTAAAAAACAACAACAACTGACTTTTTATGGTTAGGGAAGTGAGAGAGAAATACACTGAAAAGTGTGGGGTAATCAAACAATTATCAGTAAGACTTATACGTAAATGCAAGCAGATCAGAATGAAACCAGGTTGAATGTTCATTGTTGTAGAACCTCTCCACAAAGAGATTACACAGATGCTCAGCAGAGACTGGAGATGGTCTAACCTCTGCATAAGCTTTGTGCAAGCAAATAAGGGTGAGTGCTCAGTAAACGGGTCATCTGGAGAAACCCTGGGACCATGCTGTAAGTGGGCTGAAGGCAAAGGAGCTCAGGGCTCCTGTTGATACAATCTTCCATGTAGGCAGGAACCAACTGCCCTGGTTCTGATGCCCACAAACCATGTCACAGAGGGACTATTGCAGCAGAGGGGTGGTTGCTGCCAGTCCACAATGACCATGTAGGATCAGCACTGATGGCACAGCAACAACAGTGCCAAACTCTTATGCTAGTACTTCCACTTCCCTTTGAATGAAACTTCCAGTGCTGGAGAAACTGCAGTCTGCTTGGAGACCAGCCTGCGCCTTTCCCCTTTCCCCTTTCCCTGCGCCTTCCTAGTCTGCACGATGGGTTCTCCCTTCTTCACATATTAAACCAGGAACTAGAAACCTGTGGCCTGAAAGATGTTGTTGGATTACGACTCCCATCATCCCTGATCACTGGCCATACTGATGGGGCTGATAGGAACAGGAGTCCAGCAACATTGGGGGGGGAGATGGGATTTCCCCTCCCTGCCTTAGCTGTTTAAGAATCCAACAAAGATACAAGTCTGGTTTGCAAAGCCATGTTCGCCCATTAGGGATTGCCATCCACACCATGCCTTCGCTATTATTCCACTTTAACTGTCATGGCGTTCCTGGGAACTATAGTTTGTTAAGGGTGATTAGAATTGTCAGGAAACCCCTCACAGTGCTACAGTTTCCAGCAAACTTAACCAGCTACGGTTACAGGTAGGTAGCTGTGTTGGTCTGCCCTAGTCGAAATAAAATAAAATAAACTTCCTTCCAGGAAGTTATTGGTAGGAGATTCCGTGGGCATGCACACTTCAGATACACTGTGTATCTGAGTTGGTCTCTAAGGTGCTACTGGAATGAATAATTTTTAAATTTTGTTTTAACTAACTACAGTTCTCAGTACTGTATTATTTGGGGGAAGCCATAGCCATTAAAAGGTATGAGTGCTTTAAACATATTGTGTCAATGTGACCTAACTCGGAGGCAGTCCCGGGTTTAACCGATATAACATGCGAAACAACCTAATGCATGCCTAATTATTTCAGATTTTGGAGCGACTGGGCTCCTCCCTTTCTCTTGCGTCCTGCGCTGTAAAGCGGGTGGGGAATGCTTCTACCGGCTTGCTAAAGCCACTCAGCTAATTGGCGACTGAGCAGATTACACGAAGCTATAATCCAAATGTAAGTGGTCCGTGAGGGTCACAATTACTTTTTAAAAACTGAGTAGGTGCATACTCAGGGGGCCAGAGTCTATGAATTTACTTCCTTGATGTGTGTGTGTTTCCCTTCCAGGAACCCCCGTCTCCTCTCCTACAAGTCTATAGTGAAAACACACACGCCAAGATGAAGGTTTGATTGCTCATATCGCTCCAGCCTTGTCCTTTTAATATAATTCAGGCCCAATGGAAGGAAGCGCCCAACCCCTACAGAAGTCTCGGTTTTTTTGCCACTTCGTAACATTCCGCCTTCCTGGGCGAGAGGAGGGAGAGAAAAACCCATTTTATTTTATTTTTGCGTGCTCAAGATAACTAAAGAAGAAGGGGCGGAGCTGCCTCTTTTTCCTATTTGCATATTCCAGCTTTCCGATCCTATCTTTGCCTTCGAGGGGCGTTCCCAGGGCGTATTCGCTCCTCCTTTCCCCCCGAATCTCATTGGTCCAAAATAGACCCTTCTGTGAGCTGTGCCCGCCCCCTTGGTAAAATCTCAATGACAGGTTCTGGAACGCTCAGACCCCGAGTAAAGCAGCGATTGGCGGAGCGGCGCCTATTTGTTACACTCGCAATCAGCATCCTATTGCCCGCAGAGCGTTCCGGGCCCGCCCCGGGGAACACCTGCTGCTGCTCCGAAGTTCCCCAGGCCCGTCCTTTAGAGATCTGCTGCCCGGGACTGTTATCGTACTTTGCAGGCAACTCTGCACAACTCGCCTGCCGTCGAGTTTCTTCCCGGGGCGTCCGAGCAGCCTTAAGGGACGGAGAGCATGATTGACAACGGGGGAGGGAGCGAGCTTCTGCCCCGGCTGTGCTGCCCGGAGAAGGGGCCGAACGGCTACGGCTTCCACCTGCACGGGGAGAAAGGCAAAGTGGGCCAGTTCATCCGGCTGGTGGAGCCCGATTCCCCGGCCGAGAAGTCCGGGCTGCGGGCCGGGGACCGCCTGGTGGAGGTGAACGGCGACAACGTGGAGAAGGAGAGCCACCAGCAGGTGGTGAACCGCATTCGAGGCTCGCCGGGCTCCGTGCGTCTGCTGGTGGTGGACTCCGCGACGGACGAGCGGCTGCAGAAGCTGGGCCTCGAGTGCACCGAAGACCTGGTCCGGGGGCTTCCCGACGAGAAGTTGGAGGAGGCGAAGAGCGGCGGCCAGGAGCCGAGGGAGGCTGCACAGCGGGAGCCGGACGTGGCGGAGGAAGATAAGAAGAAGAAAGCGGACGGGGAGAAGGAGGAGGAGGAGGAGGCGAACCACGCTGCCCAGCGGGTGAGAATCTAGGTCACTCCCGGGAAAGAGGGGCTGAGGAAAGCCCCAGGGGGGTGGGAAGGGAAGCGGGGGAAGGAGGCTGGGAGAAGCAGAAGGAGACGCGGGGGGATAGCTTTAAAAGCACAGAGGCTGTGTCAGGGAAGATAATCGCCTTTTAAACAACGGAGTGGCAGGCAGAAGTTCAACTGGTGAGGGTCTCTCCGTTAATGCACCGGCAAGAAAGTTTGAATGGGTGCTCCTCTCGCAACGCCCGAGGCTTTTCCCGCCGGGGCGGTCGGCGGAACCGCGCTGCACCAGCTGAATTTCTGCCTGTCGCTTCGCTCTTACAGGCATTGTCGCTGCCGTGGGTGGTGGCGACCCTAACTCCTACAACGACCTGGGGTGGATTCGGGGCGGGGGGAAAACAAACTGTCTCTTAAACATAGGGAAACTGGGCCTCCAATCCTAACTGTGCCTACTTACAAGTTCCATTCAAGGGGCTTACTCTCAGGAAAGCGGTTAGGATTGCAGCCTGGCTGTAACTCCTTGTATAGATGCAGCTACTGGCTTCTTAGCGTATTTATATTACGTATTTCCTCATGGATAAATAGTCTGAAACACCAGACTGCAGTATTTCCTTCCCATCTCCCGAAGATTTCTTTGGTGTGATTCAGCTAACTTTTCTTTGGGTGCTGATGAATAACTCGGCTCTGCTTTCTCCCTCTCCCTTCCTCCTCCCTCTCTCATTATGAAATGTGACCTCTTGAAAGCTGGGTCGCTTCCGCTGTGTGTGATCTGAATGCCAGCCCTGCTGGCACCCACATGAGTCCGGAATGCCGCTGAGTCTTGGCTTGCAGAGAATTATTGAGAGCTAAACAGAGAGATGAGTTAAAAACAAAACAAAAAACACTCCTCCAAATATTAGAGGCCTTGCAGTATGTCTTCTGCAAGGGACTCTAGTCAAAAATATTCTGGTGGTATTCAGTGGGCAGGAAACTGGGCACTACTGTAATCTAGTGTAATTGAGCAAGTTCAAGGTGTTCCTTTAAAAAGCAGTGCCAGACTTTTCTTTTGGGGTGGTGGTAAATTTCTTCGCGTTCTGTTCTAGCGTTAGATCAGTGAAGCAGAAAGAACCTTCCCAGTATTTGCTGGTACTCTTCCACTTGTTCAAATTCGTTTTCTGGTATAAACCTGAACTGTGTTTTTTTCTTATGGTAGCGCAGCAAAACTGTCATTTCCTCCACACATGCAGAGCTTCACTGCAGACGACAATCTTGGCTTCAGATGAAACCTTTTCTTCTGCTTTGTCTTTTTCCTTTTTGTAAATTGTTTTTTGAGCAGGCTTCCCCAACCTGGTGCCCTGCAGGTTTTTTGGACTACCCCTCCCCCATCAGACCCAGAAGCCATGACCAGTGGTCAGGGATGATGGGAGTTGCAGTCCATCAAATACACCTGGGGGCATTAGTTAGGGGAAGATTATCTTAGAAAAATTTTGATGTTGCTATATGCATTCTTTTGCTAGTGGCTTACAGCACAATCCTGTACTTACCTACTTGGTAGTAAGCACCATTGTATTCAGCTGGGCTTACTGCCTGACAAGTGAATATAGGATTGTGGCCTTTATCTCACTCTGCTGCTTTTTCTCACACTTTCCCCCAGTAACTCAAATGAGGGAATCTAATGCCTGTTGAAAAATATTACTAAATAAAGGAACCATACTTGTTGCACCCATTCTGAACCTTTTAGGATAAGATGGGATAACTATTTATGCATGTAATCTTTTTAATCCATTTTCCTTTTGTAAAGATAATCTCACATTGCAGGAAGCACAGCACGCTGAACAACAATACAAAACACAAAATTCAACACTTGAAACACCCCTGAAATTTAGTTAGCGAGCACATTTTTGTTAGTCCTGCACAGCCATAACAAAATTGCAGAAAACTAGTGGTGCAATCCTAAAGACGCCTACTCAGAAGTAAGTCCTATTGAATTCATTGGGGCTTCCTCCCAAATATCTGGGCTTCAGATTACAGGCTAAGCCAATAACATCTTGCCTTGAAGGTCTGATCAGTGAATATTTAATTGTATGATCAAGTGCTAGTTGGTATGGAGAAACTAGCATTCATCTGTTCCCCTTGCTTTCACTTATTGGATATTTTCCTCTCACCATTTATAATATTACAAAGGCTACCTATATTTTCACTGGAGTATGATCTACTAACATAAATGAGCAAGGTCCTAATGATTGTAGCTCAAAGCTGCTCTGCAGCAGCCCTTTGTCCACAGGGCAGGCTCAAACCAGAGTCAAAATGGTCCAGCGGCTTAAAGGGTAGCCTTGGATCTGGGTGGAGGATCCTAGATGTGCTTCTCCTGTGGGCCCTCTGTGCAGCCTTGAGGAAGTTGCTATTTACCTGTCGCCTTCAGTTTAGTGTGTGTGTAAAATGGAAATAGTCATAATAATACTAAACCACCTTATTTGATAGTAGAAATAAAGATAGAAAATTTGCACTGCTGAGCATACTTAACTGGGAAGCAAACTCCATTGAACATAGGATGGTGCTGTTAAGCATTTTTATATCAGATTTGGCAAAGGATCAGCACTAGAATGAGAAGAGAAGAGGCCGTTAAGAACTGGAACTGAATATATAAGAACTGGAACAGTGGGGGGGATATTTATTTGCTTTGGAGTGATTTTAAGAAGCTTTTGTATGACATTGGTGGAGAAACATTTCTATCCCTAGGACATCTGAAATAGTTATTTCTCCAAACTTGCCCATTGTTATCAGAAGTGGTCAGAAGGTAGTTCTGGGAGGCAGTGGTAGATTAGCAAGTGTTTTTGACTCCCTGTGGTTTAACAGGAGCAACAACTAAAAGGCTTTCTCACGCTGTCTTCCCCCACCCTTAATTTAGGCTGCTGACTTGAGGAGAGTTTGAAGTGGGGGAGGGAAAACGAGGAGTGGATTTTTGTGTGACAGGACTGTGAACTCTTGCTATGGTACTGAGAAACCAATTCCTGGGCTGAGAAATGTCCTCAAAGGTACCTGGTTCTTAATTCTGTATCCCGCCCTCCTCCATTTTGCAGCTGGAACTCCAGGATACTAGTCAAAAACAGAAGATTATGAAAGCTGCCTACCATGAATACATAGCCTGAAATTTGTCTGTCTCTGGACTTGTTGAATATATAGCTGCATAGAAATCTGTGGCGCAGTTGGGGGTGTGATTTTTATTTCACCACACGTGGTTTTTCAGTCAGTCCTTAACTTCTCCAAAAAGAGAGGGGCTTTGCTGTGTCGGACCAGTGCAGATGTTTTGCCTTGTGCCTTAGGGGAAGCCTGCTCTGCAAGTGTGTGGGGAACCAGGCCCAGGAAATGGTTTGATCAGCTAAGCAGGTGTGGGCCTAACTACTGGTAAACCAGATCAGTAGTTGGCTCGCCAGATACCCTTTAATAGGAACCCAACAAGATAGTGACGAAGGATTGAGGATTGGAGTGATCGTTCTGAGGTATTATGGCAGTGGACAAAGCTGAAGTGTAACTTTTGAACAAATGTGTTTTTAATGAAGTAAAACTTGGATGGGAGACCCTGTGGTGTAGCAGCGGGTTAACAAAAATGAAAATAGGTGAAATCCAGTGCTGCTGTTCCACTTACTGAATGGCACATGTAAGAAAAGGGTGATGTGATTTTGGCTGATTATTCATTTCCATGGCAGGCCTAGGCAAATATGTTTCAGAGGGTTGGGAGACAACCCCCCCACCCGAACATTGAGGAAGGTGACATTGTGGGGAGAGAGGTGCAGGTGGAAGGAGATTCAGCCAAAATCACACACACACACCCCAACTGCCTTTTCTTACATTATAGAAGTTCTCTACTGGAGCAAGAACCGTTCCATGAATGGAGCAGCCATATTGGATTTCAGCGTATAGTATATTAAACAAGTGTGTGGAGACAAGCTGCAGTTGGGAGAGGAGCTCTGCAAAGGCTCTAAAGTGATTATTTTTATTTAATTCACTTCCTGCCTTGCACTGAGTGCCAAGCCTGCAAAATAAAATGGTAGCTGCTATTAAGGATGTTACAGCAGCAGCATTTAAATGTTGGAGTAGTTGGCTGAGAATCGGTAATGAAATCAACAATTAGACTGCAGTTAGGTCAGTGGTAACTCCCTTATACATATTCCAGGTTTCAGCCCTTGTGTTGAAAGCAGTTTCTGTGGTTGAGCCCTGGCACATAAAAAAGTAATATTTGCATTGCATGGGAGGTTGACACTAATTGCAGGAATCAGAGTCTTGGGGGAAATTCTGAATCTGCTTACTGAAAGGTTTATTGCTGTGGTGGGGAGCTGGTGCATTGACACCTTCTTGCCCTGAACTCGGGGATTATACCTTCAGGGTTCTGGAAGCGGCTAGGCTGGCAAGGCTCCAGGCCTCTGGAGCAAAGGCACATATTACTATTGTATGCCATAAGAAGATGGCTGCTGGATGAGTCCAATCTAGCATCCTGTTCATACGTTAGCCAACCAGATCCCTGTGCAAGGAGGACCCAAGCAGAAGAGCTATGCCCTCCTATTTCTTTATTATTTTATTCATTTTATTAAACTTGTATACCTCCCTTCATCACAAGGCCTCAGGGCGGTTCACATAATAAAATCAAGGTAAAAACACAAGCAAATAGCTAAAAGAAAAAACAACAACGAAACAATACTGCCCCCTTCCCACAAACACATTATTTTTATTTATTCAGTTTATAGAAGTACATACCCTTTAATTCCCAGCAACAGCTTTTCATAGGCCTCTGGCAGGAGTAGCATAGCTGTTGTGGCTTGTAGCCTTCGATAGCTGTGTCCTGCATACATTTGTCTAAACTATGGGTAGACAAACTAAGGCCCAGGAGCCGGAGCCGGCCCAGTCGCCTTCTAAATCCGGCCCACGGATGGTCCGGGAATCAGCGTGTTTTTACCTGAGTAGAATGTGTCCTTTTATTTAAAATGCATCTCTGGGTTATTTGCGGGGCATAGGAATTCGTTCATCATCCCCCCACCTCAAATATAGTCTGGCCCCCCACAAGGTCTGAGGGATAGTGGACCGGCCCCCTGCTGAAAAAGTTTGCTAACCTTTTAAAGCCATCCAGCTTGGCAGCCCTGGTTATCTCCTGCAGGAACAAATTCCGTGGTTTAACTGTGTAAAGTAGTACTCTTTTTAATCTGTCATTCAACTTCACTGGCTGTATCAGTTGGATTTGATTTACAGGAACAACTAACTCCTGTGAAACAGAAGGGTCAGTTGCCAAGGAACATGTGGAATTATCGTGCCCTCAATTTTAGAAAATTTGGAAAGTGCGAACCACTTCAAGGCTTCACCCAAGTATGGCCTAAAAGCAGGGGCAACTAACTGGTGGTCTTCCAAATATTGCTGGACTACAACTCCCATCATTTCTGGCCATTTGGCTATGCTGACTGGGGATGATGGGAAATGGTGTCCCATCCCCGGCCTACAATACTTCTGGAGCATGCCCTGACATGGTTATCCTGACATAATTCCTTCCTGGAACACGAGGCCAGCCCTGCGATGGCAGCACCATAGAGCAGATGTGGGGAACCTTTGTCCCTCCAGATGTTGGTGAACTACAACTCCCATCAGCCACAGCAAGCATAGCCAGGGATGATGGGAGTTGTAGTTCAAGAGTAGCTGGAGGGACAAAGGTTCCTCACACCTGCCATAGAGGGAGGATACACAAAGGCATCCATGCTGCAGCAAGACTTTCTCAAGTGCTTGATGGAAAGCTGTCTGTCATTAAAACAGGTACAAGTGACTGACTTGAGTCATCCACACACTCCTTGAGGATATTAAGCTGCTTGTTTGACTCCCAACTCCCAAGTGTTCAGATTACATCTCAAAGTGTCACACTTGTAAGAGCACCACCTGTTTACGCAACTGCTATGCTAGTTGGGGGTAAATACATTCTGTAAATATGTGTATTCTTCTGTGTTTTGATTATAGCTGACAAGCTGCATGAAGTTACATTTTAACCCACGGATCAGCAAACTTCTTCAGCAGGGGGCCGGTCCACTGTCCCTCAGACCACAAGGGGGGGGGGCTGGACTATATTTTTTTGGGAGGGAGAAAAAAACGAATTCCTATGCCCCACAAATAACCCGGAGATGCATTTTTAAATAAAAGCACATATTCTATTCATGTAAAAACACGCTGATTCCTGGACTGTCTGTGGGTCGGATTTAGAAGACGATTGGGCTGGATCTGGCCCCCGGGCCTTAGTTTGCCAACTCATGTTTTAACCAGTGGTTGGATTGCAAATAAGTGGAGCCTAGTCTGTGAGGGACGCGGGTGGCGCTGTGGGTTAAACCACAGAGCCTAGGACTTGCCAATCAGAAGGTTGGTGGTTCGAATCCCCGCAACGGGGTGAGCTCCCGTTGCTCGGTCCCTGCTCCTGCCAACCTAGCAGTTTGAAAGCATGTCAAAGTGCAAGTAGATAAATAGGTACCGCTCCGGCGGGAAGGTAAACGGCGTTTCCGTGCGCTGCTCTGATTCGCCAGAAGCGGCTTAGTCGTGCTGGCCACATGACCCGGAAGCTGTACGCCAGCTCCCTCGGCCAATAAAGTGAGATAAGCGCCGCAACCCCAGAGTTGGTCACGACTGGACCTAATGGTCAGGCGTCCCTTTACCTTTACTAGTCTGTGAGGCAGGTATGCAGAACCTCTGGCTCTCCAGATTCTGCTAAACCACAGCTCCCGTCCCTGGCCTCACTGGGCATGCTTGTGATGGACATTGCAGTTCAACCATATCTGGAGGGCCAAAGCTTCCCCACTCCTGCTTTGAGGAGTAGCTAGAGATAATTCACTGAATTATGCCAAGGGGGCAATTGCAGCACATCATCAATTTTGTTTTCCATGGGAGTACATTTCCATAAGCAATTCTCCATGGTGTAGATAGTTCACAAATATAACACAGTCATACCTTGGAAGTCGAACAGCTTAATTCCTGAACGTTTTGGTTCCCAAACGTTGCACACACGGAAGTGACTGTTCCAGTTTGCAAACTATTTTTGGAAACCGAACATCCGACTGGGCTTCCGCAGCTTCTGATTGGCTGCAGGAGCTCCCTGCAGCCAATCAGAAGCCTCACTTTGGTTTTCGAACATTTTGGAAGTCAAACATACTTCCGGAACGAATTTGGTTCGACTTCCAAGGTACAACTGTATAAGCGGTGGCAACGTGGGAGTGCCCAAACATGAGGTTTGACCATATAGCACCAAATCATGGTTTGTATTTTGAATAATGGTGAATCACCCCGGAATCAGTTATCTATGATGGGTGGCAGATGGGTGATACCCAACATTAGTCATTCTCTGGGTGGACCCATTGAAACCAATGGACTTAAGTTAATGGATTTGCCCTGAGCATGACTAATAATTGGGTATCACCCATAGTTAGAGCAGAACTGCTGTTTGCTCAGAAATGCATGCGGAGCTCAGAATATAGACTGGCTGTCAGCATGCGTTGCCCAGCACTGGGGTTGTGTACAGTGCCCCAGTGAATAGCATTCATCTTCCTTTGCAACACAGGGCCCCTGAGTCCTCTTTGTATAGTCAAACTATCTGTGAAGAATGACTGCTACTTGAATATGCTATCCTGTGAACATTTGTATTTAACTAAATTGAAGAAGCTTGATTTTTATCACCTGGAGGGATTTTACGATCACTGCTCAATCTAAATATTTTTATGGATGGAGGGCAGGAGTGTAACTTGTTAAAGATTTCACAGTTATAGCGATGAATTGTGAGCTGCTGACTGTTCTCTATATTAAGGCTGCCCTGAGACATGGGCTACTTTCACATAGGAAAGCAGGGGGGGATATTTGAGAACTGTGCATTGCCTTGATTTCTGCTCTTTTTTCATATTAAAAAGCTAAAACTAGAGCCTTTGGTGAGGCTCTGCAAAGGCTGCATTGTGCTCTTAATTCATGGGGCTTAGAATAGAAGATTGTCAAAGGAAAAGTTCTTGCCCAGGCTGCTGTTGAGGAAAATGGCCTGTGGTTGCTCAGAGACTTCCTCAAATGACATTTCCTTGAGTAGCTGCGTCAGCTGAATATTGAAATTCAAGGCTCTATTTTTGAAAGACAAAATATTTACTTAATAGTGGGGCAGATAGAGAGCGGTGGTCACGATGCCCCCTCAGCACAAGCTCATTAAACCTCAACTCTCCTTTAACCAGACTTTCTTAAAGCAGCCTGGGTGGTGATGGTAAAATAATAGATACCAGAGCACCGTTGTTTTTTTAGATCCTCCCATTGATATATTGGGAGCAGGCTTCTGAGAATAGTTCTGCGGAAGTGGTGACACCCCTGTTGACAGTTGTGAGAATGCTCTTTGTTAATAGAGTAATGGATTAGTGCAAGATTTGGAACACTCCCCATTAGCATGCCTCTGAATAGAGGAAGGAAATCTCCTTTCAAGCTGTGCCCTTTAATAACCTTGAATCTTGTTAATGAATTTCTGCTAAATAACCCTGTGAGAACTACATTTACCTAAAATGTTCCCTTCCTGTGCTGTGCCTTTGAGGTGCTAATCTGTTATCCTGCTTTCCTTATAAAAGCTGTCTCTGTTGATTCCCAGGTGGGGTCATAAGATGCTTTTGAGGTCTGCTGCTAAAGGGCTAAACTAAGGTAGTAAATTTGCTCAAACATTTGCACTATTTAATCAACAGCAACAAGGAGATAAAGAAGAACACAGGCTGCTTGGCATCTCCTGTTTGCTGGATGTAAGCTTTCTTTGGTGGAGGGTGAAAGGTCCCCCATTTTTAAGATCAGCCACGATGTAGCAAAACAGTGAGTAAGGGTTCAAGCTCTCCAGAACTCTTAATAAGATATTAAGCATGCAAAAAAGGGGAGGAGGGGCAATGGTGCTGTCTTGAATAGTAAAACATCCAGATATTAAGTGCAATGCATGTGATTTACTTACTTACTTATTGGATTTATGTTGCACCTTTCCTCAAAGGAGCTCAAGGTAGCCTCTTCCTCACCATTTTATCCTTAGAACAACCCCATGGGGTAAATTAGGCTGAGAGACTGTGGACTGTGACTGGCTCAGGGTCATCCAGTTTCATGGCTGAGCAGGGGTTTGGACCCGGGTTTCTCAGGTCCTAGTCCATGGGTAGGCAAACTAAGGCCCGGGGGCTGGATCCGGCCCAATCACCTTCTAAATCTGGCCCGAGGACAGTCCAGGAATCAGCGTGTTTTTACCTGAGTAGAACGTGTCCTTTTATTTAAAATGCATCTCTGGGTTTTTTGTGGGGCATAGGAATTTGTTCCATTTCCCCCCAAAAAATATTGTCCGGCCCCCCACAAGGTCTGAGGGACAGTGGACCAACGTCCTGCTGAAAACGTTTGCTGGCCCCTGTCCTAGTCCAACACACTAATCACTACTGCAGATTTTGTGCTTATTTGAGTTGCTGGTGCATCCTCTGATAAACTCTCACAATGGCCTTCATGTGGGGTATGGATTCACATTCGTTTTTGACAATGATAGCAGGAAGACTGCTACACCCCCTCCCCACTACATCCAATGTAGAAGTCTGAACGTCTCCTATCTCATCCTGTGGACTTCTGACCAAAGCCCTGAAGTGTTGCTTAAAGATATCTTTCAGTTTGTTAACGCTGGAGTGAGTCCTGTAGGCAGAATTGGAGGGATTTTTTTGTGGCATTCTTAATTACATGCTCCAGCTCTATAAGATGCTGTTTGTGCTGGAGGTGATCTTAAGGGCAGTGATGGAAAAGGGTCAATGGACTTTGCTGTCAGTGCTAAGCCATCACTTCTTGCCCTCTTCAGTTTATGATTATATGCAGTTTTGTTAATCGTTCTCCTTATTGGACTTTAGCCTAGAACATTGATGCTGCCTTCTGATCTCCATGTTAGGAGTGGCAGGCACAGAACGTGGTGGAATTTTTCCACTGTTAGAAAGAAACTAGGCTTGCCATGGTTTTTTGTGGCAGGAGGGGAAACCTCCCTGGCAGGAGTAAGGTATTGGGGGGCGGGGGGGAGCGGTGAGTTTCAACTTAAAGGCTAATGAAAGCCAGTGTGGAATAGTGGTTTATAGAGTGTCAGACTAGGACCAGAGAGGCCCAGGTGCAAATTCTCCCTTGGCCATGATACAGTGTTAGAAACTCAGGTATATACTGTCAGCTAGTCAGCACCAAATAGCTCCTGGAATCTAGGTTGTGGTCTCCAAAATTGAATATCTATTCACCAGGCAATATGGGACTAAATGAGCCTCAGGATCCCTTCCAACGCTACAATTCTATGATCTCCACCACGTTGCTTGACTGCGGCTTGCTCTTACAACAATTCACTTGTCCCAGTATGCAAGTAGGAAAAACACACACAGTGGAAATGGAAATGGTATTAACTATGGAATAAGGCAGAAGTTTTTAAACTGTGGTTGCCAACGTGGCACTGAGAAATCTCCACATAGTCGCTATTGAACCTGCACCAGTAGCAAAACATGTCTGGCGCCTGGCTGGTTTTGAACACTGGCCATGAAACTCTTTGGGTGATCTTGGATCAGTCACTATCTCTCAGCCCAACCTACCGTGTAATTCTTTTGAGGCTAAAATGGCGGAAAGGAGAAGAGTCCAGCTATGGGGAACCTGTGGCCCTCCAGATGTTGTTGTACTGCAAAGTTTCCATCATCCTTGACTATTGACCATGTTGGCTGGGGATGATGGGAGCTGGTGTCCAACAACATTTGGAGGGCCACAGGTTCTCCATGCTCGACATATAAGAAGAAGGATGGGATTAAATTGAATAATAATGTAGAGGAGGGGATGCCTTCAGATTCTGCTTTGGGAATAATCTTATTAAATTGGTGATGTGATGTTGCATCTGGTGGTTCACTCTTTAGCCAGTTTCATGTTGAGTTTAAACTCTGAGCCATATCCTTCTAAGTAGCATGGATTCCTTGGTTTTGTTGGGAAAGTGGGAAATCAGTCTTAGCTGACTTGCTTCAGTTTGAGGCATGCTTAATTGGCATAGCTGCACTATAATGGAAAACCTCATGGAGGGCTTAAATGTAAAGACAGAACTTTGCTTCTTTTAAATAGCAGTTTATTCAAAACAAATTCAGCTGAGGAACTGATGCTGCATTTAGCTTGTAACTTTTAGCATATACGGTTCCTAAATTTATCACTGCTCATGTGTACCCTTTTAATCAGTGCAGAAGGTGAATAGCTAATAGTGAATTCCGGTTTTGTATTTCCCAAAATCCTCTGTCAGCAAGCCTTTTGTCCTGCTAGCCATAAAGATGACTTCCTATGAGGACTTTCCATAAGAGGGATTGTGTTAATTAGGGGTAGTTTAAGATAGAAGTCCTTATCTGACGCGAGTCATTTATGAAGAGCTTGTACTTCACCCCCACCATCTATTAATGATGGGTGGAGGGATGGAAAAGGATCCTCTCTGGTACAGATATCCTTCTTGGGAAGACGTGGGTGGAATGCCTCCAGCAAAATGCTTTGATTAAGGGTCCAAGTTCGGATCGCAGTGCTTCTTTTGTAAGGAAGACGTTACCAAGGCAGAACGGCTGAATTTGCACAAAATTCTCTACCATGTTAATCTGGTAGCCTGTTAATCATTCCCTAGGAATTATCTTTCCCCCCCTTGCAATAGTCCTAGGGAGGGTAGGTCGTGTGTGTGTGTGTGTATTCATGAAAGGTAAAGAAAAATGTCTTCACTTATTGCAGAGATATAGAGCACTCCAGGTGGTGGAAGGCCCCCTGTCCTAAGTTGGTCCTTTTCTGTTTGTTCTAGAATCCTGAAGAAGAGATCAGAATTTCTTCCTCCAGGGTCCAAAGAAAGGGCAGAGGGAATGATTAGTGGTTTGAAGGTGCTGGCTGGAGCTGAAATCTTATACAGTACATGTGTTCTTGGGAAGTCCCAATGAACTTAGTGAGACTTTATTCCCTCCACTTTTACTCAGAACTGAGCTGTACCTTATACCCCTCCTGCATCCTCCTCATTGGAGACATTGCGATTTTGGGAGAACATTTGCTTAATGTGGGGATGTGGCTCCTGTGATAGCTGAGGCTGGGCAATCATGGTTTGAAGCAGCCTCCCCAAATCTAGTGCCTTCCAGATGTTGTTGGACTTTGACTCCCATCATGCCTGTCCATTGAGCATGCTGACCGGGGGCTGCTGGGAGTAGAGGTCCAACAGCATCTGAAAGGCAGGGTACAAACTTGGGGGAAATTGATTTGTAGCTTTAAGGGCAGGTTCTGGTGAGATTGTAGGACTTCTGCAGTGTGGACATTGAATCCATGACTTCTTGGAAAAGCCCCCTTCTCCTATTGGCATGCGATTCCGGTTAGGGGGCTACCTGACCTCTTCTTAGCTCTCCAAGTCATTGTTTGAAACTAAATATGTTTCAATAATCTGCTCATTAGGGCCTTTTAAAATGAAACAGCAAAGTAACGGCCTTAGTTCTGGGTTCTTGTTCCCTGCAAAGCCTTCTAATAGACAGATGATTGCAGGACATTGTTTCTTCAGCCAAGGTGACGGTTAAAGGTGTTGTCATGAAACTTGAACTTGTAAATGCTAACAAGACTTCAGTGCCTAAATGTAGCCTAAAGTTCATGCTCTCAGTTCCTGCCCTCCCTGCAAACAGGAAGTACATCTCTTATTGGGCCACGAGACCCGTTACTGTGCAGTTCACGGCAACCCCTCTGGGAACTCATTATCTGCACACTTCCCCTCCTGCCCAAACTCATTTCTCACCTTATTTTGAGGTGAGCCCATAGCACCCAGTGGCTTGTGGTTCTTGGCTAGTGGCTTAAACTCCTCCTCAGCTGCCATGTGAGTTGCATAGTTTTGCGAGTTTGCTTAGCTGAAACCGAATTTTGTGCAAATTCAGTTGGGCTGCTTGAATTTCAACGACATCAGTATCTGGATGACTACAGTAGTAATAGAAGTAGCAGCACTAGTAATGATAATAAACTTTCGGGGATTAACCACCCAAGCTTGGGTGCAGCTTCTTGTGGGCATGCAGGATTGCCTCAGGACTAATCAGTTACCTCCACTATTACCTGCAGGGCAATGTTACCTGGGTTGTCACCTTAGAATCATAGAATTGTAGAGTTGGAAGGGACCACGTGAGTCATCTAGTAATAATAATAATAGTAATTTATTATTTATACCCTGCCCATTTGGCTTGGTTTCCCCAGCCACTCTGGGCAGCTTCCAACAGAATATTAAAATACAATAATCTATTAAACATTAAAAGCTTCCCTAAACAAGGCTGCCTTCAGATGTCTTCTAAAAGTCTGGTAGTTGTTTTTCTCTTTGACATCTGGTGGGAGGGCGTTCCACAGGACAGGTGCCACTACCGAGAAGGCCCTCTGCCTGGTTCCCTGTTAACTTGGCTTCTCGCAGTGAAGGAACCACCAGAAGGCCTTCAGTACTGGACCTCAGTGTCCAGGCAGAACGATGGTGGTAGAGAGACTCCTTCAGGTATAGTCCAACCCCATGCAGTGCAGGAATCTTTTGCCCAATGTGGGGCTCAAACCCATAACACTGAGATTGCAATTGGGGGCCTCCTCATCCAGCCTTTCCTCAAGGTTTGCCTCAATGACTTGAACTTATCAGAGTGTGAGAGGTGGTGGCATGAAGACATGGGAGGCAGGCATAAACCTGCTGATATCCCTGTGGAGCCACTTTTAAGGCTATGACAACCTCTCAGTAAGGAGGATCTGTACTTATACTAGGAGGATGTGTCATGTTCTCAGATCTTAAGACAGTCTTAAGTGTATTCCCCTGCTTGATACTCTAGATGTTATTGGTAATTGCAACTGAGCAAATGAACTGGAATTCTTGGGACCAAAATCAAATGAAGGGAGCTTGCTTGAGCTCATCCCTCCAACCCACCCGCAGGCAATTGCTTGAGCTCTGCTTCGCAGTAGAGTGGAAGGAAGAATTGGAGCTGTGGAGCTTGTGATTTCTCAACTCTCTTGGGTGTGGACTCTCAGGGTTATGCTGAAATAGTTCGGTGTGTAGAGCAGCACTGGAGTGAATTTTGCAATCTACCACAAATGATGCAGTCAAGTTACCCTCAGTGGGGGAAATTGCAGAGGGTCAACACACTTGGAGTGCAATGGAGGAGCCTCAGCCAGGGAGAACCTCCTTCGCTATCTGCTTCAAGTGCAATTGAGTTCAGGGAAACACTGTGTAGTCTGCTCCCAGCCATTCTCCAGTACATGCTACGCAGAGCAGAATTTGTCATTTTGTAAATCCTGGCTCCAGTGTCAAAAGCTATTCCACACAACTTGGAAATGTCTGTATAGTGCTTCTGATGATCAGGGCTGCTGCCCTTTGCATCTCTTTCTCCATTTTTAGTCTTCTTCTGCTCTTTTCCTTGTCCAAAAGTTACAAATTCTGCAGAAAGCATCAAATGTTAGAACCAGATTGCCTTCTCTTCATGCCAAGCCCCCCACTGACCCCGCTTTTAACCTTCCTTGAGTGTTTTGGAACTCCATTAATGCCCTTTGCTTCTCTAGTTGGAGAATATCTGGGAGCTAGCCTCCAATACAAAAGTGCAATTCACATTTGTTGCGCTGTCCACTTTTGCTTCTGGTCCCACCTAAAGAGAGCACATCCATGTTGAGAGAGCTACCCTATTGCTGTTAATTGATGCTCTTGGGTCTCATGCGAGATAGGTTATTTCTGCTGAAGCTGTGAATTTAGCAGCCCCAGTATTTAATGAAGGTATCCAGCAAGCCAAAAAAATATCCTCACATACTTGCATGATTTCGCACGTCCTTCTGTGGATTAACTGTCACCTCTGACCATTCAGAGTTCCATTTCTCTAACCATTTTTCGTGGGCCACAGGCCTTCAGTTTAGCACTGAAGCTTAAAACACAGGCATTTTTGGTTTGAGCTGTGCACCTGGGCCAGGCCATGAACCAGAAAGCGACTGTGCAGTGTGCCAGCTGAGCAAATGCTTTTGTCATCTGCTTATCTGGGGAGCAAGACACTTTCTCCAGGCTTTAAAGTCCACTTTCCTGCTGGAGTTAATGATGAGGCTCCAGGTCCTGCTCTCCAGCTGAGATATTTGAATGTGTCAGAGTCCTATTTACTCTGTGGGGTTGGACTTGGCCTTTATTTGCTTAACAAGCTGGAAGCATTTCTCTGCCAGGGTGTTGTGGTAGGTGACTGACAGCGCGGTCAGCTGGGGAGTGGAGCTGGAGGATGGAGACTTTTGCATTTGGCTTTGGGCACACAGGAGTGTTGCCTTTCCCTGTCCCTCCCTCCTTTCCCCCAAGCAAAGGCATCATGCTGCTGTGGAATTGGGGAACCTTTTCCATCACCTCCAGGACTGTATGCCAGCAATAGGCGGGGCCAGAAGCATAAAAGAGCAGATCGATGAATGTCAATTTTACCTTTCTGCATGTGCACCCACACCACCCTCCATCCGGGCAAGCAAGAAGGATTATTCAAGTTCAAGGACACATTCCAGTCAGGCTAAAATGAGCTGAGTGCAAAACTACACCAGAGAAGGGAATGTGTGACCTAGGGAAAGTTCCAAGTGCCATAGAGTAAGCGGCCTAGAGGGTCGCACCCGCCCTGCCAGGCCTGAGGTCCCTGAATTAATTGGTGTTTAATTCACACTTTAAAATTTGTGTGTGTTGTATGTTTTTTATTTTGTAGAACTCGTCATAGAGCGGAGTCCCATGTTCCATCAGTACGCAGCGTTGGAGATGGGGGTGGGTGGGAGAGAAAGGGGAACTCTGTCCTGCACAAGCGAAACTTTTTAATACTTGTTAGACCAAGTTTTAAATGTGTATACAGTGGTACCTTGGGTTAAGAACTTAATTCGTTCTGGAGGTCCGTTCTTAACCTGAAACTGTTCTTAACCTGAAGCACCACTTTAGCTAATGGGGCCTGCCGCTGCGCCACCGTGCAATTTCTGTTCTCATCCTGAAGCAAAGTTCTTAACCTGAGGTACTATTTCTGGGTTAGCGGAGTCTGTAACCTGAAGCATCTGTAACCTGAGGTACCACTGTATTATCTTGTAAATTTTTCAATATAAATAAAAATAAGTGTCAGAATTGAACCAACATCTAGAAGATGAGACTTGCTTCCTAGTACAGTGGAACCTCGGTTTCCGAATGTCTCCGTTGACGAACGATTTGGAATTCAAACGCCGTAGTTTTTCGTATTAATTTTTCTGTTTGGAGGCTTCTGTATTGAGTTCTCGGTTTTTGAACATTTCAGAATTTGAACGGTCTTCCGGAACAGATTACGTTCAAAAACCGAAGTTCCACTGTATACTAGAGGGGAAGAAGTACTGGAATGAGAAGGACTGCATTCAGCAAAATAACATTTTAAGGTCACTGGAAGGCCGCATCTGTGGCCAACAGAGACTTCCACCTGTGTGACAATTTAAGAGTCTGGTTAAATCCCTTTTGGGTGCTGCAGGCTCTGGAAGTTTTAATCCTAGAATTGTAGAGTTGTGAGGGACCCCAAGGGTCATCAAGTCCAACCCCCTGCAGTGCAGGAATCCTGCCCACAGCTGTCCCTTGGTGGGCTCAAACCACCAACTTTCTGGTTAACAGCCAGATGCACTGACCCTTTGAGCCATTGCACTCCCTCTGTTTCTGTGATGGTTTTGCTTGTCATTGTCTCAAACTATTTAAAACCGAGATCAGACCATGAAGTGGGGGAACTAGGATAATTAGGTTCATTGGTTCCCTGAAAAACAGCTAATTTTAAAACTCTTATCTGAAATTTTCAAGATTTTTCTGCAAAAAAGCCACTTGTACATTGAACTGTGGGAACAGCACTTACAGGTTAAAATTGACCCCATAAAGTAGAACAGAATCTGGAACTGAATACCATTTCACGTTATTCATTGATGGTGCCTGATTCCCTGCACTCTTAGCAAGATTTCAAGTACAAATAGCCCACTATGCTGGAGAGGCTGTGGACGGGCAGATACCTATTTTCATATGTGGTGGTCAGGTGAGAAGATGCAGGAATTCTCAGGATGGGCAATAACCTTTTACAAAATGGCACTTATAATGGGTCAGGTACTAACTAAGAGTCCAGGATGGTGTTATCCATCTTTGATGACGGAAGTAAAAAATGTTACCAAAAAAGGCTTATTAAAATTGTTAGTATCAGCAGCATGCTTGAGAATAACTGGGAGGTCAACAGTTAGGAGACAACTTGGGACAATTATGTTGATGGAAAAACTGACACAGAAGGTGAAGGACAGGAACAATTTTTCAAAAGGCAGAAGGAAAATGTTAAGTAGCATGGTATTTCTTAATTAAATACGTAGCACTAAAGGAACATAACTGATAACCATAGGCCACACACAACTCTATAAGATGCCAGCGTAAACAAAGAAGGGTAGTTCTGGTCATAAGTAAAGAAGAACAAATATTTTACAGTAAAACAAAGATAGAAGCAATGCTCTAAACTATATGCTACTTATATGTGTTTACTTTTTTGTCACAAAAGCAAATTTTATTTTAGAAAGAGAGAGAGTCAAGAGCAACTACAAGTGGAGTTTGGGAAGAGAGATTCTGGGACACAGTGTCCCGAAGGAAGCTCAGGGGAGATCTTGTTGGAAGTAGGTCTCAATGCCCTGAGCTTCTGCTTCTTTCTTCTGGGTGACCTAAATAGCTGTGCTAAGAACAAATCTGGATCAAGGGAAGGAGAGAGTGGGGCAAACCTTGTGTCAACGTTTCTTACGGCCCAACAGGCATCACTTCATCAGAATAACGTTTATAGCATATTCCTTTTGTGGCTGCTTTGTACAAGTAGTACGGATTTTTTTTTGTGATCAGCGTTAATGCATATTGCAGCTTTCCCAGTCTTGGGAATAAGTGCATGGCTGACTAAGCTTCAGGCTTAAAAAAATTATTATTATTATTAAAGATTTTCATGGTTCACAAAAAATGAGCATTGTCTTTTCTCAAATCGTATAGTCCTTTTTTACATTTGATGTGAGACATTGTATAGAATAAGGTAGGGGAAGAAGAGTGGGGGAGAGGGGACTGGTGTGGTAATATTTAGTATGTTTGTGGGGTTTTATGCCGGTGTCACTCGAGTAGTTCTCTAATTCATTTATTTTATATGTATATGTATTAAGGGATACAGGTGGTGCTGTGGTCTAAACCACTGAGCCTCTTGGGTTTGCCGATCAGAAGGTCGGCAGTTCGAATCCCCGCAACGGGGTGAGCTCCCATTGCTCGGTCCCAGCTCCTGCCAACCTAGCAGTTCAAAAGCCTGTCAAAGTGCAAGTAGATAAACAGGTACCGCTCCGGCAGGAAGGTAAACAGCGTTTTCGTGCGCTGCTCTGGTTCGCCAGAAGCGGCTTAGTCATGCTGGCCACATGACCCGGAAGCTGTACGCCGGCTCCCTCAGCCAGTAAAGTGAGATGAGCGCTGCAACCCCAGGGTCATCTGCGACTGGACTTAACTCTCAGGGGTCCCTTACCTTTACCTTTTTTATGTATATGTATATACACATATACATTTTTCTTGGTAGTGAGAGAGGTTGGGGGAGCCTAGGGCATGGTTGGTTATCTTTAGTTGGCTGCAGTGAGATTTGTTCATGGGGGTGGGGGATGTTGGGCCAGGTCAGCCATATTGATTCAAATGCTGTTGGTGAGTTCTTGTTGTCTTGTTGGGCTGTGTATGTGATAAACGGGAGCCATACTGGAATGAAGGCATATATTCTATTTGTCCCCGTGACAGTTTCATTCAGTCTATTGGTTAATTTTTCTAATAAGGCTGTTTCCCATGTAGTTTGATACCATTGGTCCATGTTTACTCCTGACAGGTCTCTTCAGTGTCTGGCTATGTTGTTTCTGGCTGCTGAGGGTAGGTAGGTTATGAGCTCTTTATAGTGTGCATGAGCAGTATTATCTTGGAAGATGTTTAGCAGGGCCAGTTCTGAGGTGACTTCTAATAGCTGTTTAAGTTCCACCTAAGCTGCAAATGGAATAGCAAGCAAATCCATGAATGGTGTGGGCTGCAGCCCTGATTCACGCAAAACTGTGAGCAAAAAATTAAACATTCTCAAAGGATTAATAATAAAAAAAGTTTGGAGCCCAATTACCTAGCATTGCTTTCAAACTGGAAGTGAACCTGTCTAAATGTGCTCTGAGAAAACACCTGGTTAAATCCTTGCCCTTTTTGTAAGTCGTGCATTTCCTGAACAAGCGGGCCTAATAGCTGGATTAGAAACATACTGGTTTTGCAACTAAAGAAAGCCGTTTACACCACCACAATGTCTGGGCATGCAGTGCACATGGCTTAGAGGCAAGGGAGCAATTGTGAAGTGGAATTAATTTATTTTTTAGTGCTTAGGAAGATCACTCCGTTGAGGACAAGGGGCCACGACCGAGTACAGGGCTGCCCCACAATGTGTTGCTCCAGATTTTATCAGAAGCCAAGCTGGTAAATAATTGCTGGCAAAAGCAGTGTATGTTTCACCATGAGATGGAAGGTAAATGTCAACTTTGTTTGATAGTCATAAATGGTGGCAATAAATAGAACAAACATGAGCTATGGGATGATATTTATAAAGCTTGCCTTGAAATATGCCCCCTGCGTGCAAAGAATAGCAGACTTTTTATTTGTTCCCTCCTGTCTCCACCCCTCCCTCCCTGTTTTTTTAAAAAATATTTATTTATGGTTTTCAGTTATAACAAAAAAGAAAACATTTCACAAATCATTCAACAGTAATTCTGTCATTTTAAATCTTGACTTCTCTCCCCCTCTTTCTGCGGTTCCTTAAAATTGTTTTTGTCTTTCCCTGTGTATCCCAAATTATTTTATTTTTTATCTGCTACTTTTGAGAAACTGCAAGCTTTTACAATAGTCCCGCTAATGTCTTGATCTGTGTGCGATTTGTTCGTAGGTATTCAATAAACCATTTCTTAATAAAAAGTTTGTTATTTCCCTCCCTATGTGTCAGAGCAGGGGTTCCCTATGTATGCCATGGTACCTGAGAAGGTCTTCATTGGCACCCCCAGGCAGAGGCCCCAGACTCCAAACATTCATTTTTTTAAAGTCTCCAGATTTCCTGTAAAGAAAGCTGTGAAGCAAAATATGCCCATATCCTTCTAAGTGATGTCTGCTAAACTCCTGTCAGTGTTTTCAGCCAATGAGTGAGTCAGAGCTGTGAGTGATGAGTGACTTGTTGGAACACAGGGCATTAGGAATCCCTGGCGTCCTAAAGAGCTGCTGTTTTCTCCTCCCTTTTCATGCACTTTTCCTGCTTCTGCCTTGTATTCTGGCTCTTCGAATCTCTGTAGCCTGTCTCTTTCCGTTATCAAGCAGGATGCGTCTTTCTTGTGGTAGGTTCTTCTGAGTTCAGATATAATAATAATAATTTGTACCCTGCCCATCTGACTGGGTTGCCCCAGCCACTCTGGGTAGCTTCCAGCATATATAAAAACATGGTAAAACATTAAACCTTAAAAAGCTTCCCTATACAGGGCTGCCTTTAGATGTTTCTTAAATGTTATATAATTACTCGTCTCCTTAGCATCTGATGGGAGGGTGTTCCACAGGGCGGGCGCCACTACTGAGAAGGCCTTCTGCCTGGTTCCCTGTAGCTTCACTACTCACAGTGAGGGAACCACCAGAAGGCCCTCAGCGCTGGACCTCAGTGTCCAGGCTGAACGATGGGGTGGAGACGCTCCTTCAGGTATACTGGGCCAATACCGTTTAGGGCTTTAAAGGTCAGCACCAACACTTTGAATTGTGCTCAGAAACGTACTGGAAGCCATTGTGGAACTTTGGGACCGGTGTTACGTGGTCTCGGCAGTTGCTCCCAGTCACCAGTCTGGTGCTGCATTCTGGTTTAATTGTAGTTTCCAAGTCACCTTCAAAGGTAGCCCCACGTGGAGTGCATTGCAGTAGTCCAAGCGGGAGATAACCAGAGCATGCACCACTCTGGCGAGACAGTCCGCGGACAGGTAGGGTCTCAGCCTGCGTACCAGATGGAGCTGGTAGACAGCTGCCCTGGACACAGAATTGACCTGTGCCTCCATGGACAGCTGTGAGTCCAAACTGACTCACAGGCTACATGGTTATTTTCTCCAAATACTGTTACAAAAGATGGATGGATGGATGTTTAAGAATGTTCCCCCATCTCATGTGAAAACAAAAAGGCTTGGGCATGTCTCCTACTGTGCAGGAGCTAAAACCAATTGTACCATATGGTTGACTTGCATCACAATTGTATACATGTCTACTCAGAAGTAAGTCTCTTCGTGTTTAATGGGGCTTACTCCCATGTAAGAGAACATAGGATGGCAGTCTATGTTTTGGTTTAAGGTTTGGCATTGGAAGGGAGGGTTCTTGCGTGTATTTAAGAGCTCTATGGCGGGCAGAAATTCAATAGGTTTAACCTTTCCTAGTATGAAAATACAGTTATAGGACCCAATTCATGAAAATACAATTATGCACCCACTTCATGGAAGCCATTTTGCGACTGGCACCCACAGTATTTCAAAATGTGCCCGCTGGTCCAAAAGGTTTGGTAACCCTTTTGTTAGAGGATCCTGAATTCAGTTTTAAGAGAAATGTTGGATTTAGCATATTTATACTAAACCCAGATTTTATTTTAGACCAGATAATGAACATAATGAATATATGTTTATATAATGAATATCCCTTAAAATCACTTGGCTTAACTCATTATTTCAATATGCTTTTTATGGCTTTTATCTGCTGCTTATATAAAAAATTTTTTTATAGTATCCTGATAACCTGCACGAAGTTTTGTGTGGCTCCCAGATGGGGCCTGGAGTTTAGTTTATTTATAGCAACTTCAGAAGAAACAGTGCCTGCCTCAAGGTGGCTGCTTCCTCACTAAGAAACACTTAATATATCTACTCTGATTCTCTTGTTTTCAACCAGGCTGTGTATTGTTCCCCATAAAATCCAGGGTGATCATTCCTGCTTTGTAAAAGCTCCCCAGCTGGGTCAGGTTGTTCTTACTCCATGATCTGCCTTCAAAGCCCTTGAGGGCTTCCCAGCCTTTATTAGCAGAGAATTGTGTGTCTTTCACACCTTTGACAAATTGACCATGGAGGAGTTGGCTAAATCGTATCACAATATAAGTTTTCAAAGGGAGCACACAGAACAACATGTTCCTCAGCAAGCAAATTTAGCCCTTCAGCTTTGTTGCGGCCTCAAATATTGTTGTGTCCTCAAAAGAACCAGTAGCTTTATTTGCATGGCATGACAGTGTTCAGCTGAATTTCTGGTGACTGGGCAAAACAGAGAGCACAGCTGTTGCAACAGGAGAACAGGCCTGTTAGCAGGATGCTGAGGCTTACCTGTACTTTGGTACCAACTCTAGCTGCTTTATGTAAATTTGTACGGTGAGAAGAGCCTGTCTTTGCTTGAGAAGTTTGGAGGAGCAAGTCAGTTGCTAGCTTTCTGCAACTCGGCTTTTGCTTTCCTGTAGTTGATGCAATAGGTTGTTGTGAGTTTCTTAAGCGCATCCCACACGCTTCTTTCTGTGCACTTAATAGCATCTCATGTAGCATCCTGACCTGAAACCTCCTCACCTGCCATTGTGCCTCAAGCTCTACTGACCTCCTCACCCCTGCCAACCAGCCAACTTCCTGAGTCCCTTAATCTTTCCTCCTAGTATTTAAATGGCATATTTGTCTGGTCTGCAGTTGGTGAGATTCCAGTGTGGGTGAAAAATAGCAGGGGATGGGTGGAGAAGAGAATGCATTTACTACTGACTTCCTCCCTGCCTTTGAAAACAGGGATCAGAGAGAATGGAGGAAGTTGAACTCTTCCCTTGGAAAAGTCTTAGACATTCCTGGTCTTCTCCACCTGGGATTAAAAAGTACAGGTGGGGAACTGAAAAGTGTTTGCAAGCAGATGTGCCTGGAGAAGGTGGGAATCTTGAACTGGCTTCAGTGATCCAACAAAATGACTTGGTGTTAAAAACTACCGTATTTTTTGCTCTATAGGACGCACTGGACCATAGGAGGGGGAGAACAGGAAAAAAAAAATTCTCCCCCTCTCTGCTCAGTGCCCCTTCAGCGAAGCGACAGGAGAAATGGAGCACCTTCCATTTCTCCCCCCGCTTCGCTGAAGGGGCGCTGCGCAGAGAGGGAAAACTGTGCAGCGCCTCTCCAGCGAGCGAAGCCTGGAGAGCAAGAGGGATCAGTGTGCACCGACCCCTCCCTCTCTCCAGGCGGCTATCTGCAAGCCTTCAGAGTGCAGCGGGAACTCCTGCTGCGCTCTGAAGGCTTGCGGATAGCTGCCTGAAGCCCCCGGAGCGCTGCGGAAGTTCCCACTGCACTCCGGGGGCTTCAGGCGGCTTCAGCGAAAGCAACGCGAAGCCTCCGGAGCGCGGGAAGAGCTCTCCCTCTGCGCTTCGGAGGCTTCCTGTTGCTATCGCTGAAGCCAAGGAACCTGTATTCGCTCCATAGGACGCACACACATTTCCCCTTCATTTTTGGAGAGGGAAAAGTGCGTCCTATAGAGCGAAAAATATGGTAAGTTTTATCTGACTGCCTGTTGGCCTCTTGTCTTTTTTGGATATTGCCCAAAGGCACAGATTTAGTCACCATGCTTACAGAATCATATAATTGTAGAGTTGGAAGGGATCACAAGGGTCATCCAGTCTAACCACCTGCAATGCGGGAATCTCTTTCCCCAATGTGGGGCTTGAACCCACAACCCTGAGATTAAAGAGTATTGTGTTCTATTGACTGAGCTGTTTTAGTTTTCACAATAATGTAGTTAAATTTCTATACTAAAAGCATTGCAGAGTCTGTGCCAAGAAATACATATTCTGTAACTGGAATAAATGCTGGAAATCTGAATGCATCTGCATGCAGTTACATAATTAGCATGCTTTATGCTTCCACATTTTTTTTAAAAAAAATCAAAATATCACTCTTGAGTCAGTGCACAGCCTAGAAGAGGAGAGGCAGTTTAGGGGCTTCATTTCTCTTGATTAGGGTTTTTCCCCCTGTGCTTAATACTATCCTCTAACATGGTAGAGTTGCAACCTTTACATTTCCCAATGTTTTTAAACGTCAGAGCCCCAGCATGGATGCAGACTGAAACATCTCCCTTTGTTCCCTATTGCGGTCTGTGTGTAACTGATCCCCATTTCTACACAATGAAAGTGATACTTCCACGTAAGCGCTTTCCTGAGCCTGCTTACATGATAAGGAGTCCCAGGGTCATCAGAGAGGCTAGGTAACTGAGAGTTATCTCAAATCAAGGGCTTCACCTCTGACTGTGTGTTTACAAAGAGGGCACATTCTGACATGAACATACAACTGAGAGGATAAGTCGGCCTGCCATTAACACCTTCCGACATGTGTCCTTGGCCGGCCATCATCATCCCTGTGCTAGATGGCTGTTTCCCACAGTAACCTATTCTGACTCTGTCAGTATACATGATGGGAAATGTAAAATGGCTGCTTGAGTGATTGCTTCCTTGGATTCATCTGTGAATTCTTTACATTTGGATAAAGCAAGGTGACTGCTGTCCTTTTCGACTGCTCTCCTTGGACAGATGTTGCAACTCTTTGATCCTTCAGAAGAAGCCAGTCTCTTGTATCTGTTCCTCCTGTTTGTCTGCCTTTTCCCTCCTTATCTCATGCGCAGCCACCTGCGGGAAGCCATACAGCAGATTCAAGCAGCTCGATTCCCGTTAACAAAAGTACAGTGGTACCCCGCAAGACGAACGCCTCGCAAGACGGAAAACCCGCTAGACGAAAGGGTTTTCCGTTTTGGAGGCGCTCATAAAGCGAATTTCCCTATGGGCTTGCTTCGCAAGACGACAGCCCATAGGGAAATCTCAGGGACAGCGGGGAAGCGCAGCGCGTCTTCCCCACTGTCCTCGGACCTCCTCCGAAGCCTGGCGGCGGGGCGGGGACACCTCCTCCCGCCGCCGCCGGGCTCGGAAGGCTCCTCCGAGCCGGGCGGGGGAGGGAACACCTGCCGCCGCCGCCCGGCCCGGAGCGGTGCTCCGAGCCGGGCGGGGGGAGGGAAGACCTCCGCCTCTGCCCGGCTCGGAGCGGTGCTCCGAGCCGGGCGGTGGGGAGGAAGACCTCCCCGCCGCCCGGCTCGGGACGGTGCTCCGAGCCGGGCGGGGGGAGGGAAGACCTCCCGCCGCCGCCCGGCCGGAACGGTGCTCCGAGCCGGGCGGGGGAGGGAAGACCTTCTGAAGGCGGGCGGGGGCGAAGTCTTTGCTCCCCCTGCCTGCCTGTCCCGGAGGGCTTTTGAAGGCGGGGGAGCAAGACTTCGCCCCCGCCCGCCTTCAGAAGAGGTCCAGGACCTCTTCTGAAGGCTGGCGGGGGCAAAGTCTTTGTCCCCTGCCTGCCTTCCCAGGGGCTTTAAATTGCCCCGGACAGCGGAGAAGTCCTCCGCTGTCCCGGGGTGATTTTAAAATGCCGCCCGCCAGCATTTTAAGATCGCCCGGACAGCGGAGAAGTCCTCCGCTGTCCCGGGGTTTTAAAATGCTGGGGGTGGGAAGAAAAGCCCTTGCCCCCAGCCTTCAGAAGAGGTCCGGGGACAGACTGTCCCCGGACCTGGTCTGAAGGCGGTTTCCCTAGGAACGCATTAATTGATTTTCAATGCATTCCTATGGGAAACCGTGCATCGCAAGACGAAAAACTCGCAAGACGAAGAGACTTGCGGAACGAATTAATTTCGTCTTGCGAGGCACCACTGTAGTTCTCCTTGCATTGGGTGTTTGCAAAGCTTGGCATGGGTCCCAGGGTGGTTGAATAAACAATTTAAGCTGGAGCAGGTTAGTTTTTACTTTCTGATCAAGGACACGAAATGTATGAGGGTGTGAGTGGTAGGTTTCCATTGTCTTAATTCAGAATGTTCTGTATAAATAACATCTCATTGGGCTTATTTGCCTGAGCTGTGTTCACAGGGTGTGTTAAAGCTGCACTCGCAAGGTTAGATTTTTGGTTTAGTGTGTTCTTACACAGTAAATTATGAATGTTGCAGGTTTGAGAGGCCTAGCTTTAAAATATCTGCGGCCCCTGTGCTTCCCAATCCTGGTGCTTATTCATAGAAGCATAGAATTGTAGAGTTAGAAGGGACCCTGAGGATCATCTACTCCAACCCCCTCTTGGGCTTGCCGATCAGAAGGTTGGCGGTTCGAATCCCCGAGACAGAGTGAGCTCCCGTTGCTCTGTCCCTAGCAGTTCGAAAGCACACCAGTGCAAGTAGATACACAGGTACCGCTGTGACGAGAAAGTAAATGGCGTTTCTGTGCACTCTGGTTTCCATCACGGTGTCCCGTTACACCAGAAGCGATTTAGTCATGCTGGCCACATGATCCGGAAAGCTGTCTGTGGACAAACGCTGGCCCCCTCAGCCTGAAAGCGAGATGAGCACCGCAACCCCATCGTTTCCTTTGACTGGACTTAACCGTCCAGGTTAAACAATTCTGTTATTAATTTCAGTTACCCATGATAAACACAGGGGAATAAATCAGGTTTTTGGATTAAACCCCAAAAGGCACAGAGACTGCTGAGATGTTTGGGCAGGGTTTTTTTTGGGGGGGGGGGAAGAGGCTGGTTACAGAGGAAACACTAACATCTTGGAAGCAGGAACATCTGGCTTGGCAACGAAGTGGAGCTTTTGAATGTTGAGCTCCCTCCCCACGCTCTAAAGTTATTGTCGCTATTGAAGACTGAAGGTGGAGTTAGGCCCAAGGCCTGAAACTGAGCCAGCCTGCCTGAATCCCTCTCTCAAAAGTCACGTGACTGCACAGCAGAGAGAACGGAGTCCTTGTGCTGGAGATCCCGTTTTCTGTAGGGACTTGTCTGGCTCAGCCATTCTCTTGTCCCTTTGCATCACTCAAGAGAGCTGCGTTATCCTAGTGAGATTAGTGCCACAAGGCAAGGAGCCAACGCCGTTTCCCTCAGAGTGTTGTTTTATTGAGCTTGTGCATTCTGCAACGTGTTCTCGACACAACATAATGGTGCATTTAAGGTGGGTTCGTTCTGCTTTCTTAGTTCTGCTATGCTTTTCCCCCAGTGCTGCTCCATTAGAGGGCTCAACAATGTATGTAGCTCAACAAAAGTGAGATGAGAAATACTCAGAACATTTGTGGTGTGGGGAAAAAGTTGCAGGATTTCAGCAGAAGAAATGCCCTGACAGGAAATGAAGCAGTGTGACAACCCCAGAAAATTTGCAGGTGCAAATAGTATTGAAAAAGGGATTGCTTATGACTCGTCTGATAGCATTATAAGCACAACTCATTAATGCACAATAGAAAGGAGGGGCTGTAGGAGGTTACCATCCTGGCAGGGGATTGTGATAGTCTAAACAACCTATATGCCATTCGAGGAAGAACTATCCTAGATAAGCCTTGCTGTGACGCAAGCAAACAATTGAGATGTGTGCTCTGTGCATTTAACCTGTGTGCTTGAGGAGCCGGGAGTATGCATGAGGACAGAAACACTAAACGATTCTGGGTCTTGATAGTAGGTGGTTTCGAGCCAGGTGAAGCCATGTCTAGCCACTCTGGACAATAGTGATTAATACTCTGTTCTTTCAATAAGTTATTGGGGTGGCTTGCAATAAAATATTGAAGTACAATACAACAATGTAATATCCTAAAAAGCACTGTAAAGAAATATTTACAAGCCAAAATGGACTGTCAGGGGCACCACAAAATACCCGTTTCACAGAAGAAAAGCTGACAATGCTCAGAACCCCTCGCTGCAAAAAACAGACAAAATACCTATGAAACAAATAAAGCACACAGAAATACCAGACCCTCCACTACGAAACAATCAAAAATATCCCTCTCAGTGTTTTTTAACTGAGAGTAGCAGGTGTCCTTTGTGGGTGTCAGAGGGGGGTGTCTGCTGGAACCCTGGGTGTCACATTGGGGAATCCTAGGCATGGGGTTTCCTAGAATGAAGGAAAGGTTCTTGTGCATGAAATGTTAGTGCTTATCTAGATTTAAAATAGCCTTTCAACCGTCTGAATTGTGCCTTTACTAGCAATGATGACTATTTTGGCTTAAAATCCTTGTCAAAGATCAGCCTTGTCAGCAAGGTCTCTCTTGGAGAGCTCAATTTTTCCAGAGAAGCCCTTTAATCAAAAGTCAATATGTACCCGGAAATAAAAAGGGAAGAACAGAAGACGAAGTGGACTCTGCAGTGGAAGGTCAAGTGGGTCATCCATTCTTTGGGTGACGTGTTGCAAAACATTCTAGGAAAGCAGGAGGGTAGCAGCACCCAGCAAATAGAGATCAAATGAAAGGAAACCCAGATAAGAGAGAAGTACTGTTGGCTCGCCAGGAATTTTGGCTAGTATCAAAAAGCGGTATTCATTCTACTTTGGATGGGGCTGTACTGCCCTCGTAGGAGCAAGTGTGCAGCTTGGCCCATACACTTGGACCCTGGTGATTTTTATCAGCTTTGGTTGATTCAACAACTTAGTTCTTTCTTGAAGACATGCTTAGCATTAGTTATCTATGTTTTGTTTACTCCCAGACTAGACTTATGCAATGTGTTCTTCGTGAGGCTGCCTTTTAAACACTTTTCGGAAGTGTAAAGGTAAAGGTAAAGGTAAAGGGAACCCTGACCGTTAGGTCCAGTCGTGACCGACTCTGGGGTTGCGGCGCTCATCTCGCTTTACTGGCCGAGGGAGCCGGCGTACAGCTTCCGGGTCATGTGGCCAGCATGACTAAGCCGCTTCTGGCGAACCAGAGCAGCGCACGGAAACGCCGTTTACCTTCCCGCCAGAGTGGTACCTATTTATCTACTTGCACTTCGACGTGCTTTCGAACTGCTAGGTTGGCAGGAGCAGGGACCGAGCAACAGGAGCTCACCTCGTCGCGGGGATTAGAACCGCCGACCTTCTTCCGGGTTTTGCCGCACGCGCATGTGCAGAAGCGCTCAATCGCACCTGTAAAAATTCTGTTTGAAATTCAGCTGTGTATGGTCTCTGCCCATGGCCTGACATTTGTATGTGGGCCCTGCACGAGCAATGCTGAAGGCTTGTGCATCAATACAAACGTGTTTAACAGCTGAAACTTGCAGTAGAGTGCATTAAAAAGCATTATGGAACATGTGACTTTGTGGCTTTGTGTAATCGGTGATGGACAGGATGCAGGCAGCCTCATCAGTGCCAGATGGCAACCGCAAACCCAGTGGTTGCAAGAATTGGCCCTTTTGCTATTCTGCTGTCACTGGCAGGCAGGAAGTTAAGTGGGCAGGTATGATTACCATAGTGTTCTGCACTGAGGCTGCTGATAGCCTGCTCACTGGCGGAAGCTGCCTTCCCACCTGTCTTTAGCAAGTAACCACAATGCAAGTTTATGTTGCTTTCCTTCCTTTAATAAATTAAACTTTGTGTGTGCTGGCAGGCACATTCCTGCCCAAATAGTTCTTCCTGCTAACAGTGCAAGAATTGTGCAGAGAGGCTACCTTTTTTGTCCACAGCCCCTGTACCCAGGAGTAAGTCTCACTGACTTCAGTGGTGACTCATGGATAGGATTGAGCTGCCTGTGCCATGCAGTGCTTGGGTGTAAGAGGGGAACAGGACAGGTTGGACGGAGCCTAGCCTAGCCATAAGGCGCAGCTGTGAGCTAGGGAAAGTTAACTGTGCATTGCTCTCCTTAACATTCTTCCACTGAAGAAACTTTGGGTGGAGGTGGGATACTGAGTTGGGCAAGTCCCCACCCCCATTATGCACAAAATGGCATTGCACAAGTCTAATAGTGACATTTAAAAATCTTTTGTTTGTTTGTTTGTTTGTTTGTTTGTTTGTTTCAAAGAGATGTTTAATCTGCAGGTAAAGGTAAAGGGACCCCTGACCATTAGGTCCAGTCGCAGACAACTCTGGGGTTGCGGTGCTCATCTCGCTTTACTGGCCGAGGGAGCTGGCGTACAGCTTCCGGGTCATGTGGCCAGCATGACTAAGCCGCTTCTGGCGAAACCAAAGCAGTGCATGGAAATGCTGTTTACCTTCCCGCCAGAGCGGTACCTATTTATCTACTTGCACTTTGATGTGCTTTCGAACTGCTAGGTGGGCAGGAGCAGGGACCAAACAACGGGAGCTCACCCCGTTGTGGGGATTTGAACCGCCGACCTTCTGATTGGCAAGCCCTAGGCTCTGTGGTTTAACCCACAGCGCCACCCGCATCTGCAGGTACTGGCTGCTAAATGCTGTATTTGAAATTCCGACTAAGCATCAAGAAGAACTTTTGGACAGTAAGAGCTGTTTGACAGTGGAGCAGACTTCCACAAGAGGTGGTAGATTCTCTTTCCTTGTAGGTTTCAAAGCAGAGGTTGGATGGGCACCTGTCATGTATGATCTAGTTCAGATTCCTGCATTGCAGAGGGTTGGACTAGATGACTCTTGGGGTCCCTTCTAACCCTTCAGTTCTACGATTCTGTGGGTTAAGGGGGCAGGAGATGCTGCCTCCCAAGATCAAAGGTAATATACCCTGCTAAACTTTGCATCCTTAGGTCCTGCTTCTTTCCATCCCTTTCATTTCATCTGATTCCAGAGTCCTCAATAAATTGCATGGTAGTGAATGCAAGTCAACCATTTAGGTCACTATTCTGCTTGTAACCAAGTTTGACTAGGGGTTATGGGACAGCAACCCACAATGAAGATAAGGCTGAAAGCTCTGCACGAAGCTGTTTTTCTGGTTTAATGTGTTTAGCCTTAGACGTTGCAGTCTGAAGCTGCCCAGAGTTTCTTGCGCTAGCTGGCTCATGGATGGTTTTGGCTTGGATAACCCAGCTCCAGATGCCCCATGCCTGCAAGCCCTGGCGACTGCCTGCTTTCCTTCATTGTAAAACAATGGCTCCAAAGCAGTAAATGGAGACTAAACAGAGCCAGGTTCAAGCTGTAAACATTCCTCCCCGTGGCCCAGTGTCATCCCTCAGTTTTTCCATTAGCACTGCTTTTAGGGATTGCTCACCTTTGCATTCCCATGCAAATTGAGATCATGTGCAATTTGTAGTTGCGCTGTCAAGGGAGTGACTTCCTAAGTGCTTGGGTTTTTTTAATATAAATACTTGAGGCTTGTACAAAATGGCACAGAGCTGGAAAAAGTTGGGAAGGTGATTGATGGCCCCTGTGTCAAGCAGAGTAATGGCTGTCTTCTTGCTGAAAACCAGTGGCGTACATTTAAATCCCAACTTGCAAAGGCATGTTGGGTGGCCTTTGCCAGCCCGCTATAATGGGCTCCTTGCCTCAGTTCCTCACTTGGAAAATCAGAGGCATTGTGGCCTACATAACCCAGATGAGAATTAAGCGGTTCTGTTGTAAATAACTACATGCAAGGGTAGAGCTGTAGCTCAGGGATAGAGCACATGCATTGCATACAGAAGGGATCTGTTTCAACCCCTGGCGTCGCTTTTCTGAAACTTTGGAGAGCTGCTGCCAGTCAGTGCAGACCAGCCTTCCTTAACTGGTTGCCCTGCAGGTGTTGCTGGACTCAAACTCCTACCAGCATGGCTAATGGTCAGTTAAGTTGGGAGCTGTAGTCCCAACAGCATGTGGAGGGTTGGGGAAGGCTAAAGTATATGATGCATATACTTTAGGTGGACCATTGTTCTGTATGCACCCAATACCTTGAAACACCCAAAGCACATTCTTGCCCTAAAAGAATTCTAGGTGCTGTAGTTTGTTACAGGTTGCTGAGAATTGTGACTCAGGGGTAAACTACACTTCCCATAAATCTTTGATGGGAGAAGCATATGCTTAGGAATGTGATTTCAAAGCTGCAGGGTATACACAGCAGTGGAATGCCTTATTCAGTTCAAGCGTGTTAAAACAAAAGAGATTGTCTTGGCATTTGCTAAAACTCTTCTGGGAAACGGATCATCTGCCTTGTCGCTTTGGGAATCCCCAGTTTTGCTTTTCTTTTCATGAAGGCAATAGCTGTGCTTGGCCTTTGCAATGCAACTTTGCATGGCACTTCCCAAATGCCCAGCAGCCAGCTCGGCTGTTGGGAAACACTGTGGCTTTGCAAGCCCTGGGCTCTGTGCTTCCCAAGGGCCAAGCAGAGTGTAATAGTGTTCCACACAGAGAACTCTAATCTGCAGATGCTCTCTACCTGCCTGAAGCTAGCATCACATATGACATCAAGTTTGGGGCAACTGCCTGTGCTTTTGAGGAAGCTGCACCACGGGCCAACTTGGAGATCTGTGCTGGGCCAAATTTGGGCTGGGGGCTCCTCGCCTCTGCTCTAAGCACTGCAATACATTGCTTGCATTGGATTTATTTTAATATGAGGCATGTTTAGATTATTTTGCCTGCTTGGCTCTGAGAGACCAGACTATAAATAAAAGGGGAACGTCGATTGACAGAATTATTTGTGTGCATGCTCACATTAGCACCCTTAGACACAAATTCGCACACTGTTTTGCCCTTGGACTCTTAGAGCCAACCTACCCACTATATAGAATTGAGTAGCAGAATTCTGGAAACCTGCTGGTGTAGGTGGGGGGGAAATATTCAGAGCCCTGTTTTGTTTTGTTTTGTTTTGTTTTTGTGAGGCGGTGGTGGTGCTATTTCAAAGGAGGAATGTTTCAGGGGTGTGTGTATATACCGTATTTATCTGCATGTGCCTGCTTTTGTGGGGTTTTGTACTGTACACATGTCTGTGCTAGCAGGACACGGTGCACCTGGGAGTAGGTATCGTAAAGGAACTGCCTGCCAATTCTTTATAAAAACCTTCAGGCCTTTCCTTATGGCCATGCCAAAAAGCTGCAATTGGTTGCATAGCTAAAGTTCTTGCTATAACTAGCATAGACAGAATGTGGCACAGAACACATTTTCTTAAACGCAAAAATCTGTGGGGGTTTTTCCTCTGGAATTTCTTCCGAAATGCATTGGTGCTAAATGGAGATGAGGTGCTTTTCTTATAGGCTGCCCCCTGCGATGGTGAGAAACGGAGTTAAGGAAGTAGTAGAGGGTGGAACATGAGAATGTCTTGAGTGCAGAAGCAAGGGAAGGAGGGTGCCAGCTGCACCGACAGCCATGTGTTTTGTGCATGGGGCAGAGGGGTGGAGGCATACAGGCAAGGGAAGAGCTTGGTTCAGCTGCCGAACCATTCCCATAATTTAGCTAAACTTCAAAAAAGGTACACAGTAGAAATGAAAGTGTATTTTTTTTTCCAACTGAGCTGCTAGAAAGTTGTCTCTGGTTTCTGAGCTGGGTAGTTGTAATGAGTGATGTTGAAAAGGGGGGAGGAAAGCAGGAGGAGAGAGATAGAAGGCTCATTCCTTTTTATTGGAAACCATAGACTAAACAAATGCATGGTGACAATTCTGCATTGTGTGCAAGCTGTACTTTGCAATCCAGCCCTGGGAAATATGGAGAAAAGAGGCTTCTGAACTCATCCCTGATGAGCTTGCGTTCTGGGAGGCGGAGGAGGAGGAGAGTTATGAGAAGAATGTCTTCTCTTTTTTTAAGGAGCTGCAGGGGAGGCGGGATTAGGGGTTTCTTTCACAGCCATAACTGAAAACAGTAAAGCTGTTTGATATCCAGTGCCCAGATTCTCATTGCAAGGGCCATTTTAAACAGGGCTGTTTCTTGCATAGGAGGGCACTTCAGATCTTTCTGTTGGTAGAGTTCTTGCAACAGAAAAGGTATGCCAGGGGCATGTTTGAGGAAAATGGCTTGAGAGCCAGCGTGGTGTAGTGGTTAAGAGCGGTGGACTCATAATCTGGTGAACCGGGTTCGCTTCCTCGCTGCTCCACATGCAGCTGCTGGGTGACCTTGGGCCAGTCACACTTCTCTGAAGTCCCTCAGCCTCACTCACCTCACAGAGTGTTTGTTGTGGGGGAGGAAGGGAAAGGAGTTTGCCGCTTTGAGACTCCTTAAGGGGAGTAAAAGGTGGGATATCAAGTCTAAACTCTTCTTCTTCTTCTTCTTCTTCTTCTTCTTCTTCTTCTTCTTCTTCTTCAAATGTATCTTGATAGAATGCTGGTTCCACAGCCTTCAGGCCTTTTTAGCAGAACTAGTTCCCAGAGATCGATCCAGAGATGTCCATCATTCTTGAGGGCTGTCCAAATATCCCCCAAGCCATGCCTCTTGCCAACAAGTCTGGATGATAGCAATAGAAAGGTCTGTCTGGGATGTGAAAAGTGAAAGCAGCCCCCTGCTTTCCTTGCCACTTTGATTTCCGCAGAAGGGAAAATTGTGGAAGGTGGTGGAATCTTGGAGAAAAGTCTGCTCTTGAGTAGGCCTGGGTGATAGAGCAATATATCGCCCAGAATCGCTATGAGGGGCTAATCATGATGGTGGTTTCACTCGGCAATATATCACTGGTGAAGCCGTCGCCACTCATGAGTCCCTCCAGCACCCAGTGCAGAGGGAGAAACAGGCTGCGTTGGTGAGGCTGCATACAGCTTGTTCCTTCCTCCATGTCTTTAAAATGCTTGGCTGAGGAGAGCACAGCTGCCCTCACCTCATCCAAGCAGTTTTCTGGAGCTCTAGACTTGCCACTGGCTTGCTGGCAAAGGAGCCCTGCTAACGGAGGCTGTCAGGCTCCATTGCAGGGCTCCCTCCATCTTGGGGAGTGGTCTGGCTTGCTCAGCTGTCGGGCGGGATCCTCCCTGCCCCAGCTGAGCAGCGGGCTTGGGCATTGGCCCTGACCTGCAAGGCAGTGGGGTGAAAGGGTCCCAGCTCCCACGGTGAGAGCTGTGGCAGTTTCACCCAGCAACTCAAGGGCCAGGACCAACGCAGCTTTTTTCAACATAATGGTATATCGCCAAACCACAATGTTTGGCTGGTGATACACTGCGATGTTGAAAACCTAATATCGTCCAGCCCTGCTCTTGGCTTGCATTAAAAAGTGCTTGTAACCGGGGGCATTTTCTCTTATCGAGCTGATTCTTACTCTTATTTAAAGTAACAGCACGTGAGCCATTGGGAATTTAAAAGTGGGGACCCTAGAGGCAAGTGACTGCCAACTAAAATAGCCGGTTTATTGAGAGAGGAGTGATGGCATACTGTCTTCTGTGGTCCTTTGAGAAACAAAGGACCAGATCTCTAGGAGGATTCCACTCACCCCCTTGATGGTTGCCAACGTGGGACTCCCAATACATTCCTCCATCTTTCTGTCTGATGGATGATGTGCAATTCTTGTACTCTGTTTGCTACCCTTGGTGGTGTGTTGGTGCAGTGATCTTCTGTTTTCTGTCTATTTGTCCTTACGTCAGACTTCCCAGAACTTTCTCCTTTATGCATTCTGTGATGAAATGTTTTCTTAAGATTTGAACCATAATTGGGAAACGAAGTCAAGCGGGTTCTTTCACTGGAGGAAGGGGGATGACCTGATCCTCCCTTGCCGTACTTCCTTTCCCCAAACCCACTCATCATAAACAGAGTTCTTCCAGCAACAGGATCCACAGGGTGCCTCCTTGAGCAGTAGGTTCGCAGGAAAAGTTTGGACGGGGTTAGGAAAGAGACACTGCAGCTCTAAATCATAGCTACAACCCACCCTGCCTCCTTGCATACCAAACAAGCTGTTCTGGCAAATGCAAATCTTAAAACTTGGGGTTTTGTTCAAAACCCCCAGCATGCATCAGAGGCTGCAGTATAATTTGAGGAATGTTTGTGTGTTTCGTCATCTGGCAAGCAATGCATGAGAAGATTTGCTCCCGGCCAAGTCTGTGGAGGACACATGTTTGCCGGGTCAGTGTGCCATCATGGCTAAAGCTTCTGAGACAAGTTTGTGTGCTGTAAATGGCTGAGGAATTGGGTGTTTCAGCACGTGTCAATATCTATCCTAAGGAGAAAATTCCAAAGGAAGGTCCATCTGCTTATATTCTGTGAATTCCTGGAACAGGCGTGAATACCCTGTGACAGCTCTCTAGGTGTTGCTGGACTCTCCTCATTACCTGACCATTGGCCACGTCAGCTGGAGCTGATGGAAGTCTTGCAATATCTGAAGGAGTCCACAGGTCCCCCATCCCTCTTTCTTCTTCAAGAGTAAGGGGCAGCTCTTTAAACTGAAGCTTGCCCTCAACTCCTGTACCACATTTCTGACATGATGGTCCACATGTGTTTCCCAGCAATGAAAAAAGTCACTTAAAAGTCTCCTCCCACAGTGTATTTAGTATAGAGCTTTCACATTCTTAAATCTGATAATGAATAGCAGCATTGGTTTCTCGCTCATATAAAATACCAAAGCGGCTTGCAGAAGAAATTCTAACATCAACCTGGAAACTTTTAGCGGGAAGAGTTCCTTTCTCTCCTACCCAGAATGATCTAGTCTTTCTTTTCTGTTCCTTTGCGTAGGAAGATAATTGTCAGGTTGTTCTAAAATCGTTTCTAACATTGTGTTTTTATGCTGAATCCTGCCCTGGGATCATCGGGTGAAGGCGGGCAATAAATAAATAAAAATATAAGACTAAATATTAGGGTGGGGTGCCTTATTTTTCTAGAGCTCCATAGCTGGGGGGAAACATTGTACCAGCATGAGCAGTGGAGGAAGATGGGTTTTTCAGTAGCTCATAGGCAGACATAGGAATCAGGTGGTAGATCGACCTAGCTGTTTCATAAAAAGTGACATGGCAGTGAGGTGAGCATCTGACATGCTTATTTGATCTTAGGCCAACTGAGAGGCACCACACGAGTTGCAGAAATGGGTGTCCTTTGAGCACGCCATATTGAAGAGTGAGGTGACTGAGGGTGGCTGTGGATTCTGCCCTGTATGTCTGCGGGGATATGTTGCAATTACTGGATGTTCCACTTCCCAAAGAAGCTTCGTCATGGACTTGGCTTCCTTGTTTGAGGAGGGTGAAGTTGTGCCAGCTGCTGGGTGTGCCAGCTCCTCCTCAGTGTGGGCAGTGGCTGTGAATGACGTGTTCTTCCATCACTGCCCAGCTTTCCTATCTCCACTCAAAGAGGAAGCATGGAGGCAGGGTGCCCAACAAGTCAAATAAATGAATAATGGGAGGGTTGGGTGTTCTTCTACCATCTCTGTTGTTGTGGATATTAAAGTTCCCAGTAAACACTCTTGTTTGGGTTGCTAATCCTTTGTACAAATATATATGGATGTATAGGAGGAATGACGGGGTTTCATTACGTAAAGCATTAGCTCTCTTGCTGTTTTGTATGGGTATTCAGCAAACACAGGTCGGTTAAGGGGTGCAGTATGTTTTTATATTGGTTTTTATTAGAGATTTTCTTGCGTTACAAAACAAATAGGGAAAAGTACATGTAGCACCTTCATTTTTCCATTTATAGACTTTTTCACAGCTTGTTTACAATTGGTATGAGACACTATTGTCCTAGATATCATGCAGTTTGGAGGGGGGGAGAGAGAGGGTAACATTCCTGGTCTCACTGGCTTCAGTACGACCCTAGGATACAAAAGCCAGGCTAGCTAGCCAGAGCTGCACTGGTAATCCTCTGCAGACCCAGACCAACGTTTGCAGAGTTATGGATGGCAAGTCACACTTTAAAAATCTGCATTTCTGTCTCCAGGTGGTCCTGGCTATACAATTTGGAAAGAGATCAATGGAGAAGTTGAGAGTAGGATGGAGAAATGACCACAAACTGCAGTCCCAATGCTTCTTGTGTTTCTCTCCTTTAGAAAGAGTTGCGGCCTCGCCTCTGCCGGATGAAGAAGGGCCCCAATGGGTATGGATTCAATCTCCACAGCGACAAGGCCAAGCCGGGCCAGTATGTACGAGCGGTGGATCCAGATTCGCCAGCCGAAGCTTCGGGACTCCTGCCTCAAGACCGCATTATAGAGGTATGCGGGGTTGGGGGTGAGATGTGCACAGGCCCCAAACAAGGTCCCTAGTAGTGGTGTGGAAATAGGTCACACAGCAAACAGACTGGCGGGACTGAAATCCTTGGGGTGACTTTTTACTCCTTTGTGACCTGTAACTATATGGCTCTGTTCAGGTGTAACAAACCATGGTTTGCTACAAAAGCCAACTGTGGGGGGCCACTGACTTGCATGCTTCCCTCTTATCTTCCTCCTCAGTACACAAGAGGAGATTGAAAACTTCCGCTTTGGGATAAGCTACAGCCTTGTGTTACGTCCCATTTCTGAATTGTAGTTTGTTCTAACCATGGTTAGTTAAAACGGAACCAGGGTGTCGAGCGGTGGTTTTATCCTTTTTTTGTGGATAGGCCATGGTTCCCTGGTTTCTGGGTGCTGCCAAAAACTGCAAAAGCATCTGCAGTCTTCTCCTCTCACCGGCAAAGGAGGAGTTGGGTGCATGCGAGTCAGAGGTTTGTGGTCATCATAACAATAAATGATGGTTTCTTACATCGGAACTGGGTGTGTCTCAATTTTCATGTGTGGCCATTGCAACCAGAGCTCCCGTGTCACCTTCCCTGTATAGTAGTGCGGTGGAGTTTCCTTCCATAATTGTTCAGCAAACCAAAGAGCTAATGGAGTTTCATAGGGGAATTGGCAAAATTAGAGTGACCTAGCTGTTTGTGAGTTGGCTATAAATGTAGCTTGTGATCCAGGTTGAGATAGTAGCAGGGCAGCTAGTGCAGTGTTTTTCCAAATTCTCTTCTCTCCCTGCACACCCACTTTTTAAATTAAACCTAAATGCCGTCAAAAATTGAGGAGTTCAGCTCTCATCTCCCAACTTGAAAGCCATTCTGGTTTTACAGATCTGCGCACCCCTCCTCCATTTCCCCCCCACACGTAACTTGGCAGTTTAACCTGCCTTAGGTATGTTTAATTCTTGTGTTTCTTTCTCAAAGGCCTTTACTTTGACATTAAGGTGGGGGGGGGGAGGTTGTACAGCTACTATTCTGGGACTTCAGTGTGTGGAGAGTCATGGGCAGCAGTGTGTCAGTGTGGACTGATGCAAAAGGATTATTTTAGCATGGTACCACCACTCTTTCTCTCTTCCCTGGTAACTGGGCCCACCTGGCTGATGCAGCAGCTTCAGTTCGATGTTTCTTGCTCAGTGTCTTGTGGATTCCTAACTGCTCTCATTTTAATTAAAGCACCACCAAACAAAATAGGTCCCTGCCCCGAGGAGCTTCCACATTTGTTTTTGTAAATCACTTGGAGCTCTGTTATGTTTTTAGAATCAAGCGGTATATACATTTCATGAAATGAAATCTGACATGTTCTATGGGGAGGCACCAGCAAGAAGGAAGGAAGGAAGGAAGGAAGGAAGGAGTGGTCAAAAGTAACTAAGAAATTGTGCATTCAGTGTTCACTCTCTCCACCAAAGAAAACGTCTCCTTCGGTATTGTTAGCATTTGGATATTGGTCGTTTTGGCTCAAATCCAAACCGACAGGCCCTTTTTTTAAGGAGCAAAGGAGAGATATTGCAAGCAGTGCAGTGGGCTGAGAATCTATTGGCGGAAAAGGGTTTTGGTGGGGTTTTTTGGATCAAGTTGTGAGACGGTGCGCCTTGAATACAAATAAGAGTTCCATCATTGGGTCGTTTCACTAAAAGGCTTGTGAATTGCTGAACTAGAGGAAGACAAATGTATTAGTTGCCCTGGCACCAATTACAGCCAGATCTTTCATGCTGGAGCCGTTCAGGGATTAGCAGAGAAGCCAGCAAAACCTCATTAAAATCAGATTTCCCTGAAGCGATTAGCACAGGATTGCACAAGCAAAGCTGCCAGGTTTGTGTGGCCAGAGATGCACACAGGCTAGATGACAAGCCTGCACACCAGGCACGTGACGTTGTGTACAAACTGACAGGGAGGCTGCCTGGAAAGCTGTTGTCTGTGTGTTGTTTGTAGAAGATTCTTCTTCCCTCTGACAAACCGGTTGCTGCTCTAAATGCCTGTCAGTTAAATCCTTCGAAGACAGAGGTCCTCTGGCTGGGACGCAACGATATGGGATTGAGGGGGCAACTCCCATCTCTTGCGGGGGTGCAATTAGTGCCAGCACCGTCCGTTAAGAGTTTGGGTGTAATCTTCGATACCTCCCTCTCCATGGAGGCGCAGATTGCAGCTATAACAAAGGCGGCATTTTTTCATCTCCGCCAAGCTAAGCAGTTGGCTCCTTACCTCTCTCGCCCTGACCTAGCCACTGTGATCCACGCGACGGTCACCTCCAGACTGGATTATTGTAACTCGCTCTACGTGGGGCTGCCCTTGAGACTGACCCAGAAACTCCAGCGGGTGCAGAATGCCGCAGCGAGAATCCTTACGGGGTCTTCGCTGCGAGATCACATTCATCTGGTGCTATACCAGCTGCACTGGCTCCCGCTGGAGTACAGGATCAGGTTTAAGGTGCTGGTTTTAACCGTTAAAGCCCTATACGGCCTAGGACCCTCGTACCTACGGGACCGCCTCTCCTGGTATGCCCCACAGAGGAACTTACGGTCTTCAAATAAAAACATCTTGAAGGTCCCAGGCCACAGAGAGGTTAGGCTGGCCTCAACTAGAGCCAGGGCTTTTTCGGCTGCGGCTCCAACCTGGTGGAACGCTCTGTCACAAGAGACAAGGGCCCTGCAGGACTTGACATCTTTCCGCAGGGCCTGCAAGACAGAGCTGTTCCACCAGGCCTTTGGTCAGGGCGCAGCCTGATTCCCTCCTTTGGCAATCTTTACAAAACTTTAGTTTATGGTTGCCATCAATTTTGATTTTAATTAATTTTTATAATGTTTTTATAATGTTGCACTATTTTAGTGTTGTTAGCCGCCCTGAGCCCGGCTTCGGCTGGGGAGGGCGGGATATAAATAAAAATAATAATAATTATTATTATTATTATTATTATTATTATTATTATCTTGCTTCCTCCCTAGCCCCATTGCTGTGTCCACGGGTGAAGCCAGCATTGCACGTTACACCAGAAGTTTGTGTGGACAGTGTTTTGGCTAGTAAATATCCATGTGGTCAGCCCTACCATCTGTTGATTGGTGATGGGCTGTTCTCCCCTCCCGTCTTATCCATTGCTACCCCAGTTAATTCTTTAAAAGTGGGAACCCTCCTGTTGTGCTCACCAGAAAACCAAAAGTGTGAGACTTGATGCTCATAAGAAGAGCACCGCAGGGTCAGGCCAACAGGGAACCAACAAGTCTAGCATCCTGTTCTCACATTGGCTAACCAGTTGCCTATGGGAAGGCCTGCAAGCAGGACCTAAGCTCAGCAGCCCCTCTCCCTACTGGTGATTCCTAGGATCTGGTATTCAGAGGCTTGCTGGCTCTGACAGTGGAGGTCGGACACAATGAGGCCCAAGCGCATGGGTGCCTTGGTTGTGCGACTTCTGCTTCCACCTTTCAAGTATGGTGGTGAGAGCATTGGTGGGTTGCTTCATCACTCTGGAGGAGACCTGGGTTGGTACCTTCATGAACATGGAGGATGGAGAACAACTGCCTCTTCTTGACAGGGCACGAACCAGTGTTAGAAACTCATATATATATAAGCTAGGTGCTTTATAAATCTAGGTTGCAGTCGCCATAACATAATGTCTATTTGCCAGGGGGTTGGACCAGGTGACTCTCGGGTTCCCTTCCAACACTACAATTCTATGATCTCAGTTACATTGCTTGACGGTAGCTTGCTCTTTCAACACATCACTTGTTCCAGTATGCAAGAAGGAGGATTGCACACAGTGGACATGGAATTGGTATTCTGGTCTCTGTGCAAATCTACTTTGTTCCCGCTGCTGCTGCTGCAACCCAGCCACCCCCTCGACCTACCTGCTGTGTCATGGCAATGTACTGGTCTCCAATGATAACAAACCAGGATGTGGCTCTGGTTGGCTTCATGCTCTAGGTCAAAATGTTTGGAATACAACGTTTCGAATCGCATAGGAACTTCAGGCCTTGTGGTTTTGAATGATAAAATAATCTGCAGCAGACTCCTGTAGCCACATTTCCGTCTTTGTTGAACCTTCTGGTGATGGGGATAATGGTAGAGAGTTAATACAGGCCAGTGCTGAGCTTCTCCCAAGCCCCAAATATCAATGGTCCCGCCTTCGTTCCTGATTCGTATGCTACTCAAAGTGCTCAGGAAGCTCAGTTGTTCTAGTGGCACCCCTTTGATCATGGAGTGGTTTGCATACTTTCTGGTTTGATAGTCCTTATCAAAAGGTTTTTAAACACTGAAGGAGTTTGTCTCCATCCTGGAATGCACAGTGTGGTCCTGCAACCCACACACCCTGGCGAAGCCAGGCGTGACTGGGTTGTACTTTTGGTATTTGCAGTTCTCAGACTGTGCCTCCAGACCGTCAGTGTTTTGCGGGAGCAATTCAAGCCCATCCTGGAAAATTAGGCTTGAGCAGTGAAAGTGGGTTAAAGTCCTCTGTCGCCTTAGTGCAAGGAATTCACTTTTTTAAAAGAGAGAGAGAGAGAGAAACCTTTTTGCAGTTAGGAAAATGAAGGCAAGTGAAAAGTTTAGAATGAACGTAACGGGAAGACGTACAAACACCCCGCAACCAAATCGGGGTGAACACTTGCTGTTGTATAACCTCCCCACAAACAAATCTGAACAAATAGTCAGTGAAGACCAGATATAGTCTAACCTCCGTGTAAGCTTTGAGCAATCAAATTGGGATGCATGCTCAAAAAATGTCTTCTGGGTGAGTCCCTTGAGAACCTATGGGGGCTCTTCCATAAAATGATGGGCAAGTTCTCCTGAAACACACGTGGGTAGGCTGACTCTTGAAGGACCTTCAAGTTGTCTCTCCATATCTCTGGTGCACTGGGGGGAGCATGGTTTGTGATGGGTAGGGTGGTGCATGGGAAGCTGTAACCCCCAAGCATGTTCTTTCTCCCCTCCCCATTTGTCATGAGTGTAAGTGTGTGACCCTGTTAACCACAAGTCCAGCGCATGTCCCAGGCTTCCCCAGACAGCCCACCTACTGATGCACATGGCCTTCAATGTCAAGAAGGTTGCCCACTCCTGGTCTAAGGTGACAGCTTTTCTTTCCACCTACCAGACCACCTGCTGCTTTATCTAATCTCAGAAACGCATTGCATTCCTTGCAGGTGAACGGGGTGTGCATGGAAGGCAAGCAACACTCGGACGTCGTTTCGGCCATAAGATCTGGTGGAGATGAGACTGAGCTGCTAGTGGTGGATAGCTTAGCGGACGAGTTTTTCAAGAAGTGCAATGTCATCCCTTCTGAAGCACATCTGAAAGGTGAGGCACCCATTCTGGCAGGAATACTCCTAAGGATTGGTGTGATCTAATCAGGGCTGCTCATTGTTGTTTTGGATAGCGAAATTGAGGTTTTTCAACAGAGGGGCGGGTGGCCGTATGTCATTGATACTTTAGTTGAGATTCCTGCATTCCAGGGGCCCTTCCAACTCTGCAGTTCCATAGTTCTATGAATCCGGTTCTGAAACTGCAGGACCTCTGCTAAGAAAGGCCACTGATTTTTTGTGCAGTTGAGAAAACCCTGCATAGCCATTGTGTGTGTGTTCCTCTTTTTTAAAAGGGGAGGGGAGCAATTGTTGATGGTGGAGAAGCTTTTTCCAAGAGTTGTTTCCCTGTGATTAAAGCGGCCTGCAAGCAATAATGCCACAGTAGATGGACCTAGCACGTTTTAAATGCCAGCAGCTTCAGTTTGGGGTCGATTATTTCACTTAAAATCAATATTTGAATCTCCACCTTTCTGTTTAAATAAAATGTCCCGGGCATTTTATGCAGCATTTTTTAAAAGACTAATTAAATACGACCTGAATTAAAACACAATTACAGCAGCAGGCGGGTCAGTATGGTATTGTTCTGCAGCAAATTCAAAAGGGCTTTGTAAATGATGTCTTGGCTTGTTCCTGGGGAAGTGTGCTGGAAGAGGGGGATTCTACATTTGAAAGACTCTTCCTCTGGTCACCAGCTTCTTAGCTTCTGAAGGCGGCATTCCTGGAGAATGGCCTCAGAAGAAAGGTGCTGGCATCTGGGCAGGTTCAAATGGGGACGATCGCCTTCTTGTTCGTGCCCTCTATTTGGAAAGGAAATGGGGTGGGGGAAATCTTTCATCTCTCTGCAACCTGAGAGCATTTAATTAGAGGTACAGGTGGGTGATTGAACCTGAATCTTAACGTATACCATGACTTTGTACAGGAATGATGTGCAGCTCCAGATGATGGTAGACTCCAGCTCCTTTCGCCAAATGGTCAGGGCTGATGGAGTCCAGCAAATTCTGGAGGGCGACAGGTTCCCTCATCTTTGCTATACTGCTTCAAAGTCTCAGAACAGAGAAGGCATACAAAGGCACTGTGCGCGCGCACACACACACTCACACATATAAAACCCTCTAACCTGTTTGCAGGTCTTCAAGAGGTTAGAGATGAGGGACATGGGTGGCACTGTGGGTTAAACCACAGAGCCTAGGGCTTGCTGATCAGAAGGTCGGCAGTTTGAATCCCCGCGACGGGGTGAGCTCCCGTTGCTCGGTCCCTGCTCCTGCCAACCTAGCAGTTCGAAAGCACCTCAAAGTGCAAGTAGATAAATAGGTACCGCTCCGGCGGGAAGGAAAACGGCGTTTCCTTGCGCTGCTCTGGTTCGCCAGAAGCGGCTTAGTCATGCTGGCCACATGACCTGGAAACTGGACGCTGGCTCCCTCGGCTAATAAAGCGAGATGAGCGCCGCAACCCCAGAGTCGGTCACGACTGGACCTAATGGTCAGGGGTCCCTTTACCTTTACCTTTAACCTGTTTGCAGGTCTTCAAGAGGCTAGAGATGCATAGGTTTGTAACGGTGACCTTAGAATTCTTTTTTGCGTAACTACCAAAAACTGAGCAGTTGTATAGCTGGGGTCTTTCTAAGCATTATCCCTGGAAAGCATGGTGCACTTTTGGGAAAAGGTACAGCTTGGTTTGCATGCAAAAGATCTCCGGTTCAATTTCTGACATCCCCAGATAAGGCTGGGAAATACTGCCTTGTCTGAAATTCTGGAAAGCCACAGTCCATTAGTGCAGATAATGCTAATTTAGAGTGACCAGCCTGGAGAATGTTTGCAAGACACTGTGTATGCCTATGAACTGGGCTCTGCCCGTTACATGCTCCATTGGATCCAAGCCTGACCTCTGTGCTGCATAGGTTTCCACCTGATGGAAAGCACTTGCATGCTCAGCTGTGAAATGGACTTCTTTGCGAGAGCTTGCCAAAGGCCCAGTCGTGACCTTCCTTCTTGCAGTGTGTTACCAGCCGAGCATTTGTTATGCAACAACAGGCTCTCAAACCTCCAGGACCTGCTGCAGGAACCCCTGTGGGGATGGGTGGGTGGGTCTGAGTGCTGCTTGAGTGATTAATTTGCGAGGTCTCCCGGGAGCCATGCAACAAGGAAGCGGGGAGGAAGCTCTCTGGAATCTCTTAATTAATCCTATTAACCTCCCATATTTCTCACCAAAATAGCCTATTGTTGGTGCTATAGTTAGTGCTTCAGCAGGTGTACACATATATTTGTCAATGGCTCCTCGGAATAGCAGAGAATCTAGGATGGAGTGGAGGAGATGGGGAGGTCAAAAGGACAAAGAGTTCCCTCTGCTCTGTGAATCTGACATGAACTCTCTGACGGCAAGAGCTGTTCAACATTGAAATGGACTCCCTTGGAAGGTGGTGGACTCTCCTTCCTTGGAGGTTTTTAAGCAGAAGTTGGATGGACATCTGTCAGGGATTCTTTAGCTGTGATCCTTCCATTGGGACCCTTCCAACTCTATACAGTTGTACCTTGGATCCTGAACGCCTTGGAACTCGGATGCTTTGGCTCCCAAACGCTGCAAACCCAGAAGTGATTGTTCCAGTTTGCGAACGTTCTTTAGAACCTGAACGTCCGATGGGGCTTCCACAGTTTCTGATTGGCTGCAGGAGCTTCCTGCAGCCAATCAGAAGCCACACTTTGGTTTCTGAACATTTTGAAAGTTGAACAGACTTCCAGAACGGATTCCGTTTGACTTCCATGGTACGACTACAATTCAGAATGGGCTTGTTCTGCTTTTAAAACAGCTCTTTAGTCATCTTACTTCAGTTCTGAGTTTCCAGCCTTGTGTGCTCTGCAAAAACACCTACCCTGGCCATAATAAAATCCCTGTTTTTGTCATACACAGCACCCTGACTATACTGTCTGTATTTTCACCATGAACTTAAACTTTTAAATGTGGCACGTAGATTATGAGCCCCAGGAAAACCTTTCGTTTTCAGTTCTTTTGAAGCCCAGTGTTTTATCATATTTGTAGAAGGGCAGGCACCAGCTTGAGGAAATCTGAGTTTAAAGCAGAGCAGAAGAGCAGGTACAATATTAGTTAATCAATATTAACAGTAGCAGCAGGTACACAAGGTTATTCAGGGCTTGCATCACGTGGATCGTTGTTATAACACAAAGGCAATAACGGGATAATGAATAATGGGAATTATTGCAGGAAAAAGGTTTGGCAGGAGCAGTTAATTGCCGGGGTCTTGGTGATAGAGGTGTATGACCGCAAAGACCCTAGAGTTTCTAGCACATGTAAACTGCTCCGAGGCAAGGTTAGCTTGTGTATGTGTGTCCCTTACAGAAGGGTTTGGTGGTTGTTTTTAAAGCACACTAGCTGAGCTGAGAATTGAACCTGGTGACTTGCAATCAGTTTTTTCCTTACTTCACAACTGCATTAGCAGCTAAGCAGAGCAGTTCTATACCTGCAGTTTGGCTCCTTTCCCTGGCTCCAGCTCCACCAGAAGTCGACAAGGATTGAACCCAGAACTTTGGGTGTACAGTGGTACCTCGGGTTAAGTACTTAATTCGTTTCGGAGGTCCGTTCTTAACCTGAAACACCACTTTAGCTAATGGGGACTCCCGCTGCCGCCACGCCACCGGAGCACGATTTCTGTTCTCATCCTGAAGCAAAGTTCTTAACCCGAGGTACTATTTCTGGGTTAACGGAGTCTGTAACCTGAAGCATATGTGACCTGAAGCGTCTGTAACCTGAGCTACCATTGTACATGTCTTCTTGCACCTCCTCCCCTTGCAATGTGCCTATCTGCTTTGCTCCACCCCAAGCAAAGACACAGCGATCAGTCGGAAACTAGAGCGAGTGGGGTGGTTCTTTCCGGCAGCCGTGCGGAAACAGCTTCCCTGTGGAGCATTTCCACATAGCTGCTGAGAATTGGTGCGATCTAGTGGAGCAGGACTGCTCGGACCAGAACTGGGGAGATCAAAAGTTCAAATTCCACTTACCCATTAAGCTCACCGGGCTACCTTGGACCAGGCACTCCTTTACACATCCCTCTCTCTTGGTCTAGCCCTACCGCAAAGGGCTGTTGTGAGGATATGATAGAGCTGGTACTGTGGACTGGGCTCCTTGGAGGGAAGCCAAGTTAAAAAAAGAAAAGTAGATAATAACTCTGTGGGTAGGAGCAATTGTGTTTGCTTTTCCCACCCGGCTGTCAAACCAGCCACATGACTGGGTGGTTTGGGTGTTCATACCCCACCCATACAGTGACCGGACAGGAAGTTGCCATGGGGGAAATGGGCTACCGCAGCTGTGAATAGCAAGGGTTCTTCTTGGGGCTGGGCTGCTGTGACAGAACTGGGAGACAACAGTAGCGGCTGCCTAGCTTATCTCCCTGGCTGCTGGCAGTCAGACAAGGGGTCAGAACAGCTAGCAAAGCCCACCCTTTTGGGTTATAGAAATTCAATTAAAAGAAACAAACGTCGCTACCAGAAACTTTTCTTTTAGGAATTATAGGGGCAAAACTACCTAAATCGTATAGAAATTTATTCATGTATGCTACTACAGCAGCAAGAACGTTACTTGCCCAAAAGTAGAAAGAAGCAGAAGTACCAGTAAAGGAAGAATGGATACAAAAAAACTTATGGAATATGCAGAAATGGCAAAACTTACCGGAAGAATAAGAAATCAAGATAGCAGACTTTTTATAAAAGAATGGAAATGGCTTATTGAATATTTACAGATAAATTGTAAACAGATGAAAACATTAGCAGGATTATTGTAATAACCTGCAGTTTTATAAGAATATATATACACACACACACACACATATACAGTAGATAATTAAATGAGCAAGTTAAATGAACTTGGATATGCAGAAGATATTAAAAAATTAAGGAACCGCAGAAAGAGGGGGAAGGGAGTCAAATTTTGAAATGTTAAATTGATTGTAAAACTAATGAAATGTATAAATTTGAAAAGTATAAATAAAAAACTAAAAAGAAAGAAAAAAGTGTCACTAACTGCATATCTTTGTTGTTTTTTTGTTCCCCTCCAGGTCCCTTGCCAGAACCAGTTGCCAATGGTGATGTGGAGAAGGTAAAGGTTATGCCAAGTGCATGGTTCATTGATGGTCTCTTATGTTGTGTGAAGGCCCCTTTCGACAGTACAGGTTTGCTGGGTGTGCACGTGTAAGGGAAGAAGCACCAAAACGGTGTATACAGATTTTCCTGCCATCTATTCGGCCCACTGGGTCTGCGTGGGCTAAGAAGCTGCAAACTGGATGCAGCTTCCCAATGCTTGTACACCGGGGGTGTTGCACAGACTCCAGGGTAGCACACTCTCCTTTCAGGATAAGGTTTTTATTGAAACGCCCAGGTTCCCCAACCCAGAGGCAGGTGCAAAACAGTGGCTCACCCCAGTGGACATGCTAAGATGCGAGAAACAAGATGCCTCTGGTCTCAGCCGGGGCGTTTTGCAGTCGGCACCAGAACCAAACCTATAGGGCCTTTTGCACAGGCCTGGTTTCTCTCCCCACCCCCTGCTCCGCCAAAGCATTATTTTCCAGCAATCTAACCTGGGGATAGGGATGCGGGTGGCGCTGTGGTGTAAACCACTGAGCCTAGGGCTTGCCGATCGGAAGGTCGGCGGTTCGAATCCCCGCAACAGGGTGAGCTCCCGTTGTTTGGTCCCAGCTCCTGCCAACCTAGCAGTTTGAAAGCACGTCAAAGTGCAAGTAGATAAATAGGTACCACTCCGGCGGGAAGGTAAACGGCGTTTCCGTGCGCTGCTCTGGTTCGCCAGAAGCGGCTTAGTCATGCTGGTCACATGACCCAGAAACTGTCTGCAGACAAAAGCCGGCTCCCTCAACCTATAGAGCGAGATGAGCATGCAACCCCAGAGTCGTCCGCGACTGGACCTAATGGTCAGGGGTACCTTTACCTTCACCTTTTAACCCGGGGGTGGGGAGCTTTTCAGCTGCTCCTTCTGTTAAAACAGCTGGAAGCTAGAAACCCTTTGCTCATTTCCTGCAAGTCCCTGTTTTACGGTTCATAGCTCAGTTGTAGAGCGCATGCTTTTGAATGCAAAAGTTCCCAGGTTCATGTCCAGGTAGGGCCGTCAACGATTCCTTCCTGAAACCCTGGAGAGGTGCTGACTGTTGCAGTGGCAGTACTAAGCAGGATGGGCCAACATTACGAGGCGGCTTCCTAATCCTAATCTGCCTTCTGTCCATCACTGGTGGACACTGTGCATGAGACCTACGTGCAGTAAGAGCTGCTTCAGGCCCTTAGTTGTCTTCCGTAGCGGAAGTATAAGCCATTCCTCCCTGATGCTGCTAGGAGTGCCTTGCAGCCTGCCTTGATGCTGCCAAGCAGAGCTTGACCTCTCAGTGGAGGAGGGGAGGGCAAAGCCCTTGAAGGCACGTCGCTCAATTTTCAGGGCCTGCCTCTTGTCACAGAACAGAATGGCCCATTCTTCACCCTGTGGGTGGAATCTCTCGCAGTGGGGGCCGCTGTTTCAAAAGGCCGTGTTACTTCCAGTCTGCTTTGAAAAAACAAAACCTAATTAAACCCAGAGTGAAGAGGAAGCCTCATTAGGAACCTCAAAAGACGGGAGGGCAGGAGGCAGGGATTTCAAATATACATTAAGGGGGCTGAGTGAGGATGTTCCCAGGCTAAAGCTTAAACCAGATAGAGAGATGTCATGCAACTTGTCTACCCGGTAGGTCTGAAAGGCAGTTGGGAAGAAGCAGCCTGACTGCATTGCATCGTAAATAAATAAATCCTGCTTCTATGGGGTGCAGTAGGGTGTTAATTGTTTAAACATGTTTTTTGGTGCAAACTTGCAAGTATAAAGCGCTCTGAAGCACAAGTGTATCTGGCTTCCAGTACTGTGGACAACCTTTCTTCCCTGCCCATTGCAACCTTTCTCCCAGTGTGAGTCTTATGTCCTGCATGCCTGTCTGCTGGGGTGATGCAAAAATTATTGGAATCCTCATTTGAATTTAGCATCTTGCTGAAACCAGGCTGGTTTACATATGCTGCTGAAGCACAATTTAGTGTTACAAGCACAAAGCTAGCCTACCACTGCCTGCCCTGGCTCTTATGGTCCCCTCTCCTCCATCATAGCCTTGAGGAGGTGCTCAGAAACTCTTGCTTCTATTTCTGATTTAACTGCAACTTGCTGTCATTCAAACCAGGGCAAACCATGGTTCATCTAACTATGGTTAGTGAGAATAAACCAGCTTCAAACCATGGTTCATGAAGCTGGCTTTGCTTTCTATAACCATGGTTAATCTCAACTGCAGTTTAGGGTTTGGATAATACCCTAAAATGTGGTTAGACTAAAATGGAAACACTTGGAATGGGAGAATGGGAGGCAGGTAGAAGTGCTTAGCAGTTCGAGAATCAAGGTTTAGTGTTGCATTTGACCAGAACCATTGAACGGGGATGTCAAGCAGCAGTTGTGCCAACTGAATGCTGAGAATTTTCTCAGCCTTGGAGTAAGAAGGACCAATCTGCTTCCATGCTGCCTTCAGTCACTTCTCAGTCCTGCTCATCTGGCTTTAAGCTCCCTTGCTCAACATTTAAACCAGTTTCATCTGATAACTCCAGATGTTCTTCATGCAAAACCACTTTCCTACGCGGCTGTCATAACTTATATCTTGTCATCTCATCTTTGCTTGGCATAAACATGAAAGGAAACCTGCTCTTCCAGCGCAGGCCGACTCAGCATCAGCTGCTAATCAGCTTTCCCTACTGGGGGGTTATTGGCACCATTCGGTGGCTGTAGATAGCTCTCTGTTTGCTGGCTTGCATGCAGCCGGTCAGTTTGCCACAGGTGAACGTGCACCCATTTTCTCAAGATTTCAACCCTCAGTACCTAACTACTGCTTTTGCAGAGGACTAACACTAGGCTTCAGTTGGATCTCAAAAGATGGATTCCTAGCCACACCTTCATGACTTTTCTTCTTCAGTAGACACTGTCCAGATCGCTATCTGTCCATGGGTCTTTTCCTTTGGAGCTGGTTTTATTCAAAGGGGTGCCCTTGAATATTTGCCACTTTATGAACATGGGTGTCTCAAGGTAGCACTATATTGTCACAGAGACATCTCAGAAAGTGGGATGTGGGAGAGCCAACACCCCATATTTTGCATGCAGATAGGTTAGCTGTGATGTTGTCACTGAAAATTTGCTCACGAGAGTGATGGTGCAATTGCTTACACTGTTGCTTAATGGAGGTGATAAAGGCCGTCTTAAGATGGTACCTGACTTGGAGCAAAACAGAACTTGGAGCAAGATTCAAGCTGCTTGGGCCAGTTCACTCCAGCAGAGATCACTCTGTGGGCTGGATCACGCGCATGCATGATCGTGCGCGCCCGTGATTTCCGGTGTCTACGTCTGCGCAGACGCAATTTCCGGGCCGTGGAAGCGAATCCCCGTGCTGCAGTGGTTTAGCACAGCACGCAGGGACTCGCCGAGCGGGCGGCTCGGTTCAGGGGCGGCTCGTGGGCTGGTTAAACGACCCCCGTGGGCTGCTTGTGGCCCATGGGCCTTAGGTTGCTGACCCTGACTTAGCCCTTCAGTCTGTTCTCTCCATGGTCAACTAGATACCTATGGGGGAGCCCTTCCCAGCAGCAGCAGCAGCTGTTCAGAGGCACACTGCCTCTGACAATGGATAGGGAGTAGTTTCCTGTGGTTTCTTCCTTATACCCCACCCCCCTCTTGTTAGAGAAAGAGCACAGCTGGCATTTAATCCTTCTCAGGGATAAAGAGGCTGGAGGATGCCCAGAGCAGGTTTATCAGCCTGCGGTCTGTCAACGGATTATGTGCTTAGAAGTGGGTTTCCTCATACTCCTTATTTCTCTGGTTCCCTTCAGGAAAGGGGCAGGCTGGGATAAATCATCACTTGTTGGACGTGGTCTCTGGTCACTGAGGAGAAGAGGCCATTTTGAGAACATTGGGTTCTCCCCAGTTTTAGGAAGACTCTTCCCGGGCTTCTTTTGTTGGGTTCTCCTGACAGTTGTGACCCTCTGGAGAATCCTGTCGTGTGGCTTTGGAGCTTCTTCCCTAAAACCAGAGCTGCTCCCACTGCCCCTTCTCAATGCCCTGAAATATGCAACTGGTGCATTAGAGGGAGGGAGGGCCAGTTGTGTTGTACCCATCAGCTCTGGGTATGTTTGAGAGCCGGTCTAGCACACTGTCCCTGAGGCCTGAGCTGTGAAGCAGCCGTATGCAGCTTATGATGGCAGCATTCCCTAAATCATGCCAAAGGGGGTAGGAGGAGGAGGAATGTTTTCTTCTGCACAAAAATGTGTGGAACTGGCTAGAATTGGGGGGGGGGGGGAATTCAGGGAAGTGATGCAGTGAGTTCTACTTTTGGCGATTTACAAATAAATAAATGCAGCGTGTTATTTATATAGCGATTGCCCCCCCTTTTTTGTTTCAAGTTTCTCTTCCCTTCCCTGTTGTAGGAGATCTTCAGAGATGACCAGCCTGAGCCTGTCTTGGAAAGTCCTTCAAGCCCTGAGCCGGTGTCTCCTTCTCCGATTCTGAACGAACCTCACAATGAGGTATGAAAGCAGCCTGGGCACAAAGGGAGGAAAGCCCAGAAATGGGGAGTCCTAAACATGTGGTACAGGCATAGAGTCCCCTCTGTTCATTGAGTATTCATCCTGATTTTGCTGCAGGGTGTTTCCATGGATTTCTCATTATTCATTTGTTCATCCCACACTTTTCGGTGCATTTCCCCATCGCTTTCCAAACTGCAAAAAGTCTGTGTGTGTGCTTTTAAGTGCATCCGAGGGCAGCACAGCCCTTTAAATCCACTTTCAATACAGAAATCTTAAAGGTATGGTTTATACTTGAGTCCTGCTCACAATGTAGTTAAGAGTCCAGAGGTGCCCTTGATTCTCTACAGAGTTTTCCTTTGCCAAAGACCAGCAGAAATGATTAGAGAAGTTTCAGCTTGTCCATTAGAGAACCATTTGCAAACTTTCAGAGCTTTGCCATTCTTCCTGCTCCCCTGTGGGGCCAGTCATTTTGTGCTGTAAAAATCTAGTTTGCCTGTCAACCACAGCAATTTGCCCTGGTCTTCAGTGTTCCCATTTTCAAATGGGCAGATGCCTCAATTTCTACAAAGCAAGTAATGAATGTTTAGCATCCCTGACTGGAACCATGTCCAGTTTTTAATTAAATGGCTGAATTATAATTCAGGCGCTCTGTATCAAATCTGCTTAAGGACAAAACTGCATATTTTGTTCGTACTTTTTCCCCTAAACCATACTTAATGCTGCCACTTATTATTTTGAAGGGGAAAGGCTATGCAGGGCCCCAGACCAAATGAGGACCCTCATGCATTTGCTGCTTGCTCCAGAGATGCCAAACAGCTGCCAGGGAGAGCAATTCTGGGGAGGAAACGGGCAGGGCCCTGATCCATATAAGGAGGATCGTATAAGCTTGGGGCCCTGGGTGGCTTCTCTTTCTGTTGCTGTCTAATAACGGAGAGCGTTCCTCAGTACCAGGAAAAATATCCAAGGTGGCCACGTGCACATTCACATTCATTTCACAGAAATCGCTTAGAAAGTGCCTGCACTTTTTGCCCCATAACTTTCTTTTTTAGGAAGGCTAGAAGCTTTTAAGGAAAGTAAACTTTACTAAAATACAGTATGAAAGCTCAGAGTCTGGGGCACTTGCCCAGGGACACCACTGGAAGCCTTCACAGGTGTAATGGCACCTGGAGATGCTGAGTTCACTACCCCTGCCCAAAGTTGGCCCATTGAAATAAGTGCCCTTGTAAGTCCATTCATTGATTTCCACCACCACCCTCCATGATTCTCCTCTGAGTATGATTAACATTGGATATTACCCTCGATGTGACAACATTAAGCATTTTTTCTAAAGTTGGAATAACGTATAATTTGACCCTGAAGCAATTGTAATGCTGGCTGCCTGGAAGAAATGTCAGTAGTATCCAAAGGCAACATGATGACCAAATGCAACAATGCGATGTCAATATAAACTCTTTATATTTTCCGAGATTTAGAAGATTTCTGTTTTTATTTGGTTTTGCATATACTTCATATTGTTCAATGTTCTGTATAGATTATATAAAGAGTTTATATTGACATCGCATTGTTGCATTTGGTCATCGTGTTGCCTTTGGATACTACTGATATTTGTTTGCAACACAGGGGTTTAATTGGAAGAAATGTCAGCCTCTCAGTTAAAAAAACCAGACACGTTTCTAGTTAAAGATGTTGAATTCTGATGGCTTCCTTTATAGAAACAGATGTCCTGCCTGGCCATTTGCAAGGAACCCAAAGGGAGGGACATACTGCTGCTAATTCCAGGCAAACTAGACTTCATATGAACACACAAAAGGCTGGTGGGTCAATAGAGTTATGCCCAAGGGCCTGTGCTGCAAGCCAGGCTGTGCTGGTGGTCTCTTAGGAAAGTGCCCTGGACATGGCAGATGGAGACAATGCCATTGCAGCATGCATGAGGCCAGTGTGCGGAGAGGGGAGAGAAAGGAAGGCGGAGCAGGGACTGATCCTGCAAAATGAACCCTGTTCATGTTAATGGGTCCAGAGACACCCTGCCTTGTTTGCTGTTGTGCAATGTTGCAGCCTTAAGTGTCGGGTTTGTGTAGGAGGGCTCTCTGTCATCAGACGCCTGCTTCATCACTCCTCTGTTAGTTCTGTTACTGTGTGAGGCCTGTGGTTTTTAATGTTAGGGTTTTAATATGGGGCAATTTGGTGAAGGGCGGTCTTCAAGCAAAGGGGTAAAAGGAGAAAACAAGAAACTAAACACTGTCCTCAGCATTCATAGGAATCAAAGTAGGTCCAGTCAAAAGTTTGCATACACAACACAACACACACACACACACACACACACACACACACACCAAATTCCATTTAGTAATTTCAGTGAGATTTAGGCATACCAAACTGCAGAGTTAAATGCAAGTCCCATTGGTTTCTGTTAGGAGCTTGTGTTGGGTTGCTCTGTCTGTTGTGCAGCATGGAATCTGGGACAGGGGAGCGTTCTCTAGCCAAGCAGTGCTCAGGTAACATGTGCGGGAAGGATCAGAAGAGAAGGCAAGGCCTCTAGCAGAACTTTTCTAATCACCTTTGTTGGGTGATCCAGTTCTTGCCCTATCTAGCCCAACAGCCTGTGAAAACACAAGCTTTAATTGCAACGTAATGAACATAATTTGATACAGAACAAATGATTGACACTCAATTACATCAGTCCCTTCTCTGGGACAGTTCTGTGGCCTTCTCTCCCTGAGAATTCTTGTGTGACGCTGAACATAACACTCCACGCAACCATCTACATTGGGCTTATATATTCTGTGACTTTTGTGAACTACATGTTTCATTGAGCACTTGGAAGGACACCTGCAGGCCCTTAACCGGAGCAGCGGGTTAGAGGTTTTCTGGAACTTTTGCTACATCTAGGTCAAGTGAGAGAGCCAGGGTGTGTGTGTGGAAATCCACATCATTGGACAAGATGTCCTCATTGGTGACTGGAGCAGAATATGCATGGCTGGTCCACTTTTAATTCTGCCAGGCAACCAAGTGTAAATTATTGGACCTACTTATTTCAATGCACACCTTTCGTGTCTACCCCCTCCTTACTCTATCTTTTAACTAGTTGTGGCATGATACTCCTTTCTGACTTGGGTGTGTATGTGGGGGGGAAACGTGGAGACAGGGGGAGGTGTAGTTGGGATGGCTAGGACACACAGCTTTGATAATCTGATCACTATCAATTTAATTGTCATTATATTAAATACGTTGTGCTTCCACTGTTGGGAGGCAACATGCCTCTGAATGCCAGTTTCTAGGAATCACAAACTGGGAGGGTGGCTATTGCATTTAGGTCTTGCTTGTGGCCTTCACAGAGGCATTGGGTTGGCCATTGTGAGAACAGGATTCTGAGCCTTGATGGGCCTCCGTTGGCCTGATCCAGCAGAGCTCTTTCTAATGCTCTTAATTTAACAACAACAACAACAACCCTGTTAGCAACAGTGGTAGGAAACAAGAAACTTGTGTGGAAAAAACCTTGGGTGCCTTGGCCTTGAGCTGTACGTGGAAGCTTAGGTGGGGTCCGCAGCGATTCCTCTTGGCCAACTTATTCTTGCTTTTTCTCTTTGCTGCCCAGTCACCCTTGCAGCTCAACTCTCAAGAGAAGGGAGAGAAGCACAGCTCCGTATCCGACCCTGTTCTTGACTTGGACATCCCGCTGGCCGTAGCCAAGGAGCGAGCTCACCAAAAACGCACCAGCAAAAGGGCGCCGCAGATGGACTGGAGCAAGAAGAACGAACTCTTCAGCAACCTGTGAAGTATCCCATCCCGCAAGCCGGGAGGAGGTGGTGCAGGGGCAAGGCCCAGCCAACCGGGCCAGCTTTTTCTCCTGCCCCTCCCATTTTTTCCCCCTGGAGGAGGGGGTTATTCCCCCCACCCACCCACTCCCCTCTTCCCCTCTCTTTGCCAGGGGAACAGGGGCAGGATCTTACACTGTCCTCTGTAATCTGAAGAAAAACAAAATGGCATCATGACTACTCCTGCACAATTCTGGAGAAGCAATTCTATTTTTTAAAAAAGAGAATGATGAGACACTTTTATACACTGTCTATAAATAGCTGAGTAAGTTCCATGTGAGTTTGTGGGGAGGGTTTCTGTGAGCCTGAAACTAATGTGGTGTCCATATTGAGCCCATGGAGGGGGTGGAGGGAGAGCGTACTGTGGCCTGTTAGGTCTGAGGAGAAACATGCTGATCTTTTGTTCTCTCCCCACCCCCCCAATTCAATTGGATTTTTTGTGGGAAACACATGTTCACAATAAGATTTTTGAGGTTGCCAGGGTTGGGGATTGAGGAGAAAAACTTGTGGTGCTTAGCCCTTCCTAAATTCAAAGTGGTATCTGAAACCAGCCACCTAAAACCAATAGCCCCATGTAGGTTCTCATCGCAGAGATACCCTGTTGGATGCTGACTTGAGCCTTTCATTAAATTTGAGTGCTTAAAACCCTAATTTTGACTTCCAGCAGCCATTGGGTGGGGGTTGTGAGCACACGTCCTCTCCTCTTCACAAGGAACCGTTTTCCTTTGACTGGAATGTCCGTCCCTGACACTCCATTTTCATTTTTATTTTTAAAAAGAATTTTCTTTAAAGCAATCAATGGTAAAATTATCTATGGGGTAAGACCCATGAACTTGTTGCACCACTTCCTGTATGTATTTCAAAGCTTTCTGATGGTAAGACGGAACCCTTGGAAACTGCTCTGACTGGAATCCTGTGGGGGGGGGTGTGGTTCTTATTTTGGCTGAGAGGGGGGAATCTTCTGGTCTAATACAGCAACTGAAAGCAGCCAGGAAATAATATCCTGTCTTCAACTCTCATTCCTGGAGATGGAGCCAATCAGGGTTTTTTTTTTATGATAATGCTTAATTAACAGTTTATATATAAACTGTTTCATTTTCTGGAATGTTTTCTAATTATAGCTCTCTTTCTCCTCTGTCTGTTGTGTATGTTATGGAAATTATTTCTCCTCTACGGATGTGTTTTGTTCTTGTTTTCTTTGATTGTTTGTTATGAAAAATGCAAGAGAAGAAGAAAAAAAAGAACCCTGTTTACCAGAAGGGAAAAAGTCACCTTGATTTTGTTTGTGTGCGTGTGCTTATTTTATGTTTAAATCTTTGTAAAGTTCCAGAGCCTTGTGGGAAAGCTCAGCACAGCATGTGAGCGGTCAACCCCTACTGGCCTTCCAGCCTCGCTCTCCCGAGCTCTCAATTCATTACCAGGAGCTGGTTCATGTCAACAGGATGAACTCCAGTACAATAATGCCACCACCCAACCCTCCAGCAGAATCTTTATTGGTTCAACGTACGATGCCCATTTGTGCAGGTCAGGGTGGAGATGAGAGTGGGGGTGTTTCTGGGAGTGGGTTGGAATTTATACCAATCTCCAAGCACAGCAATCACAATCAGCATCACCATTCTTATTTCAATTCAATTCAGTCTTTATTACGGTCCAGAGACCCAACAAATCGTTACAAAGCAATACACAATTCATACAGCCTACCTCCAGGTTAAACAAGCATTTTGTTCAGAATATAGGGATCATTGGTTCATGCAACCACCGATAAAAACTTTGCCACTGCTAATGTTTTAGCGTTTGTCCGGTCTTCCAATAGGAACCTGACATAGTGAGCCTCTGATTTTCCCGGGAAAGGTACCAGCAAGGGTAATATCAGTTCAGCCCTGGCTTGCTCATATTTTGAACAGTGCAACAAAATATGTTTTATGGAATCGATGTCTTGAGCACGTGAGCAAAGTCTGTCCTGGTAGGGAACTCCTCTCAACCTGCCATCCAACACTGCAGAAGGAAAAACGTTTAGTCTGGCTTTGGTGAAAAGCCTTCGATAATTTGGTACTGTCAAGGCTGCCTCAGGTCTCAGCTCACAAAAGACCAACGCCAATCTCTTCTTACATACAAAAGTGTTTATTGCAGTTCATTGTTTGCTTCATATCCGAGGCGCGCAGCCTCACGTCTGTACGCTTAGACCGTTGAAGTTCCCTCTGAGTCAGTCCCTCCCCTGCACCAGTTTAAGAGCCTTGCGCTGCTCCACCTCTTTCTCTCTTTCCTTTTCCTCAGGGTCTTCCTGCCCGCTGGGGTTTCGCCCCTCCTGGATTCCCCTGACGCGCTATCCCCCGACTGCTCTTCCCCCCTCCTGCGGGCTTTAGGACCTGGCCCTTCCTCCGGGCTTCCTGTACTTCTGCGCGCCTCTACATTTGAACTTGGCGCGCGCGCCCAACCTCTAACTTTCCTTTTGACAGTTACACTACTCCCTTCACTACTCCCCTCCCCGTCCGGGAGGATGGCTTGCTCCGACCTCCCTCCCTTCTCTGCTGCCGGAGCTGCTTCCCCTGATACACTGGAACCTCCACCGCCTTCGCTGCACTCTGGCGGGGAGGCTGGTCCTGACGCCCAGCTGCCACTTTGGGATCCCCCGCTGGCCCCCTGTTCCTGACACGTCCCCCTGGGGCTCCCTGGCCTTGACCACTGGCGCCCCCTCTGGGAATCCTCTGATTCGCTGGAAAGACTCATGGAATCTCTTGAGTCATTGTCATCCTCTTCCTCGCTGTCCTGGGATTCACCCCCATCGCTCTCCATCTCCTCCCTACCCTGTGCCTCTGTCCCTGAACCCCTGACAGGTACTTTCTGGTTTTTAATGTAAGATGTTAATTTAAAGACATGCCCATATCGTACTCCTACTGCCAGCGGACTACAGACTTCGTGTGATTGAGATCGCAAGTCACTGTACATTATCCTATTCTTATTTCAGTTTGTATCCTTCCCTTCATAAGAAGCTTGTTTTGCAACACTTTTTCCTCCCCTGGGGGAAGGCATCCACAGTTTCGCTCTTGCAACAGCCATGCATTTACTCACGCTGCAGGCCGAAGCCATGTCGTTGGGGTGGCCATTAGGAAAAGACTTGGCAAGGAAATGCAACGGGGGGGGGCTGTCTTACCCACCCAATCCCATGCCTCCCATTTTTCTCATGTGCTCACTGGGGCATGGAGTTGCTTTGTCCAGAGGGGGATTTGCATTTGCGGGATCGCCAACTGTTTTAAAAGCAGTGGGTTTCTTGAGAGCTGCAGTGGCTATTGAATCTTTTACACTGCTGCTCCTTTGTTGCAGCTGAGAACCTGTTTGTTGCTGTACAGAGAAGAACCAGCAGTTTCTGTAGAACTTGACCAGCTTTCTTTCTATAATAATAATAACAAATTTGTACAAAGAGAACCCAGTGGGCTGTAAAATGCCGTGCATTGAGCTCAAGAGCAGCTGTTACCCAGGAAAATCAGGCTCAAGCTGGTCTCTGACCGTAATAATACATTATTATAATAAGAAGAAACTCTGGTTCTTCCACACGTCCTTTTCTGCTGCATTTCTAGGAAACAGGTCTGGGTTTTCCGTGTATGTGTGTCCCACACCTTCCCTGGGAAAACCTGTGTTTTACCACTGAATCAGAGCAACTGGCAATTCCCAAAGGCTGCCTAATCGGCAGAACTGGCAGGTAAGTTCATACAGTTGCAAAGAGTGCACAGTAGGTTAGACCATAAAGCAAATTTGCCAAGAGGCCACTTGTGAGTTGCTGAAAGCATCAACATGTTCTTCTGCTCTGGTGACCGAATAGCTAATTCTGTGCTATGCATGGCTAATAAATGACTGAAAATATAAAAGCACCAACCAAGCAATTCTTATTGGCACCTTTAAAAAGTGGGAGGGGGAAGGGACAATTTGTAGAATACTTTTAACAGCTTGGATGTTTTAGAAAATAAATTACTGCAGGCCATATAGGTGCGAGTTTTATAAAATTGCTAGTGTGTGTGTGCCCCTCCCCTCCAAAGTATCACTGCAGGTTCCTGATTGTGAACAGCAATTTTCTCTCTGCCCCTGTCTAACCCTGATTCAAGTGTGTGAAGCTGCGGTGGAGTCTACCACAGTTCAGAGCCAGGTCTTCTCTTTTGCTACAGATGAAGCCATAGAATAGAGAGCATTCCAGTTGCAAAGTGCTGACCCAGTGATTTCTCAGGACACACGGTGAGGCTGGTGCCCAAAGGCACCCTACATTCGGTTGCTCCCTGTGCTGGAATTGAACAATATTATGTACAGGAAGGATGCTAGGAAGTTATTTGATACATGGTGGTTGTGTGCTACTGGTCAGCAAAAGCCATTCGTGCTGCAACTATGAAGGCCTCTTTTTTCTGACTAGACAGAGTGGTGCTGTGGTTTAAAACATTTCTGTACGGCTCTGAGGTAAAAGAAAACATCCAGGGCAGTTTAAAACTTATAGAATTAAGTCAAAACAAATCCACACAGCATTTGGCAATGTTAAAAGGTAGCACTTTAAGCACACAAGAGAAGAGGGGGAGAAACCAGTACCACAACCTTTCCGGACCATTGTTTCAAAAGCTTCACCTGGTCTGTTCCTTAGGAGAATTCAAAATGCTAGCACTACTTTCACATCAACTTGCCTCTTTAAGATCTTCCTGAGGCCCGTTTTCCAATTCCTCCATCCCCTGCAAGTGGTGACAGACTTTTTGGTGGTGGCCACTTGTGTCTTTTACCTTCAAGGGGATTTTCATTCTGTAATGGTGTCCTTCAGATGTTTTGAGCTACACCGTGGCTGCTGGCTGGGGTTGATGGGAAGTTTTAGTCCAAAAGACTAAAAGCTACTCCAAGAGGTTCCCATCCTCACTCCCAGCTGAGAGCCACAGGTTGGGAAAGCCCTTTAGTAAGCTGAAAGGTTCGAATATCTCTGCAGAAGGTGGAAGCAAACCAATACACTTCAACTGGTCCAGATGAGAACGCTTCTGACTGGCTAGAAGCACAAGGAAACACAAGTACAGAGGCAGGTTCTATCCCTGTACGGTACAACTGCACTTTTGCAGAGAGTTGGACTACATGATCCTCAAGGTCCCTTCCAACACTACGATTCTATTCAGGGAAGGGCCATAGCAAAGTGGTAGAGCATCAGTTTTTCCTGAAGAAAGTCCTGGGTTCAATTCCTGGCATCTCCCAAGTAGACGGGGGGGGGGGATCCATTCAGAAATCCATGGAGTGCTGCTGCCAGACCAGTGCCAGATGGGCCAATGGTCAGCTTTCTATATGTACCATTGGTCCACCTAGCTCATAACGACAAAACGGGATCATTTTACCCTTTCCGCCTTTGATGTTGTAGACGAAATTTATACGTGATGCAGAATAATTGCTTGAGAATGCTAATCCCTGGGCAATTAGCTTCAGCCACAAAAACAGCAGGGGCTGGAGGGGGCCCAGTCAGCCCTTCCATGGGTTAATAATGTCTGTGGATTATTAAAGCGCTGTAATCCCCATGGTTAGGAAAGGGGAGGGAGGTTGGCTATATCAGCTCTATAATCTCTCCCTGACTGGGATAGCTCCCCAGAGAACTCTTCCCGTAAGCTCCACTGATCGTTCTAGTGCATTCCCCCTGCAGCACGGAGAGAGTCTTAGCGTGGGATGCTTGCTCCTAAAGACAATATGAGAGGCATCAGTTACAAGCTGTCACAACTCTATTGGCGTCACAAGATGCTCTGTAGGCACCTCCCCGCAAAATGCCCCATCTAAGAATGTGGCTGATAAATGCAACTCTGTGGTGCAAAAGGACTGAGAGATCTGGCATCTATTGAGAGTCCATGATAGGTGGATGGAGAGGCAGTAGGTCCCGTACATTCTTTTAAAAAAATAACAAAAGTTTGACAGTTCTCTTTGGGGCCATAACAAATGTGTCAATAATCACACATTTAGTACCGGTAATTGTTGTGAATAAGTTATTACGATTAACAATATAATTTTACAAGCAATTAATAATTAGTAATTGTATCGTTTTAAAATAAAACATAAATAGCATCAGTATGCATTTTTGAATCCATATCATTTATATTTTATTAAGGTGATTTCAGTTAAAAGAAATAAGAGTGATACAGAAAAAAGGGAAAGTGAGAGGGAGAAAAACAACAAGGATACTTACAAAAGCGAAAATATACAAAAAAGAGCAATATGCGATATTCCCATACATTCCTGTATAAAGTGGTATAGTGTTATTGTCCTAGTGCTTATGTAAATGTTAATAGCCTGCTACATGTTGTATAAACTCATTCCAAATGTTATCGTATTTATCCATACAGAGTCTGTGCCTGTAAACAGTTCATAAACTGCCAGTGATGTCATATCACGAGTCCATTGATTGAAGGGTATTATATCTTTATTTTTCCAGTTCCTCAATATCAATCTCTCGGCCACCATTAGGGCACAGAAAATCCATTTCCATTGTCCCGTTGATAATTTCCATATTTGAATCCATATCATGAGTGCAGCAGGGAAGATTTCCCCCCTAACATCCGTGGCCCCAATCTGGGTTTTCTGTCCCCCGTCCCCAGTCCCCCACACACATTGTTGCTATTTTGATCAGGAGAAAAGCTCTTTGTAAAGAGTAGCCAAATGTCCTTGTTGTTCCAGAAGCAGATGATCTCTATTTGTAGATGCCCATCAGGGTTTTATATACATTGGGGCTGAAAATGTATTTCTGCCAGATTAAGCATAGCAAGACAGATGGCTTTCAATGGGTGCGAATAAACTGTAGGATAAAAAGCACAAAGATCCTTGATGGATTTGACTGGACAAGAGTATACACAGAGTGCTCCCAACAAAGCCTACATTCCTGTGCATGCTTTACCTGCATGTAAGCCCCACTGAAGACAGTGGAACTTCTTTCTGAGTAATGGAATGTGCATAGGATTGTCCCGGAAGCCGCATAACTTGCAGCAGGGAAAACCTATAAGGGCCATGTTCCTCAGATGATGTAGTCTGTGCAATCTTATGGATAGGTTTTGTGGACTTTCAATCTGCAAGTGCAATGCATCGGTTTGTTTTGGCGTGGGCCAAACCATTTGTATTGTTGCTGTGTTGATCTAGGGTAGTGTTGTCTCTTAATTGCATCTGTAGTCTTGTTAACCACTCTCACCCAACAATAAAATTGGACTGGCTGGCTGACATTTAGTGGGGGAGCTGGGCAGTCTTGAGGGATGTTTTATTGATAAGTAGACAGGGTAACTCTGGATGGTGGTCCACGAAGTTTTACTCAGAGTAGACCTACTGAAATTAATGCACCCAACTTAGGGCTCATCCTGCTTTTTGCCCCCTACTTTCTAGGCACAGGTCTGCGCTTTAAAGCAGTGTCCCAGCACTGTTTTTCTTTTTACCCAGTGCTGCTTTCCCCACAAAAACTTGCTCCTTGACACTGAATCAGAACAAATGGCAATTCAGCATTGTTCCATGAAGAAATCCCACTCACATATTGTCACCAAGTGACAGTCCACTAGCCACAGAATGACCAACAGGGTTTCCACAGAAGATCTTCAGTCTTGGCTTGGTCTCTGTGCTCTGGAAGTTGGTCTGCTAGAGACTTTGTTTTGCAAGTCCCATGCTGTGGAGCACTGTCCCAGCAGAAATGAAGCAGGCATCCTTGCTTTTGACTTTCAAGTATCTCTTTGAGACTTTTTTGTGTGCCCCCAATACTTTGCAGCTGCTTTCATATTTTTTCATATTTGCCCTCCCCTTGTCTTAAAGTAGCACCTCCTGGGAGCTGGAACACGCATCTTGCTCCACGGCTGCCACCTTGTGGCATGTGCTTGGCCCAAGTGTCTACAACATATTTATAAAGGCCTCTTTGATACTATGCACTGAAAGCGGTATCGTACCACTTTAAACCATCGTGGCTCCCTGCATAGAATTCTGGGAACTGTAGTTTGTTAAGGGTGCTGAGAGTTGTTAGGAGACCCTTTTTTCCCCCTGCACAGAGCTGAAATTCTCAGAGTGGTTGAACAGTCAATCCCACTTCCTGGGGAAACTCTACTTCTCAAGATTATTTTGGGGGAAGCCATCTCTTGACTGGCATTTTGGCAAATGCAAGTAGATGTGAAGAAGAAGAAGAAGAGGAGGAGGAGGAGGAGGAGGAGGAGGAGGAGGAGGAGGAGGAGGAGTTTGGATTTGATATCCCGCTTTATCACTACCCTAAGGAGTCTCAAAGTGGCTAAAAATCTCCTTTCCCTTTCTCCCCCACAACAAACACTCTGTGAGGTGAGTGGGGCTGAGAGACTTCAGAGAAGTGTGACTAGCCCAAGGTCACCCAGCAGCTGCATGTGGAGGAGCAGGGAAGCGAACCTGGTTCACCAGATTACGAGTCCATTGCTCCTAACCACTACACCACACTGGCTCTCAGGAGTAAGGATGCTTTGGTGGTTCCCAAATCTACTGGTTGCAGGAACATAAC